GCTGTTCAGACCAAAGCGTTCCCTAAGAATCTTATTCGCAAGTGCAGTACTGGGAGAAGGAGTTGCATCAGTTTTCAACTCAGATCTGGATCGCTTGGGCGATGGCACTCTATTAAAGTTGTCATCATTGAGCTTCCTTTTTGCACCAGGGGCGTCGAGAGCGGCAGTGGCAGCGAGGTATTCATCGTCCTCAGACGACCACCCAAATTCGTCATCACTCATACTGAGAGACACGTGTGACAAGAGCTTAGCAGTTTTGGAACGTAGTCAAAATACCAAAGATCGTAGCTGAAGTGAAGAAGAAGAACACGACTCAGTAGTGTTCAGGAAGTCTCGCGCTAGATCGGAAACGCGACGGCACGTGACTGGGGATGCCCAATGGGTTCGTCCACGGCGAAGTCTTCCAGAACTCTACCGAATCGACTCACCGAATGAGGCAAAAATGACGACCATTGGGCTGATGTACTTACATGGACTATCAGGTTTACCTGCTGGACACACAACGCAATACTGGGAATTGCTTCCGGCGGGTCTCAGTGATGTTGAAACAGGCATTACATCACACCAAGAAATGCTTCTTCTACTCGGACTAATTCCGCCAACTTTCCCCTCCTGTCAACCGACCTAAGTACACAGGTTACTGTCAGTACATGTGCAACGATTGAGTTCATTTTGGGCAGCGTAAAAAATACGGTGCCACGTGACAAGACTACACTATAACAGGAGCAAGGATCGATCGTGATGGGAGGCAGGGCTGTCGTAGATGAGCCGCCTTGGAGATAACCTTGGTACCTGCAAGCCTCGCCGTAGGGTGGGCACTCTACAATGGCGGTCGAGATGCAACTAGCGTGCGTGTCAGACTCGTACCATCAGCTCGAGGCCCAATGGCGCCACGCGTCTGCTTCTCCGTCAAGTTTTCTACATCTCAGGCAGCCAGTCGATCTACGATCGGTCGAGTTCTACAGCCAGCATCTCCCATGCCTCCTCGCCTGGAGCTGTTCGCCGGTGTTGCTTTGCCAACAACACCGCTTGGGTAATCAGTCTAGAGCTGGCCAATCTGCTTTCGCCACTACATAGAAATCCTCACTTTTATCCTTGTGCAGTCGTCGCGTGTCCGGAATTTATGTGAATGCTTGTGGCGACAACTCCAGCTCAAAGACTCGGCTCCCGACTGCCCTAGCGGTGGAACGATATTGAACGGCAACTTCGCCACGACATTCCGCGGAGCGCCAAGGCATTCATCCATTCCTACACCTACATCCTACCCTACTCTTCAGCCAGGCTGTTTATATGTTTGGATATCATACACTCGCAGCCATTTGCAGAGACCCTTCCATACGCATGTCCGGTTGAGCATTGCCGGAATCGGATCGGGATGCCATCAGCCGATCCTTCCCACCCTCGCCTCTTGGATCTAGAAGACCTCGAGTCGGAAAAAACCCCGCTGTTTGTCATCAAGATTGGTGAGATTACACCGGAATATGATATTGCTTTTTGCAACCAACCGTTCCGGGCACTTGATCTGCGCAGTCCTATCTTAGCTCAAGGCAGAGAAGCGCTCCTCTTCCGATCGTGGACACAGGCTTTGGGTGATTTCAAACCAGAATACGAATTTTCCAGCAGAAGATGGACTGTAGAGTACGCGGGCCGGTCTGGCAGCTGGAAGATAATAAGAGCAATCAGCTCCGAACCCCCGGAAAAAGATCAAAATTTATTAGACGAAAAGGCAGATGGAAATTTCCAATCTAATAATAATCGAGGCCTGGTTTCCTCACGCTCAAGGACGGATCTCGTCAAGCAAGTCAAACCCGAGAAACCAAAGTCTCTCAAGAACCTGCCCACGACCGACCTCAATGCCAGATGGGAAAGCATCCAGACGATGATGGAGATGAGCGATGTGGGGGTATTTGAATATAACTCTTCAGGAAAACTGATGCATGCAAATGAGGCCTGGTATAGGCTCAGGTATGTGCAACGGCAGCATCAGCATCTGTGGAATCACGTGACTGACTTCCTTCAGCTCTCACCCTGGGGTACTCGAGCATTCAGAGTTCTCTTTTATGGACCTCGTTTATCCTGAAGATCAGGCGTTAGTCATGTCCATGTGGAATAGACTGGCTCTTGGCAAAGCTGTCACTTTTGAGATGCGTTGGAAACCGCGCCCCGGATCAACGGATACTGCCCAGTGGGTGCTGTCAGCCTGTGTGCCTGTTCTCGACGAAGAAGGAAAACTGATAAGTATTGCTGGCAATACAATCGACATCAACGCCCAGAAAAAGTCACAGGCAGCAGCACAGGCACAAGTGGAGGCTCTTGAGCAAGCACGAATGGCAGAGATGAAATTCGCTCGTTTTGCCCAGGTATCTCCGGTAGCAATATACATTTACGTTCCAGAAAACGGTATGTTATATCTATCCAGAATTTGACTATCACTAATCTTGCAATAGGCATGAACTTTGTAAACGATCAATTCTTTGAATTGACTGGCCACGCTCATGCACCGGTGAACCAATTCGAATGGTTTGATCTCATCTCTGAGGAAGATGTATCCAGAGTCAAGAATGACTGGGAAAATATGCTCAAAGGTGGAAAGTCCAACGGAGTGCAGTTTCGGTTGAAAAAGACTTGGGTCAATCAGGACGGAATGCGCTCGAACATCTGGGTGCAAAGCTCAAGCTACCCAGAGCTCGACGAAAGTGGTAAAGTTATTAGTGAGTAAAAGTCCCATAAATCTCTAGATCCTCTTGCTGATAGCGGTAGGCATCATGGGAACGTTGTTCGATATCTCGCAATTCAAATGGGCCGAAGATGTTCAACGTCGCCGGATAGAGGAAGCATGGGAGGCGAAACGGCAACAAGAAAAGTATAGCGATGCCTCTGAAAGTGCCTTGGGAACTTACTGACTGTCGCAGTTTTATCGATATGACTTCCCACGAATTACGTAATCCCCTTTCCGCCGTCATACAATGTGCTGATTCAGTCATTGCTTCACTGCAGCAGTTGCTATCTCGAGAACTTACAGCGCCTGGCCAGAGTTTGAATGCTGCAAAAGTTTCGGCAGAGATTCGAAGCTGTATCGAGTCATTGCTGATCATTGTATCATGTTCTATGCACCAGAAACGCGTGATTGACGACGTTCTTACACTATCAAAGCTCGACTCTGATCTGATCTTGATTACGCCGGTGCGTGTACAGCCCGCGGTAGTAGTCTCGGATGCTGTAAAAATGTTCGAGGTCGAATGTAGCCAGTCAGATATCAAACTTACCTTCCGTATGGACGAGACATTCAAAGGTGTAGAGTGGGCGATGCTAGACCCTTCACGCCTATTACAAGTTCTCATCAACCTGCTGTTAGTTTGACTAAACAATCCTTTACAACATCTGCTAACAGACCTAGGACTAATGCTATCAAATTCACCAAGGACTGCACTCGGAAGACAATTGCTGTTACGATCGGTGCGTCATGGACCAGGCCACCTAAATGCTGGCAGGAAATCACATTTACCGATGATGAACGCGATAACCTCAATATAACGGATAAACCGGAATGGGGACATGGCCGCAAAGCGTTCCTGTGGCTCAAAGTACAAGACTCTGGATGCGGCATGACCATGGAGGAGCAGAAGAAACTCTTCGCCCGCTTCTCACAAACAACACCTCGAACACACGTCAAGTATGGCGGATCGGGCCTTGGACTTTTCATCTCCAAATCGCTCACCAAACTACAAGGCGGATCAATTGGTGTGAGCTCCGCAAAAGGGGAAGGGTCAACATTTGCATTCTACATCAGCACCCGGTTGGCATATCCGCCAGTCGACCAGATCGTTGGACGAGCATCACAAACCCGGCCCATTCTCGACCGCACAATATCCGGCGAAGAAGCCATGCGCACGATCAAACTGAACGTCCTCATCGTAGAAGACAACCTCGTCAACCAAAAAGTCCTGCGAAAACAACTTGAGAAATTCAAATGGAACGTCAGCGTCGCCGGAAACGGCCAAGAAGCCCTCGAATGGCTCAAAAACACCATATACTGGCAACCCGAATCCGATAGTAGCCCCACCCAAGCAGAATCCACCAAACACGAGCTCGACATCATCCTTATGGACATCGAAATGCCTATCATGGACGGCCTCACCTGCGCCCGCCTAATCCGCGACTACGAACACCAAGGCCTCCTCGCGCCTCCCTCCCCATCCTTCTCGCAGCTCCGCCGCCTCTCCGCCGTCTCCGTCTCCCCAATCCAATCCTCAAACCATAACGACCCTTTTTCCATATCGCTGGCAAAACACCGTTATTCCACTTCGTCCATTGGGAGTAATAATAACCCTGCCCACCGCCAGTTTCTGCGCCTCCCTATTTTGGCGGTTAGTGCGAATGCGCGCATGGAGCAGGTCGAGCAGGCGCTCGCGTCGGGGATGGATGATGCGATTTCGAAGCCGTTTCGGATTCCGGAGTTGTGGCCGAAGATTAGGGGGCTTGTGCAGAGGGTGGCAGATGTTGATGCGGAAGTTGAGGTGTGATTTGGGAGTGTTTTTTGAGGTTAGGGGTTTACTGAGGGGCGTATTAGATATTGGTGTTTTGGGTGTATGGAAGCATTTCGATATGGATTGGTATGGGCGTTTTAAGAGGGTGCAGCAATGGAGATGCATGTTTTTGCTTCTTCTTTGCTGCCGGACTGGCCTGGGTATATGGGACTTTAGAAGGGGGAGCATTTGGTCATGAGGAGTGAGTGGAATATACCTTTTGACTGTTTTGCAGAGAACATTGTGAAATTTGGAAAACATGTGAACTTCAAGGGGCGTACTTATGCTCAATTGAATCCATACATTTTTGCAAGTTCATAGGGGTACAGATATGAGAAGAAGAATCTCGAACCTACGAAGACACTTGAACTACAATAGCACCACTAAGTTCGTTTATATGACACATCCAAGAAAAAAACACTTTAGCTTAGAAGAATGTTCTAGATCTCCCCATTATCAAGTACCTCTCACCACTCAAACCAGCTTCACGACCTCGAAATCACCCTCGGTCAAATGCGCAACCGCCTCTCCATGCATAACGCCATGCAAGTAAGCCTGTCCAAGAATCTTGAAGTTGCCATCGTGAAGAGGTCTCAGCACGAACGGTGTATCGGCGCCCATAGGAAGCCAAATCTGATCTCCGCCTGCAGTGATTCTCGGCCCCAGTCCTAACCGTCCGTCGCGAGTTAGGAAGCAGCGGGTACTTTCGGCAAGGTATGCGGCAGTGTACCGCTTGTTGTCGCCCTTTTTGTAGTCCTGAGAGAGAGAAAGAGTCGAGGATTCAGCCTCTGTTGTTCCAGGGTTTCTGGTATCTTCAGATTTGGCGTGGCGGTACGCACAGAAATCGTAGTAGTGCTGTGTTGCATTCTTCTCATTGATAACCTCGCGTAAGCCTTCTTCATTGCATGTCAACCCTCCTGTCAAGGTGGCAGAAAGGCTTCTCAAGTCGCAGTATTCTTGGGTTGCGAAATCATTCTTGAGCACGTCCAGTGTCTCGATTATGCTTTCTAGAGGATTGTAGTAGTCCTCTTTTGCGGCGGGGGGTTGTGCAGTTTCTGTTTCGATATCTGGTGAGTGCTTTGTATATTGCTCATATGGGATCAACATTGAGCAGTACACTGGCCCCATGCAATGGGCTTTGATATTGAGAGTGATGGGGTCAACCGCAGTACCAAGTGAAACTTCAAATGAAGTGGACGGCAAGCGCGTAGCAGCAGTGTAAAAGTTTACAGCTCTCGTAAATGGCGAGGCTTCACAAATATTCCATCTAGGTACCCAGGATGGGATATCTTCTTCGATTGATGCGGCATCTTCTTCGATTGACAGGGTATCTCCTTCGATTGATATTTCATTGTGCTGAATGTACCGCAAAAGTTTCATCCCTAGTCCATGTTGTTCGATCATTGTAAATGCAAATCTGAAGTATACATTCATGGCGGTCGTGTCTTTGTTGTAGTCGGGCTGAATAACGGTTGGCCTGTTATTGTAAAAGTTCCGCGGGTACCACATATAAGGCTCTGGATCCAGTAGTTGTTGTTTGAATGCTGAGGGATGACCCAAGAAGGCGTATACGGAGTCCCTTGGATCAGTACACTCCAAGCCCCTTGCCGACGCCAGAACGTCGCATAGATCTTCCGCAAGATGGGGATCGCTGCCAAACTCCAACCGGTGGTTACCGCGTGTGCTCTCTTGGTATTTAAGAGCCAGATTAAGTGTTTGCAAATTGAGTCTGTAATGAGTTTGGTTCAACGGAGCGTGGAACAAGAGGAATTCACAAAAGCGATCGAGGTCCCAGAAATCGATTGAGGCGTCTCCACAGTAGAACGTCGCATTTCTTGCCAAACCAAGCTCTTGAACTACCCACACTCGCGTGAACCAATCTCGAGTGAACAACCGTCGAACTGACTCCCATGAGACAGCTTCTTTACTCCCCTGAATATCCTCTATTTTTTCTGGCATCGCAGTTGGATGACCACGTCTATTATTTGCCGCAGCCTCTTTAAAATCACTGCATCTGCGTATGAATTCAAACGCTTTCGCAGCACTGACTTGCTTCGCGCTCTTGTCTTCTTCACCAAGCCATACGAGTACTCTAGTGGCTTTCCAGTAAATTACGCCCATGAGAGAAACTTGCTGTGACTTTTCTGTATTGTCTTTCTGGTTGATACACATACCATCCACCCACATGACTCGGGTTTTGTCTTCATATCGAAAATAGCGGAGTATGCTTTCCAGATTGGCCCTGATCTCGAGTGACTGACCATCGCAGTCAATTATCTTAGTTTCCTCCGATTTTCCCCAGCAATACGAAAGGGCTTCATACGTCCCAAGTTCCAATTTCGAGTTTACAGTATATCTGTCTTCAAAATCGGCCAGGGCAACGGGTTTAAGGGAACAGCAAATCGCGGCCTCTCGGGGTCCTGGTAGCAAGACGAGGAGGCGTATATGGCCTTCGGACAAAGTCTTGTATTCATAGCTAGGCCTCACCGATCTCTGCAAGCGATCGTGTGCGGCTGTCGTATTCGGAGCCTTTGGGTCCAAATTCTCTCGAAATAGAGGTTTCATGATTGAACCAGTCAACATAAAATGAGTTAAGGGTAATATGTAAAATTTCCGGACAACAGCGACCAGATCAAGAGTCGTCTTCATTATATCCAGCCACAGTAGCGCTGTGATTCTTACCTAAAAAGACTCAAGGCTACTTCGCATGAAAAGTTACTCTGAATAGATCAGTCTTGCCATGCCAGGCGGCAACAGAGGCATCGGTATTCGCTCGGCTGTAGACACGCTCCTGAAACCCTGCGCGCCAATAGCTGCGCGGCTGCAGGAAAATGGGTATGGTTCTTAACCGGGTTGAAGAGCCAATGACACCATAGTTGTCGTCGCGTAGGATTATTAGTAGCATTTGTCGCGAGGAACCGCCGAGTCGATCCATATGTGACCATTATCCCTCAAAGGTCGGAATTCAACATCTCTAAAACCAAAAAGAATTTAGAAAATAAAATCCCAACATGCCAGAAGCTAGACTATTGCTCTTACGAAAGGTGTTAGAGTATGTTTAGCTGCTCCAGCCAGTTCAGTGGGCATCTAGTACAGCCAAAGTAGCTGGAATTCTTCTCTTACCTTCTGGAGTAGTTAGAGTCTTTATTTTAATAGTTTTGATTTTGTAGTGTCCAGGGTTGGTTTTAGTAATTTGGAATTCCAACCTTTGGAGCGTAATTATCAGCCGCAGGCAGTGGCTGAAGCCGTGCGTAGCCTCGGACCCTGACACTAGTACTAGCGTGCCACCTTCGGAACTATCCCAAGCATTCCGACTTATTAGCAATCGTCAGCTCAGTTGCCTGGGCTTGCGACCTTCTCGACGCTTCCTGCGTCTTCTTACTATATTTCTAAACATCTCGCTCAACGACGGTGTTTTTTGTAATCTCCCTCACATTAGCATACTTAACCTTGATACTGGCGCTACCATCATGTCATCTGCGAACGATTCAAACACGAAGATGAAGGGCGAAGTAGAAGCTATCGGGGCGCATTGCCAGATGGAGTATTGCAATGTCCTCGACTTCCTGCCGTTCCCCTGTGAGAGCTGTAAAGGGTATGGGATACAACTACCACTTGAAGTCATCGAATTACGCTGATATACAACCTAGGACATTCTGTCTCGACCACCGTACCGAGAGCGCACATAAATGCCCAAAGCAGGGCCAGTGGGCACGGAGCAAAGTTGAGAGCAGCTCTGAAGATCTGGCGCCAAAGCCCACACTACTCAACCACGAACGACAGTGTGCCAGTGTCTCGTGCAAAACGCTCATCGATACCGCTCGCACTCAAGGCGTACAGTGCACCCGCTGCAATCGCCGCTACTGTCTCAAGCACCGTTTCGAAGAAGATCACGACTGCAAGAATCTGACACCGCTCGGCGCGCGCCCACAAAACTCCGTCCAAGTACGCACGCAAACCGCGCTCTCGAAGCTCAAAGCCTGGGCCGAGAACAAGAAGAAGGAAGACGAGAAGCGGAGAGCCGCGCCCAAGAAAACGGGATTCCTGGGTCTAGGCAAGACATCGGCGGCATCATCAGCCCAAGCCGAACTCAACGCGCTGAAGCGCACGGCAAAAGGCGAGGCTAGTGTTCCTCAGGAGAAACGGATATATCTGCATGTCGAAGCCTCGGCCGATACCACGAAAGCGAAGTATCCGACGGGCAAATTCTTCTACAACAAGGAATGGACAGTTGGTCGCGTGCTCGATATGGCAGCCAAAGCGCTGCAAGTCCAGAACGTGAACAACCGGGGTGGCGGCGAAGAGGAGAAGCTGCGCGTCTTTCATGTCGAGGGCGGGAGGTTACTCAAGTTCAACGAGAAGCTTGGGGAAGCGTGTCAGAGCGGGAACATGATTGTTCTGCTGCGTGGCGTAGGGTCGGGTGAGGCGCCGGATCTAATTGATTTATAACGAGTTATTGGAAAGAAGGGGACTTGTTATAATAGTATGGCGTTTGGTGATTGGAATTTCGCGCTGGAGATACCCGGGGTTACTTCTCACGATATTATGGCTGAGTAGAGCGAATTGTGCAAGTTAGACATGGATTGAGTCAACAGGAAGGGAGGAAAGAAAGAGCTGGCTGATTGCTTTGGCCCTGACATTATTCTCTTTGTTTGGAATCCACCATTATCAAATCACCTGTACCAAGGGCAACATCTGGGTCGCAACTTCCTCTGGAACCCATCACCAAGTGCCAATAGTCAGTGCCTTTGATTTTAGTTAATCTTTCATATTTATATTATGATTCATGCTTTACTACGACTATTTACAGTATCTACAAATAGCTAGGGCATCGAGCACTTCGATCGCCAGCAGGCCATACATGCTATCTTCCTTTATATTCATGCTTCATCGTCCGCTCATGGCCCTATTACCCTATTTACACAAGGGCCCTGCCATCTCCGAACCAATGTTTCTCCTTGAATTGAATGCTCTACAAGACATTACGCTTCCAGACATCTCCCAATCGTGAGGGTATTCACAGGCTCTTCCGCGTGACGTGGGTATTATCCGCGGCGATGGTATCGTATTTCGACGGTGGAATGGGTCTTGCCCAAGCGCCGCATTGACGGTCGTCCGTGATGTGTTTGTTGTACAGTTGGTACTGTGTTTGACTCGTTTTACGCGTTTCGCGAATTCTCTGTCGCATGCGCTTCAATCGTCGGTGGACGCGAAATTGCGGCACTTGAGGCTGTGGATCTTGGTGCCCCAGTCGATGCTACCAAGGTTGTTTACGCCGTCGGGAACAGTGAGGTACGAATCCATGTCCATGTCGCCTTTGCAGTCGTAATTGCTGTTCTCTTGTCAGCCAATGCTAGCTCGTCAGCCACCCTCAGCCTCGTCGCGAACTCACTTATAAAATCTACAGTTCCAGAAGTCATCGCGTTGCAGTACGCTCGCGACGTCGTGGCCGCCGACTAATATGCTCTGCACGCGCCCGTCGATGCTGACCCGGTGTCAGTAGGGGACTGATGTGAGGGGAGCGTAGATCTTGCATGGGTACGTACAGGTTGTTATCGAGTGAGAGACACTGGTTGTTGTACGCGTCGACGCTGACTTCGCTTAGGAACGAAGGCGCAGCAAACAGCTGGACCTTGATCTTGCCCGAGGTGATTGTGTCGCTGGCGGCGACGGAGGCCACCCATACCAGCAGCAGAGTTGGCAGGGGACCAAGGCGGGTGGCGGGCAGCATCATCATCATCATCATCACAACAGCGGCATGCAGAACCGCGACAACAGAGGGCGAGGTTGGGTGTTCACAGGGGTTTGTGGCGGTGCAGGGTAAGACGATGTGCGATGCGCAGGAACGGCGTGAAGAGAGGCGTCAGGCGGCGATGTTGGCGTGCGTGCGTGGGTCAGCAGGAGAGAACTGCAGTCGGCCATGACGGCGCTTGCTGTGCTGGTTGCATCGGGGATGCGTTGCCACGAGCCCCGATTGGCTACCTGCACACTGCACCGCCCCACTCTAGCGTCCCAGATTGGGGGCAGATCTAAGGCTGACAACCATCAACCTCATCCACCATTTGTCTTGGATAGTTGCGAACATACATATATAGTGGGTACAAAAAGCCTTTTATCTTTCCACATGAGGTGAGACATGAAACAAAAATGACAGCAGGTGATGGCCATCTAGCACTGGCCAGCTCTGATACACGAGGGCCATGTCTTCTAAGCCAGCAAAACCCTCTAACCTGAATATCAATGCGGCGTCAAGAAGTAAGAACTCTTACAGCAAAAGGTCTTATGTCATTCTGAAAGAGATTTCCTTTATTCGAAGTCCTTGAAAACGTGTTGGTTTTGTGCTTCGGTGGAGAAGACCAAGGAACCTTATATATTGCATCGTATCATCTAACCCAACATGCCAATTATAAATACAAGATCCATTTCATGGTTTCAGGGTCATTGGCCAAGGTATATACAGTTCCATTTCTCTCTTAAAAACCTTGTGTCCCTTGATGTAACCCTCTCTCTCTCTCTTCAAAATGAAGACTTTCAGTATCACGGCGCTAGTCCTCCTAACTTCCACTGTCCTTGCTAGCTGCCAATCCATTGGCTCCCACCCTAACTGTCTTTTACCAGTAGATTGTGGTACGTGCTGAGTCAGTTAGCAAGAATCTCGGTTGTAGCAGTTAAGACAGTCTTATGTTTAATTCCTATTAATTCCGGTAGCACCTCTTACTACTACCCCTAGAGCTACAAGTCTGTCTTAGTTGTCCATCCATCCATCCGAAATTTTGTTTTCCTAGTGTGAACGACTTAGTGTGGAAATCAAACAAATATAGATCAGAATAGACCCGGTACCCTAATCAAAACAAGAAACAATAAATTTGCACAATTATCTCACATGAATCCAACTACAATCAAACTCTTCCACCCACCCATCTTTCCTTCCATTCTCATCCCCCGAAACGTAAATGTGTGGGAATAAAACCGTAGATCCAAATGCGTAGGAATAAGATGTACACAAGAATTGGATCCAGCACCAAGACCACCGCGCAGCTACAACACTAGCGACTGTACAGTTGTCACCATCAAGCCACCCCTCTCACAACGCACAAAAAGGATTACCGTTACCTACCTACCCACCCCCCCCCCACCAGGAAATATCAGTACCCACGCATCCGTTACCTCATCGACCCAGTCCCTGAAACCCCTGCATATGTCAAACCATCCCTAATACAAGTATATCTCATACCCGCCCGACCTCTAGTACCAAAAATACTACACTAAACGGCCAGCTTCATACCATACATTGCCCTCTGCCCTCTCCTGTACCACCTAAAGCAAAAAGGCATCCCACACCACCTTGGCACAAACCTTTTCCCCCCACCGCGCCAGCACATCCACCATGGCGCAATTTCTCTTGGCAGCGGCCCCAAAGTCAAAATTAAGGTTGCGCATAGCAAAACGCTAGTTTTCATCTTGTCGAAAGGGCTAATTATGGGGGAAGACGGGTGAGCCGCACACGTGGAATTGCTCTCGTATTCTCGGGGTGGGTGGGCCCTGCGTGGGATGGTGGTACTGGGTCCCAAGTGGTCCAGGGTGGAATGGTATGTATATTTGGATATGTACGTATGTACGTATGCAAAGCGGTTGGGAAAGCGAGCAACGACGATTTGATACATACCGTGGTGAGAGCCATGAGAGCAGGGTAAACATGAATAGTTTGAGGGTTCTCGCCCCTGAAAGGTATCATTAGTAATTGAAAAATAATAATATACATAGGGTGAATAGTTCAAGCGTGTTTCTCCTTGTCTCCTTAGTCTGCGTCGAATGCCACAAATATATACAGCCCATCTATTTCCTATCCACTTTTGTCCCAACCCGTAAATGCGTACGCGTGTTTTTACAACATATCCCTCGTAACCGTCCAATTTGTCGTAATCATCACATTATCTTTTCCATCTTGCGTTCGAACCTCATCGACCATTCCAGGGGGTGTAAGACTTCGCTTTCGGTCCTGAAAAGTAAGTTCCACCTCGTCGTCAGATGGGCCGCCCTGCACATGCGATGAGTAAGTGTCGTCGCCAGATACGTGGACTCTGTTGGATGGCCCGGAAATATAGCCGGTGTTGCTGCGGCTTGTCGTGGTGGGATTACTGGACCGGATGATGAGTGTTTTGAAAAAGGGGAGCGAGACAACGATGATGGCTGTGCACATTTCGGCGGTACACCAGAGATCTAGTAGTACTTGTCAGCAAATAATACCTTCAATAAGATGGCTTTTTTGTTTAGTGGTAGACTCACTTCCATCTGCATCGCTAACGTTGTAGTCCATGTTGTAGACGATGAAGCGGGCCAGACTAATTGCCATTGTGATAGCGCCGAGCGAGAAAACTCCAACCAAACCGATCCTCTGTCGTTTTCGTAGTTTGAGACAGTTTACAATGAAGAAAGGGAGAATGAACACTGTATTTAATTGCTCGTTAGCCAAAAGAATTCAGCAATGGGTGTCCAGAAGCACACATACGCAGCAGGTCAGTGGAAAAGTTGAGGGCCCAATTAATCACCAAGTTGGCATATGTGTTCCATGTCGAATAGAGCTGGTTTTCAATTGACCTGTCATTTCTGTTTAGAAATATGCATCTCTGAGTATCGCAGTGGTCATATCATACCAGTTGTCAGAGATCTTGGGGGCAATCAGGGTATCCGTCAATATGCTTGCGAGAAACGCACAAGCCACAGCACCAGCGGTAACGTAGGTTGCAATTCGAAGGCGTCGAAAGCCGGATGGGATTAACCACCAGTAGAAGGCCACAAGGGACGCTTTGGGAAAGTAAAGCCCAGTATCGAAGAAGTACACGGACGCGAAGACGGTCTAATCACACTCTAATCAGTTTTTGTCGCCTCTATTTGCTTTATATTTTGCCTGGTAGTTTGCACGAACCTTGAGATAATCAACTGAATCGCTTCGCGTCTCTTCATCCAGTGGATGATCGATGAGAATGTATAGCGCTTTAGTTGAGCAACTGAACCATCCTAGTGCGCACAACCATCCTCCCCACACGAGCCAGTCGACCAGTGTCAACCCTCGTTGCTCGAGGCGAACGCGGATCCAACATCGCATACAAGTGACACCAAATGCTAGGCCAAGCAAGAGTGCCTGGATCGCCTGTAGTGGGTAAGTAGGCCGCTTTTTTGAAAGCAGACATGGGAGCTTACAATGGATGTCACGATCTCCATTACGATACGAGTAACCACACGTCGGTATACTTAGTGGAAATACATGGGGTCCGGCTGGATATAGAAGGAGAAGAGGGGAAGGCAAGAATAAGCGTCTGTCGCATGTTTGACGTTTCCACAGCTGCATATAGTAGTTGGAGCGAGTGTGAAAAGCTAATCACAGGCGAAAGGTATTCCACTGCCGCGAGTCACACGTCCGAGGAATGTTACTCGGGCCGTCCATATCTCGCATCGGGGACATGATCCACGGCGTCCCAGATCGCCATTAGCGTTGACCCTTGCGGCCAAGATACTTGATGGTTATCCAAGGCTAGAGAAATTTGCCGTCTAATAGAAACAATGACAGGGTGTTGTTGCAAATCCCATTCGGTGGCCCCAGTTTACACTGACGTTAGTGACGCATGCTGTTGCGGGTGAGAAGACGACCAGGCGATGATTCGTCTTTTGGAAGAGCGATGAAACACTATTGGCATGGGATTTGATCTTCGTAACTCGTTCAAATCACATCAGACGGCATGTCTAATGCATGCCCAGGCGGCAAACCAGTTACTTTCGGACCCTTTGAGCGGCAGTCGGGTAGTGTGGAATGCAAAACAACCAGCATCCGAATAGCTTGGAAGAGGGCAACTCTAGAAACGCCCGGCTGCTGATATCAACCTTTGGGGTACCAAACTTTAAACTTTGAGCTAGCTTCAATGGCCGATAGCGCAATCTTGGGTGAGGGTGAGTCGTCATCAAAGGAGGTGAAAAAACCTGGCACTCGGCAGATAGTTCCACGTGCTAAAGAAACCGTTTTAAGCGGGCTTCGGAGGCATTGTTTGCAGTGCATTCATTGGCACTGATGGAGATGGAATCTGTTCGAGAAGGGCTGACATTAACTGCTTGACTCGCCGCGTAGAGTGTTGGGGACTTGGCGGGTCCGCGGGGTTGGCCGGCGATCAAATCCAGGCGACCCACTATTCGTCACGCTAGATCCCAAACATCAGGTCAATTTTCGCTCCCGCCGATCAACTTCTCGGCCAGTGCCTTAGTGTGTACGCGCAACGGCATGAGATTAGCAAAACTCCCAATGAACAACAAGGTTATGCCCTGCATCGCCCTATGTTTCCTCCTGTCTTGTTACCACCTACTCTAGGAGTACATACTTGTCTCTGGACTAGGCACTGTAAACATATCCTTCGTTCTACCAAGCTTTCACTAAGCAGCCACCCGCCGGCAACATGAATGGACAGCCAGACACCATGGATACTTTGTGCTTGCCGTCGTGCGACGGGTATTGCACGAGCACAACGCTGCTAAGTCCGATTAACCTTTTATCACCAAAAGGCGTCCACTCAGCCCCAGAACAAATGTGAATGTGGGAACATCTGCATATGGTAATGCCCGCAATGCAACGATCGAACCGTGTGTCCAGCGGTACGCAATCGCTTGATATTTCTGTTTCCGATGTAGTTTGGGACACAGTGGCATGAGGTCCGGCCGGTCGGCGTCCCAGCCATGGGACCCTACGCCCGCTGTCCCGCCACTATGTACGTATGCTGTGTAGTGCTAGCACAAAACAGTAGGCAAAGACTTCGGACTCGCCATGCCCAAGTGCGGAACATGAATCGGGAGTCGCAGCCAGTCGAGCTGAAAGACTCCGTTATTGCGTCAGGACCGGCATGGTGGCTTTTGGAGTTATAAAACCGAGGCTACCATAGTGGATTGGTGCCGGTAGCCTCGCACGTGGGAAATTGACGGCGCAATCGTTTTGTGGAGCCTCGTCGTTCGGGTTTGCGCACTGCTAATTTCGATCTTCCGATGCTCCGGCTTGTTTGCAAATATTGGTATCTTCATGGCTTTTGATCGTTAATCACAGGCACTATCGACTGGTTACTGGTGTTGTCATTTGCCTCCCTGTCGGTCGCAAGCTTTCTTCCCCATTTGCCCTTGAATTTGCCTCCTTGCTGTTTAATCCTCTCTTTCTTTGTGCTTGCCACCCACTCTCCACGGAACCGTTGCCTCGGTCTTGCTTGCTGCTCTTCGGTCTTGCGCTTCACACTTGCATCCCTTCCATTGACATGCCCTTGGACGACCGGATGGGCAGTGACCCAGCGATCAAGTTGTGGTCTAAGCTTCGGCCCCCAGGCGTGTTCGCCAGCTTCCAGATCCGCATATGTTAGCGTGCTTGTCAAACTTGACGGCTCAGGTGGGTTTGATGTGGTGAAATCAGCTTGTCTTGTTCGAAGTAAAGATACCATGTGCGAGCATGTATCACATGAACCGCCGAGGTCGTGTGCAAAACTGCGAACGTAAAAGCCCGAGCATACCGTCAGTCGTATTTTCGCGGCAGGTGCTGAAGCGGGCTCGACCTTGCCCGGCCATGCAAAGTCATGCTGGCCCGGCTCGTACCATTCCAGCAGCGTACACTCGTCAACATGCATTTCTCGGCTCTCCAGCTCTCGTGGCAGGTCCCTCCTCTGACGCGCGTACTCGCAAGCCTTGATACCATTGATCTTCAATGCCGAGTACAGAGGGGGCAGTTGCTGTATTGTTCCTCTGAAACCCCCAAGCTTCTCATCAACCAATTCTTTTGTCACGTGCGAGTATCCCGCTTCCTGGGTTACGGAGCCAGTACAGTCGTAAGTATCCGTGCTTGCGCCGAACAGCACAACTGTCTCATAAGTCTTTCTGCAAGATAGATAATTAGAGAGTTGTTTAGTGCCACGGCCGATGCCCACAATAAGAACTCCAGCAGCCAAGGGATCCAGAGTCCCGCCGTGTCCGAGACGAAACACCTGATTAGACGATTTGCTGGTACGCTTGGGTTGCGTCCTGAGCAGTGGCGCAAATGTGGCTGATGGCGCAAAAGTTTCCTGCAATTTGAGGAGAACATCTGCAGACGAGACGTTTGCTGGCTTGGCAACAGCTGCTCAATTATCAGGATGGAGAAGCAACAAGGAACAAGAAGACGCACCGAAGATACCTTCCAGGACTTTCTCACCCTCGCTGTCCATGATGAAAGACAAGCTGCGGTCAGTAGGAGTTGGGGCTCCAAAGCGATGAAAGAAGGAACTGCTTCCAGCGTCCAGCGCACTGGGCAACTACCGCGAATCCTTCACCCCGCTACCCCCACTTTCCTCACGCCCTACGCCTTGCGAGAAGATAGTATGCATGCCTCATGGAAAACACACGTGAGATGATGCAGCCGGCCTATTGCTTTATATCGCTGAACCTTCTTGCACACAAGTGCTATTCCAGCCTGAATTCTCTCATTGCCTTGTCGTGCCGGTCTCGGTCTGATCCCTTCATTGTTGCCTCTCCCCCGCTCCCTCTCTCCCACCATGGACCAGCAGCAGCAACTGGATGATTGGCAATTTCCGCTTTGGAGTGAACAAGAAATAGATGCATCCTACTTCGAGGAATTCCTCGCTACAGATGTAACCCAAGATGAGACCCTTGCCACATCCATGCCGCCCGACACATTCGGCATCAACACTCGGACGAGTAACACGAACTACCAGGACCTTTATGCAGGGAGCAAACCCGGATCGTCAAGCAATACCTGTTCGGTAAGCTACCTAATGGATGCTACTCCCAATCAAGCAGTCGAAGGCTACCGACAAATACCTGTACTACGACAGCACACGCTTCCTCGTCGTCGCAGCAAGTACATGATCCGGACATCAATAGGAACATCTAGTCCCATTGCCATTCCAATCAGCTCCCAATATGAAAACGAACAAGAGCAATCTTTGACGATGCAGCGATGGCGCAATTCGCCACCTGAAGATGAAGCAGCATCTTTCACCGCTATATGCGACGCTCTCGATGGCCGGCCCGTAGGTATAGCACCGAGGATCAGTTGTTCTTCAAATCAAAGTGCTTTCCGAAAGTACCGAGGCCCATCATCGACAACCAGTCTGGACAGTGCAGCGAGTGAATCTTCGTTGCGATCAGCCAATTCAAGTCATTCTGCTACATCGCAAACTAGACGCCGCAGTCAAGCTAGTAGAACACGTAAAAAGGGCAAGGCCAAGATCAAGAATGCAGACGACTCAAACCGTATTTTTAAATGTACCTTCTGTTGCGATACATTCAAAACCAAGTATGATTGGACACGGCATGAGAAGTCACTACATCTGAATATGGAGGAGTGGGTGTGTACGCCACATGGGGCTTCTGTCGTGCTGCCTTTGACTGGCAGAGTTCATTGTGCATACTGCAGTGCGCTTGACCCAACCCCTACCCACTTGCAGCAGCATAACCACGAGGTTTGTGGTGACGGCCAATCTACGCCTCGTATATTTCGCCGAAAGGATCACCTTGTTCAACACCTCCGCCTCGTCCATGGGCTAGATACGCTTCCGCTTATTGACGATTGGAAACTCGAGTCAGGTCCCATAACGTCTCGCTGCGGCATTTGCGATGCCGTCTTGAGAAGCTGGGATGAAAGGGCAGACCACTTGACAGCGCACTTCCGCGAAGGAAAGACGATGGACGACTGGACAGGAGAACATGGCTTTGAGCCTGCTGTATCTGCTCGCGTCCTTAATGCATTCCCGCCTTATCTTATTGCAGATCAAGCAAAAACAGTGGTCCCTTTCTCGGCGACGAATCCAGGCTCAATTGACCATACCAAGCAGTTTTTCTCGCATCTCCAATTAGAGGAAGCAGCGTCCGCACTTACCACGGAGGATGCACCATTTCAGGACCAGCAGGACTTGAGCGACTCTCTGGCTGCGCTTCGAACAACGCCGTCTCTACACAACAACTATGATTTTGCTACAGTTCTTACCCGCCATCTCAGCCGCTTCGCGAGACAGCAGATGCTTTTGGGCATCATTCCTACGGACGAGATGTTTCAACGAGAGTCACGAAGGCTCTTCTATCAAGACGGAGATGATGGATGGAACCAGACTTTAGCTGACCATCCAAGTTGGCTACAAGATTTCCGTCAGCAAGGCGGATTTATGTAAAGAGCCAAGCAATCTACGTATAGGGCAGTGCTGGCACTAGGATATAAGTAGTAAGAGCCATCAGTGGATATGCGCGAGCCCACGCGTCCTCGGTGGAATAGGAATATTAATCCCTAAATTGCCGAAAGTGATACGCTACACTTGCGTGGGGAAGGAAGTTACGCGAACAGTACAGTTGTACCCAGAAATGCCGAGATCCATCAATATGTTCACCGGTTGCTCTTGGCCCTATCTTTGCTTTATGTAGGAATGGAAAGCTGATGCTTGTAGCTTGCACTGTGAACCGAGACTGCTTTCGATGACTTCAGCAAAAAAGTGCGTGTCTGTTGGTTCATCCAATATATGCGTTTTTCATCAAGATCGAATTCGAACACCTACAATGAAGGGCTCAAAACGAGCTTTGTATCATAGCTTGTTATCATGTAAGGGGTGGTTGGACCAAAGCTTAAAGATGCCCCGAGCAACTGGATCAAGGGTCAAAGATCGCTGGGGTACATAGCGGACTACGAAGTACTACTAGCTCAAAGGCAACCGCACAGACCAACCATAAATGAACTGCAAGCCTTTGTGTCATCGTCTTCGAACTCAATATGAACACCTTCCTGTGACCGTTTCTCCGCACGGACAAGTTTGACTGCTCAAAATTTCATCCAAGCATCGCCCAAGATGCAAAGTTGTTGAATAAAAATGAACAACACAGCAGCCTAGGCAACGTATCCGCCACGGAAGCTGTCACAAATCTCTTGCCTCAACCTCACTTAGTATCGGGGATACGCGAGGAGTAGACACAACACTTCTGGGAGCATGGTGATTGTCATCTCCGTATCCACTACGATGTATAAATACAACGGCTTTACCGGCTACCTGGCCCCACAAGAGACGTGCGCTTTCCCCTTCGATCACTAGTGATTGGTTCCAAGAGGCCTCGATCAGCTCTCTTTTCGTCCAATCTTTCCCTTACCATGTCTTCAGCCGACTTGATGAGAGCGCCTTGTTTTGTTATTATCGAACTAGGAAGAAAGAGCGGATTCAACCGTTATGTGTTGACAATTTCAGTGAACCAAGGGATGCAGTGAAAGTTAGGTAGCCTACTACTTCAAAAGGCTAGAAAAATTGAACACGTTCAACAGTAGGCTTCGAGATGAAGGCTTAATCTGTGATAGCGCGCTATTCGTATAAATAGCCTGGTCTCTTGAAGTTTCAGCCATGCAACCGGACCTTAGTGCTAGCGCAAGTAGTGCGCATCCAATATCATCTTATTTCTTCATCTATTGAGAACATGGGATACAAGAGAGACTCTTTCGAGTAGCGGAACCGGATATCTTCCAGGTGGGTCAAAGATGACGTTGTCAATAAGCCATCCAACCATGAAGGCAATCTGAACGAGCTCAGTTATGCTAGACAACCTTTATCATTGTTACACGTCCAATGCTGGGGAGAAGGGACAAGTACAATGTGCAAAATGATATTCAATTCATCTTTATCGTGCCAGCATGCTTCAGAAGATAGATTGTTGGCAATAAGATCAACAAGTGGACCCAGTGGAGTTGCCCACACGATCAACGCTGAGCATTTGCGGGGTTAAAAACGGACTTATTATGACCCTTAATTGACGGGCACACGGGAGGGACGGCCCAGTTGATTCATGCACGGCTCTTCATCCGGGTTCGGTGGTTCTCTGCTACCTGGCCCTTTGCACGGTAAGTCACTCGGTGTCTTTTGACAGCGAAGTTCGCAACCTAGCCTTCATGAAGAAACAACAACAAAAATCAGTCACCAGTAGTTTCTATGTCCGGAAACCTTAACGAATATGATAAAGACCCCATACACGAGGTGAGCAAGATACAAACTTAGCCCATAGTGGGGCTGCTCGTACGTGGAGACCATCATAGATGTACAAATAGCGAAGTGGATGATCATGAAAGTGAGAGTCAAGAACTCAGCTGCCATTCCTCACATATCTTATCTCACCCAGAGATTTTTCCAAACTTGAAATTTGCCGCGATGCAGAGCCAATTCAACGAGTCTGCACCTTCGGTAGCGTTCTTTTGCTCACAGAGCAAGGCTCCAACAGAGGCCTACCTCACATAATTACAAAAATACCTCACCCAGAACCCTCGCCTATAGCCTCTTTTAGAGGCAATTACATGACTGAAGGACACATGGACCACACTCTGCAATGAGTATGCGGACATTGCCAAAGTCACAACAGGCCCGCAACATGTCCTCAATCTAGAACGATTGGTTACCGAAGGCATATCTGGACCTGTGTCCAAATCGATGTCTAGGATTCTTTATTTACCTTTGCTCGTCGTCATTCATATCTGCCAATACTTCCAATGGCTGGACATTCACAACCTCACGCACGCCGAAGTGCTACAAAGTCTGGAAAGTGGTGGCGGTGCGCAGGGATATTGTGGAGGTCTTCCTACAGCATTCACCATCGCTTGCGCTGAAGACGAATAAAGCGTCGTTCGCATTACCAGTAAAGCTATCCGCTTGGACCTTGCAATAGGAGCATTTGGCCAACTTGGCGACAGTGAATCAGTTCCTAGAGCGGCAACAATCGCGGTGCGGCTGAAATCTTCTCAGCAAGGAACCGAGCTAATCAGAGATGTTCCTGGAGTAAGTCATTTTCATCGGTCCCTGCGTAACTTCCCGTCTTACCTATGGTCTCATTCGCTCCGGCCGTATTCCGGTCGAGAGATGCCTGTCACTTCGTCATCCGATCTCCTTGTTGCGCAATGACTACATGCTCACAGTGACTAGTGTTATATTTCGGCTGTAACAGAGCCGAGAAATATCAGTATCGTAGGTCCAGTGCTCGAGCTCAAGAAAGTGGCCGACAGGGCACGTGATCAGGGCCTAACGGTCTCTGATATCCATATCCGCGGCAAAGTACACAATCCAGAGAACGCACCTTTAGTTAAGGTGCTGTTTGACATATGTCAGAAACATGATGAAATGAGCCTGTCCGATACCAGGAAACTGTGAGTCTCTGTGCGATCGAATTTGAATGGCAAGCTAGTACGAGACTGCTCACTGACCTACGAGGCGATAAACGCCACCCTTGCTTCCCACTGCAAGTGGTATCAATTATTGAAGGAAGCATCACGAGATCTAGCAGGCATCAATAACGAATCTCACAAATTCGTGTTATTTGGCTTTGGAGATGTTGTTTCTCTGTTGCCGTTCCACAATGCTCGTTTACACATAACGAAAGTGGAAGCTTACACCACCATTCAAAATGCCGCATTAGATGAGTACGAGTAGTAAATAACTCCAAGAACACGAGCGCGCTGTGACCTTATGTTTGCCCAAATCAACATAATGCTAATAATCGACGCCAGTCTCGAAAGCGCCATCGCCGTCACTGGAGCTGCATATCGACTGCCAAAGGCAAACGATCTTGAGGAGTTATGGAACCTTCTTTCCGCCGGGATATCGACTTACGAAGAAATTCGCCTCGACAGAGTACCTATGCACGAAAGTTTTCGCGCAATGCAGAATGAAAAATGAAACCGAAATGGTTCGGCAACTTCATTGATGGAGCAGACGAATTCGACTGGAATTTTTTCCGCTCGAACGTCAAAACAGCGGCCAATATGGACCCACAACAGCGCACCTTACTAGAGCTGACGTATGAAGCTCTAGATTCTGCAGGGTATCTCCGCAGACATCGCCGTGAAAACGGCGATAAAGTCGGTTGCTTTATCGGAGCAAGTTATGTCGAGTATGCGGATAACACAAACGCCTACCCACCCACTGCATACTCAACAGTCGGTACCATTCGGGCATTTCTGTGTGGAAAACTAAGTCATTGCTATGGTTGGACCGGGCCAGCCGAAGTCATCGACACTGCATGCTCGTCCTCTCTTGTCGCCATCAACAGAGTTTGCCGTTCCATTCAGTCTGGTGAATGCCCAATGACTATTGCTGGCGGAGTGAACATCATATCCAGTGTTCACAATTACTTAAATCTTGAAAAGGCTGGTTTCCTGAGCCCGACGAGTCAGTGTAAGCCATTTGACGAGTCAGCTGATGAATACTGCAGAGGTGAGGGAGCTGGAATTGCAGTATTAAAACCCCTGAAACAGGCTTTGGCAGATGGCGACCAAGTGTTGGCTGTCATATCAGGATCATCCACTAACCAAGGAGGGCTGTCCGAGAATCTGACACTGACACATCCACCAGCCCAAGTGGACTTGTATAAGTCAGTTCTTAAGGGCGCCAAGATGAGCCCACGCCATGTTTCATACATAGAAGCACATGGCACTTGCACGTCTCAGGGTGATCCATTGGAGGTCAGCAGCATCAGAGAGGTGTTTGGTGCATCGGATCGACCAAACAAGGTGTATCTTGGTTCGATCAAAGGCAAAACCGGTCACGCAGAATCGGCAGCAGGCGTTGCAGGGCTTGTCAAAGTCATTGCCATGTTGAAGAAGAAATCGATTCCGCCTCATGTGTCATTCAATACGTTGAACCCGAAGATACCTTCTTTGGGCCCAGATAAGATCACTATAGCAAGGAATCTAGAATCATGGAACACTCCTTTCAGAGTAGCCTTAGTGAACAACTATGGAGCTGCTGGAAGTAATGCAGCAGTCGTTGTTTGCGAAGGACCTCGGAAGGATGTTGGTAAAGCGTAAGTTGCTCTTAGGTCCAAGACTGCCTGGACTAACATGTATACCTAGGCGAACCCTTTCACATATAAGCACCGTATATCCTATCATTCTCTCTGCCTTCATACAAGAGAGTCTTCTGGCTTGTGTAAAGTCATTGAAGTCTCACATCAGTCGAACGAATATCGACCTAGCAAATCTTGCTTTTACCCTCTCCGAACGGCGAAAGAGACAACCTATCGCATGGATGACAACAGCTTCCTACATTGACGGCCTAATTCATCAGCTTTCTACGGACATCTCACCCTGCGAGATCCCTCGGGCATCCAAAAAAATGGTTCTTGCGTTTGCTGGTCAAAGCAAGCAGGTCATTGGCTCATCAGAAACTCTATAAGAGTCCAATCCCAGGCTACAATACATGAATAAGTGTGATGGTATCCTGAAAGAACTTGGATATACATCAATCATTCAAGCTTGTTGCCGTTCGCGCCCAGCTTATGGTGACCAAGTGGGGTCCAGATAAAGGCACCATGCTTGCCATCTTCGCGCCAATCTCTGTTGTTGAAAACATCATTGAAGCCGCTGGTAATAAGACTATCGAGATTGCTTGCTTCAACGCTCTAAACAGTCAGTTTGTCGTCGGAAACGAGATGGCAGTGGCCGATGTGGAAAAGGGTTTGGCGACTAATCCCTCGTTCAAGGGAGTTAGGAGTTAAAGGGTCGATGTTACCCATGGATTTCATTTTGTTCACTGAGCCCCTCCTCACAGAACTTTCCGAGTCCTTGCAATCAGTATCTTTCAAGAAGGCATCCATTCCCATCGAGACCTGCACACAGCAGCAGACCGATTCAATTACTGATGAACGCGTTCTGTTGCACCTCCGGAAACCAGTCTACTTCATTGACGCGGTTAGGCGGATCGAAGAGCGTTTTAGAGATTGTATCTGGTTCGAGGCAGGATTTGATTCACCTATAGTCTCAATGATCAAGCGTGCTGCTGCCAACTCGGATAGGCACTCATTCCATGCCATTAAGACAGCTGGTATTGAGCGGCCTACTGAGTCACTTTCCAAAATCACTATCGGTCTTTGGAAGGAAGGGCATAATATTACTCCTTGGTCTTTCCTATCTCCGGCAGCTATTCCTATGCATCTACTACGCCATGTTGGGTCTACTGGTAATACGTAGAAATTTGTCGTCAACAGTTCGGCAACCCGTTTCTGTAAGCTAATAAGCGATCATTCAATCAGAGGTCGGCCACTATTCCCAGCTCTCTTGGTTCTGTAGATAGCCCAGATCGCGCAACCGTTCATGGAATAGGCAAACTACACTTGACTAAACAGCCTAGGTTCTCCACATACAAACTCCTCCTTGCGGAACGCATCGATTCGATTCGATCAAGTCCCACTTCCGAGAAGATAATGTGTGGACGAGCTTATCAGCTCTTTTCCAAGGTTGTTCATTACGCTGAATCCTCACAAGGAATTGAAAGCATCACCATCAACAAGAATGAGGCGCTAGCTACAATCCGCATACCAGATAGTCATATCGGAAGCGGCGAAAGCGCGGTAAAGAAGCACTGCGACACTGTTTCTATCGACATGTTCCTTGAGGTCTCCGGCCTACTCATCAATAGCAGCTCGGCCTGTTCTAGAGATCAAGTGTTCATAACTTCGGGACTCGAAAGCGTCACCATGTCCAAACTCTGCGACTTCGGCTCCGTTAAGGAATGGAATGTCTATACTATTTCAACGCTCAACTTGGCCGCTGAAGAGCCTGAAAGTGATGAACGACAAGTCAACCTGTTCAGACTCATTTCCGAGCTCTATGGTGTGGATGTAAGTCTCATACAAGAGAGCCAATCTCTTGCAGATCTCGGATTCGATTCCCTTTCTACTACAGAACTGGGATCAAGTTTTTCTGATGAGTTGAACGTCAATCTTGAAAGCACCAATGTGCTCCCCGATTGTTCCGTTATCGACCTTATGCAATTGGCTGGTATCTTTTCATCAAAGCAAAAACCCAGGCTTTCAAAACCACCAGTTTCGACTGTGAAAAGTGTACCAACAAGCAGTTGTGGGAGGGCTGCAGGTGTTACGGATCCGTTCAAGTCTCTCGTGGCAGCCGAGAGCTCCCTTCCCGTATACGCGACAAATTGCCAATATACAGGGTATTTGACTGAAGCCGCTGCTCGTCAAGATGAACTTCTCCTTGCATATATGACAGAAGAGCTCCAAAAGTTGGGAGTTGATCTCAAAGCTCTTAGAATCGGCCAAAAGATTCCTAGCTTCTCGTATCAACCGAAACACTCCAGGGTAGTACAAAGGTATTACGAGATTCTCCAAAAGCACAAAGTCATCGAGAAGAAAGGCCCAGACTGCGTTCGATCATCTACCTCATGTAAGTTTGCGCCTTCGTCTCGGCTCTGGGGCAAATTCTTAGCCGATTTCCCCCAATACAGCTGCGAGGCAGAACTCATGTCTCTCACCGGATCGAAGGTAGCAGAGTGCTTAACGGGCACTGAAGACCCCATCAAACTCCTCTTTGGTAACCCAAAGGCACAAGAAATCATCGAGAACTTCTACGCCAAAGCGACCATGTTCGCCACTCTGACCGAGCTCCTTGTTGATTTCTTGCTTCGTCTGGCCAAAAACGCCCACGCGCCTATTAGCATCCTTGAAGTCGGAGCGGGCACAGGAGGCACTACAAAGCGGGTCATCGAAGCACTGAGCAACCTCAACTACCCTATTGAGTCTGAGCAACCTCAACTACCCTATTGAGTATTTCTTCACTGACATCTCCTCAACATCTGTCCGAAACGCATCCAAGAAGTTCAATCACCCCGGCATGCAATTCAGATTGCCCAACCGAGAGACTCCACCTCCCACAGATCTAATTGGCAAATTCGACATCGTAATTAGTACAAACTGCGTCCACGCGACAACCAATAGGGCCGATACCTGCCGTCGTATCAAAGAAATGCTAAACTCCAATGGTGTTTTGGTGCTTTCAGAAATCACCACCAAGATAGATTGGCATAAGGTCGTCTTTGGACTGCTAGACGGCTGGTGGCTGGCGAACGATGCCGATCATGCCATTCAACCACTAAAAGTGTGGGTGAAGTTCATGCATCAAGCTGGATTTGCAAGTGCTAGCTACTCGCAGAGTACAGCGCCTGAATGTAATCTTCAGAGACTGCTTGTGGCTTCTGTAGAACAGTATCCGGAGCCGGCCCGTTAGATGGAGTTGCTGGCGGCTGGAGTAGAAATGAAGAGTTGGATATTACGTGATTGATAGATAGATGTGTTTCTGGGTCCTTTTGATCAGGGGTTTGATAGCTCATTTACACTTTTTCATCAGCATGTACTAGTGATTACCCAACATGTTGCAATAGCAATTGAATCACAAATTATCACGATGCAATTTGCGTCAATTCCGAAACGTTCCAGGTGTTTCTCCATCACCAACTAAGACGTTCCTAAAATCGTCAACTGGCCACATTGAAAGACTATAAATTTTAAATTTATCTTAGAAATTGGCCTTAAAACTCAACTCATGGTTCGGTTGCTGTCGGAGTTTTAGTCCAATGTGTAACGATTAGCTGTCCATTCCGTGCCTTCATCACCAATCAAACACGGGAAACGGCAAAATGTTACCAAAGACGGTGCGAATAGCCATGTGGCTTCCGAGAGCCAAAGGGAGTAACATAATGATACCCGTAGGCCATGCCGGGTCACGCAAGGGCATTCCAGTTTGGGAAAGTCCACGTACTACAAAGTTCGCTCGGGCCCACCTTCCATTTTGAAAAGACAGCCGTGTACCATTTTCACCGCCATTGCAACTGAGTCGTTACTTGACAGTAAGCAGTGCGCCAGGGAAGCGACAGGACGGAAATACACCGCTGACGGCCCGTTAATAGCGGCATGACGCTTAGATAGTCACGTGATGCACCATTCGCTTCATTTGTAGCACTCGAGCTTGCTTCTTGGGAGAAGCCTGGTGACTAAATAGCACTTAGAAAGAAGGTTTTGACTCAGAACCAACTTCCCCTGTGCTGGGCATATGCGGAGCGTATTTCAAGGCGGGTAGTATTGCCCCAAATTCGAAGAGACACCGAGTACTTAGCGCGAATACATATGTAGAACCAAAGATGGATTATAGACTACTCATGGTTACTCTTGTGCCGCAGCCTTTCGACCCTTCTCTAAACCATCTGCAAGCCAGTCAGGGAGCGTCAATGAACTTTTCTGAATAAACTCATCATCACGTTGGACCATACGGACCGCATCCCATATCTTTTCAAGTTGGTCCTTCGTCTTCTTAAGTCCTGCTTCATAGTTATCCATAGCAACCTTGTATCCCATATAATCTCTTGCTGTGTCTGCACTGATTATCCCGTTTCCAACATCCATACCTCCAGCCTTGTAGTCGATTGTTTCATCTCCCACGTCAGCTAGATAGTTTCCATTGCCATTATCGTATTCTAAGCTTGTCTCGAATTGGGAGCGGGTAAAGGTCAGGTCTCTGGAAAGATGTTCCATGATGGCTTGTTGCTTTCGCACAACGTCAAGAAACTCCTCAATGACCTTCCGATGGTTTGGCCTGGAGTGACTAGATAGTGTCGTGCCACTGGCTTGATTCTTGGACTCGTTTGCACTCATGCCTGCTGTTCGGGTTGAGGCATTCTAAGTACGTATGACTCATAATCTGAATGTTTGCGCGAGGACTTACTACGTTGAGAGAGGGAATCGTGTAATTCGAGTAATGTGAGACACGATTGTCAGTAACCCCGCTGCTACTGACAAGATACGTAGAAGCACGTGGATCATGCTGTGCCACAAGTATGCCAGATTGGGGATAGCATACATCTCAAAAGGAGACGATCAAAAGTATGCCGATTACCACACCCCTTGGGAAAGTTGAGTGAGGCAGAAGCATGTAACGTCGAGCTGCCAAAAACAAAAACAGTAGTAAAATCGAGGACCGAGAACGACAAAAGTGTATATATAGACTAGGCTAGTGGTTCATTCTTCGCACTTGAAATTTCCTCCAACAAGCCAGTACGTTCTGACCATCTCACACGGACTTACTTTGCATCAACAAACGAGGCTGCCATACATTCAGCATCAACAATAGCGATGAAGAAAAGGCTCGTGCATCACAGCCAGAAAGCAATATGACCACTCAACAACAACAAAGATCAAGATACAGACACACACAGTGAGAAAGAGAGAGTAAGATAAGCATACTTTTGATTCTTGATATAACGCAACAATTACAGCAACGGGGCTCATACGTAGATCGTGGTATTTACAAAAAATAAAGCAGGGACAAATGACAGACATATATATCCGAATTCATATCCCGACTTTAACTGCAAGTACCAGATGTCTTGTCACAGCCGGCACCACAGTGGCCCTGCGAGCTACCGCACCATCCAAACTGTGAGCAGCAGTTACCGAAAGGCGAGCCTTGGCAGGTAGCGCCGGAAGCCTTTGCTCCGCACTGGCCATCGGTAGAGATGGGCTTGGAGGGGGAGGTGCTGCCGCCAGTGCAAGTGCCAAAGGCAGAGTTGCAGCCAGCCTTGCAGTGGCCTTCGGTGCTACCGCACCATCCGAAGGAAGAGCAGCAGTTGCCAAAGGGAGAGCCGGCACAGGTTCCCTTACCAGAGCCGCATTGGCCGTCGGTGGAGACGGGGGTGCCGCCGTTGCCGCCGCCGTTGGAAGGGGGGTTGACGACCTCGCCACTCTTGCGGTACCAGTTTGCTTCGGGCTCGCCCATGCACTCGCCCATGGTGACACCACGGTAGCCTTTGGACTTGAGGTACTCGAGCATGTAGCCAGTGAGGTTGAGTGCGGTCTGCTCGTGGATGTCGTGGGCAATGGCCAGACGGTCACCAGTGGCTGGGCCGCCGGCAGTGGAGTCGAGGATGCGCTTGAAGTTGTCCTTTGCGACTTGAATGTTCTTGAGTTGGTTGTAGTCATCCTTTGAGACGTGTTAGTATGTGAAGCTCATACAAGAAAAAGGAAAAAATAATATGGTTTCACGTACGGTGTCCAAGTCAAAGTAGCTGACGACGTATCCGAGCTTCTTCATCACACCCTGGCAGGCGGCATTGCAGGATGAGTAAGGGGGGCGCATGTACGTGGGGTACTTTCCGATGATGTTCCTGATGGCCATTTCGTTCTTGACCATCTGATCATAGCGCTGCTCCTCAGTGATGACGCTAAGATCTTGGTGCGACCAAGTGTGAGATGCGACTTGGTGGCCCTCAGCGACCATGCGCTTGATGACGTTGGCCCACTGAGCGGTAGTGTCAATAGCTCCCTTTCCGATGTTGATACCGGTAACGAAGAAGGTGGCCTTGAAACCGTATTTGTTAAATTGGTCTAGGACACGGTCCGTGTAGATGTAAGGGCTAGACGGGTCAATTTGCTGACACGAATGCTTGGAGGTTCCTCGGATAATTACTTACCCATCGTCATAAGTAATGGCGACAGTTCCTGGCTTCTGGCAAACATAGATGCCCTCGCCGCCGTAAGGGACATTGCCCTTCTGAGGACGAGCATCGTTGCGGGTAGAGGCGCCACCAGGAGTCTTGTTGGCATCGCAAGCCGGGCCGAAATCAATCAAGCAATCAGGTGCTGAGCAATGGTCCTTGCTGGTTCCACAATATCCCTTGAAATTGTCAGTATGATCGCTCCTTGGCATGATTTCCTTGTCGACGACGACATACAGCACCAGAGCAGCAGTAGCCGGCAGCACACTTTGCGTTTCCAAAGCCGGGTCCGCAGCGACCGTTCTGGCCGCCTTGACGGGTCTCCAAAAGCCCATGTCGGGGCTCAGAAGAGTGTCGAAGAGTGCGGGCAGCAACAGGGGCCTTGAAATCGTCCTGGAGGTGGCGAGGAAGACCAAAAAGCTTGGGGGCACCTGGAACTCCTCCATGAGCGGCGACAAGAGGAGCCACCAAGGCGGCGGTAGCAACGTCGGAGAAGCGCATGATGCTAGGAGATATTATAGTACTAAGTAGATTAAGCGATAGAGATGATTAGAAAAGCGAATGGACAGTCTGCCAAGACAAAGAATGGCAAACCAGATGACGAGTAGCGAAAGCGTGTGGGAAAATAAAAGGCACCGACGGCAGCAAATACTTATAACATGGGGGTATCAACAGTCCTGCTGTGGGACGGGGAGGCATGACGATTTAGGAAGCTAACGAGCGCGAGCTAGGTCGGAGATCCGCCATGCATGTATTGAGCCAAGAACACCGCGAAGGAACGAATACGATGCGGCGCCCCCAGCGAAAACATGCGGGAGATTCAAAAGCCGCCGGGCCATTTGCTCTCCACTTGATAGCAGGATTCGTTAGTGGAGTTTCCAATCACAGGGGCGGAAATTCTCCAGCCATGCGCCGTCGTGCCATGTTCCGCCCCAAGCCAGCGTCTTGCTTCTTGTACTCTTAACCCAACAGCGCGCACGCCCCGTCAACAAAGGCGCGCACACGTTAGAACCAACAAGGCTACCCACGCCGCCGTCAACCGCGCCGTTCGCTGTCGGCTCATGTAATGATAAGGGGAAAACGGGCGCCCTGCCATGCCAAGTAAATCGGAAGGCTTGCCAAGAAGCCTTGGGAGACTGGGCCGTCCTACAAATAGACACGCCCGACTCGTGACGGTGCCTGGCAGGCTGGCCTCGGTTGTGCGGCTCCACATGGGCTTGGGATACCTACTCATAGGGCGGTGCCGACTACACCGAAGGGGGGCTGTTTGTGACATGTGGAGAACGGTGGGAGGCTCTCTCGTCTCATTCCTGTCCGGATTAGAATCGATAAGTTTCTTTTTGTCTCTAGTATCATAATAGCATCATAATAGTATCCCCCACCACGGTGCACTATTGGTCAGTAGCAAGGGCCTTGCCCAGCTCGCCTGGTGCTGTCGAGCGTGCAAATGCATTTCGAAAATACATCTGATACGATATTTACTTGGCTTTCCCCGCTTTGCCTCTGCCCCTGCCTCTACCCCTTCCCGTTCCGCGCCCTCTCGTCGACTTCTTCTTTGGCGAGGTTCGATCCGTCATGTCTGTCAAATCTGTCTCGTCTTCGCTTGCCTCTGCAAAAAAGTGGCTCCTGACGTGCGCATCGCTTTTTCTGGCCGCTTTGCGCCTTGGCGCTGACCGCCTAGAGGGTGGAGGTGATTGCGGGTTTGAGGGCGCATCGGAAAGTGCTCCATTGGACAATTCATCTCCCGTTGAATTAGGTTTACGAGTTAAGCGAGCCGGGGCCTTGGTGCCACGTCCTCTAGGACGGCCACGACCACGACCACCTGATGTGGCAGTTGTCGACTTTCGATGATCCGATTCAAGTTTTGAATGCTCGTATTCTTCATCCTCGTCATTCCGTTTTCCCTCGTCTTCTGTGTCTTGGTCGATACTCGTTGCTTCATTGGCATCCGGGTTTTCGCTTGGCTCGCTCGGGGGTCGTTGTAACGCTTGAGTAAGTGAGATGGGCGTGCGATATGCAGTCTCCACGACGGGCGCCCGCACGTCTTTCTTTTCTCCGTGATCGATTGTCAGCTCTACATCCTCTTCCTGGCTCGCGGGCAGGAAACTGCCTGCCATGTCCAGGTCACGCCCGGCTGTCTGATGTGCCTTGTCCGGCACAAAACCGCCACCACCAGAGAGTTCCACATCTTCTCGCACAAAGCCCCCCTCAAAATCAGTCTGAGCCTCAAACACTTCCCACTGTGACTGTCCGGTCTTGGGTTTTTCCTCTTCATCCTTCGATGGCAATACCTCTTCTTTGACAGGCAACTCCATATCCTCCCCATACTCCTCCCTCATTCTATCTACTATCCTCAGTCCGGACGCAAATCTCCTCCAAAGTCCTAGCAGAAACTTCTCCCTCTTCTCCCTTTCTTTTCTTTGCTTCTCCACCTCTTCGGCTTCCCAAGCATCTATAAGCATGTCTTCGTGCTCTGCTGCAACCACCACACCTGTGATTACCGGTACAGCGCGTTGTTTACCAAACTCAAAACCTGTACACGCTTCTGCGTAGTCGATGTTGAGCTTACGGCATATTCGTGCGGTACCCTTGAGAGGCACGTGAACAGCCCCTTTGGGAACCATTGTTGGAACGTATACATCGATATTCCCAAATGCGTTACGTGGAATCTTGCCATCGACAATGGGGTCGGGAATGATCCAATCGGTCTGTTCCTTGGAGTACAGACCCTGTTTCACTTTGCCGCCTTCGATGCGTTCACGCTCCTCAATCTCACGTTTTCGAGTAACGGTGACGGCGCGCATAGGCACGAGCTTGAGCGGTTGCTGACCTTCCAGCACTTCCCGTCCCTCTTTGTGCCACGATTCTTGTGTCTTGCACAATACAACATCTTTGCGGCGATAGACCGGTTCCGACTTTTCATTGTCTCCCTTGCCAGTGATAAAGAACCTGACAATCTTCGCACCGCGTCTGAGAGCTTCCTCTCGTCGTAGATGACGCTCCAGTACATATTCGGTGGAGTTCTTGTACCCCTGTAGCGTCTCCTTGCCACCTTCTTCGTCCATGCCTTTCTTTCTTTCTGCTTGTGCAGGTACGAGGTCACACTCGTCTTCCACTTCGTCCCAAGGTTGGCGTTTATCGTGAGCTCGTGTGTAAGGTCGCATCAACGATTTACACCAATCCCACTCTTCCCATCGCTTGACTTTCCCATGTTTGTTATGGATCGGTACCTTCTCCACAGGCATGCGGAAACCCTTCGTTCTACCAGGCCATTGATGCTTGGGTAGGTAGCGTGTAGTGACATCCTTTGCACTGCCGTCGGAAGAGAAAGCGATCAAATAGGCCAAGATTTGTTTCGCCTTGTCAACCGCTGCGCCACGAGCATAGAAATCCACAAGCTTATCTGGAGAAGCAGCACTTGCAATAATGGTACGAGGAAGTGGAGATACTGATATAGGCGTGTGGGTCAAATGTGAAATGGCTTCTGTCCAGTAGGTAGGGTATGGCAGCTCTTCACCGTAATTGCGTGCTCTCGGTGATCTCTTTGGTGGTCTGTTATCTTCGGAGTCTGAGGATATAGATATGACACTACTCAAGTCGCTACTGCCATCCATGCTGACATCGACTGATCCATCCGTCTTCTTTGCAGTAGCGGGTTTCTTAGCTTTGCTGCTAGTTGGAGTTTCTTTTTCCGTATTTTGATTATCGGCGGACTTCGAGTTGTTCAACTTCTTAAGGTTCTTTGGTTTACCTTCTTCATTCTGACTCCACCCAAAACCAACCGGCTGCAGGCTGACCACCATTCGGGCCTCAATACCTAATCCTCGGATTAGGGCCGTAAAAAGCTGTTCTCCAATATCTCTACTGCCTTGGCACTTTTTTGCGCATTCCCGGAAAGCAGCAATGTCTTCCACGCGTTCGCCAAAAGTGTCGGGGTGATTAGGATCATCTTTCCAAGCTTTGATCTCGGCCTCCAATACTGATGGCGATAGGTAGCCACGCTTTCGCAAGCTTGGGGCAGTGATTTGGAACTTGGACTTCCAGTAGGCTGAGAGATATTTGAGAAGCCTGATCAAAGGGTCACCAGCGGACAGGTTCGGAGAGTTAGGCTCGAGAGGTTCGGCTGCTGCGCCCCAGTCGCGTGTCTTCTTGTCACGTTCGGAAGGCTTCTCTCCCTTGCCCTTAGCTTTATTGCGAACATCTATTCGCTTTTGCGGGCTCTCGTACACCTTGACACCCGCCTTGCCACTCTCTTTCCATTTTCCTTTGGAAGCTTTTGGCTCTTTCTTTTTTGGACTGGGTGGTTTCTGCACCACTACCCGGCTGGATCCATCTCGAATTCCTGCGTCGTTCCAGTACTTCTCTAGTTCACGCCAACACCCAGGGGACATGGCTTGAACCAGAGTCTTTTGAACCTCCTTGTCCTGGATCCATGCGTTTCTTATCAGGTTGTGAAACATCAAGAATTGTACATGCATACAATGAGTCACGGTCCGTATCTGTCTCTGAACCTTTGAGGGGCCCTTTTTCCCATCTGGCTTGGTTTCGAATACGGTTTTAGGCGCTGCAGACAGCGTCAACGCAATATCTCCAGTGATGACGGGCGCAGGCCCATGGTCTGGCTTTGTGTGATGATGCGTACCAAGCGCATCTTCCCAGTCACCATCTTCACTTTCGTCGCTGTCTTCATCTGGCCGTGCCTTAGGCTTGCCTTTGTCCTTGGTTGCCCCATTCAACGGTACATCCTCAAATTCATCTTCGGTGCTCTCTGGCTCCGATGATTCACCGTCGCCGTCTTCTTCTTCTTCTTCTTCTTCCAATAGAGCCTTAGTTTGCAAAAGTGTGCGCTTGGTCTTTGGTGGCGCATCCAAAGTCTGGAAGACGGACACTTTGCCTGTGCGAGCGGGCGCTGAGGGTTTGCGGGTAGTACGGGCACGTTTTGGTGGCGATTCTGGGACGGGCGAGGTAGAGTGCAAGCGCTTTCGCGCAAGTATGGGCGGCATGTCTATGCCTGCAGATATCAAACTATCGCGATATCAGGATTAAAGTGTTGTGTTGTTTGTTTGCAAAGGTGAAAGTGCCGTGGCAGGAATCATGACGCAAGGCCGGCCCCTGTTGATTTCCGATCGCACGGAACGATCGAGCACAGGGATCCGCCCGTCGCGTACCGCCCTGTCGCGTGGTCACGAGCGTTCTGTCGGCATGTATCCGAGAAGATCAGCCTCACGCCTTTTTCTAGAAAACAAAGAATAAGGTTTGGGAGGAAAGCTAGGTCTATTGCGCCATGACTTCATTATATGCTACGCACCCGATGGGTTACGTACGGCCCACTTTATTATTCTTGTAGAACTCGACAATCCTCCTTGCTGCTTCTTCTACGGTATCTTTATCCACTGAAAATAGGAATCTAAAGTGCCCTGGCATTTCCCCGTGATATCCGCGCGCAGCTGCCATTTCCATACCAAAATCGTAGAGCCTATCCTTGAGGTCGTCTTCAGCCTCCCATGTCGGGCTGCGTAGGCACGCCGATAGATCGATCCAAAGGAAGAACCCGGCATTTCTATCCAAGCTGTCAACTCTAGACAAGGAAAGGCCATAAAACGCCCAACACTTACGCTTTCCTCTCATATGGAATACCAGCACTATCAAATGCTTCTGCAGCAATTTTTCGGTGTTCTCGCAAAATATGCGCACTCTTGTTGAAGAATTGCAGATGCCACTCCTCATCCTCGAGTATGCATGTAGCGATCGCGTCGGCCATTGGTGATGCGCCGTGAAATCGTCTGCCAATGGTCAGTCATCGCTCGCTGAGAATGATAGTAACCTACGATAGAGACTGTAAAGCCTGTCCTAGCTCAGTGTTCCTGGTGATCAAGCATCCCAATCTCAGGCCGGCAGCAGCAAAGTCCTGTCAATGGTTTGTCAGGGGCCAGTGATGCAAAATCACATGTCGAAAACCTACCTTTGCCATTCCGTACATTACGTGAACGAGGTCATTGTCGATGAAACCGGCCGTGTCTAGCGAGAGTATAGATGTGAAGCCTGGGCTCGAGGCATCTGTGTGATATACAGAGTAGGCGTAGATCTCATCACTAATAAGGTGTATCTTGTACTTGTTACAGAAGCTCAAGATTGCCTTCAACGCATCTAGGGAATAACATTGCCCTGCACCGTTAGCTTCTCATGCTTTAAGACAAAACGACCGCACACACACCAAGAGGATTGTGCGGGTTGGCCAAAACAAGCGCTCGCACTTTGATACCACTCTGCTCGGCTTGTAGCAGAGTACGCTCATAACACTCGACTGAATTGACACCGAACTGATCCACATCTCCAAACGAGGCATAAACCAGCTTGCAACTGTGAGCAGTGTTAGTCATGCCGTCCCAAGTCTTATTCCAAGAGGAACCTAACGCACCTTGACATGCTCTGCAGATCGGGAACGAAGGATCCATAGATCGGCATGCCTAGGAGCAAAGCATCATTCTCCCCATCGGTCATGCACAGTGACAGTATGTCATTCAATGCCGTCACACCACTGACAAATGAAACATGCTCAATGGCTACGGTTGAGGCCGGTGAAAAGCGCTTGTTGATAAAGGAAGCCATGGCGGCCCTCAGACGCTTAGAACCGAATGGGCCATCATGATACGTCAAAGATTCTGGCTCGAGAGATGGTATGCACTAAATTATCCTTTAGGTACCATACACCATTGTGTCTGTGAAGGCTGACCTTTGTCTTGATATAGTCAAGCGCTTCATCATGCATGAGAAACTGTTGCATGCATCAGCACTCTCTCTCTCATACATGACTTGGTAGTATTCGACATGACTCTCACTGACATTTTCGGCGTTTTTAAAAGAAACTAGGCCATCTGGATGCGTGTCTTTGTTGTACAAAGGGCCACGAACTTTGGTATAACCAGCCGCCAAATCCAAGGCTGCATACTGACGCCCCCGGGCTGATAACATGGCTTCTACGATGCGTTGTTAGTGGTTTGTTTGCTGATTGCTAAGGCTGCGGTTTGGTCAAGGACTTTAGGCTACGTACGCAAGTCAATGCGGGGCAGACTCCGTCCACAGCCAGATTTCTGACATACAGCGTGATCCTTGCCATCTTGACCTAGCACACTGAAGTTATTAGTTCTAGTATCTATCGAAATTAGGCGCTGGCAAGTCAGAGTGGGCGGAAAGTGGCGCAAGGTGGAGCTTGGTTGGTACCCTTGTTCGTGGATGCCTAGGAGGCCGCTCGCAACGTAAGTCCTGAGACGTCCTGACGAGCCAGTGCACTGGAGTTGTGACTCAAACCTGAAATGCTCGCTATCGAAGCCAAAAAACAACAAGCGTGAGGTTTGCCTCATAAAGCATCGACCTGAATGGTACGGCTGAAGCGGTTGCCTCAATGTAAGGATGGCTCGTGACGCTGGTGTGCCATAGGCGGCCTGTAAAGAAGTTGCAATATATATCCAGCACAAATTCCCAGCCTGAACGTGAAGAAAGTGGAAAATTTTATATCCATGGCAGTTGTCATTACATATATGAGACTATTTGTCTAGACTGCGTACTTTTGCACCAGAAACCTCGTCTGCAAATCAACAAAACTCAGTGCAGCATCATCGACATACGAGCTCAAGAGAATTAGACACGCAATCGCGATGACGAAGCCTACTTATATCGTAAAAGCGTGGGGGCTCGCGATGAAAAGATAACAAGGGCAGGGTGAAAGTTTCCGGACGCGTTGGCACGTGAGAAGAGATGGCAAGACCATTTCTTCGCCAAGTACCAAGCAACTATTTCTTGAAGGCACCTAGATTACGCAACACTGGACGAGACACATAATAGGAAAGGAGATCAAAAAGATTCTCAGACACTGCCAATGTAGGCAAGTCACGTGCCGAGTTGAGCCGCATAACCCCTCTCCAGATCTCGAAGTGGCATGGTGTCAAGACAGTGGAGGGTTGCGCATCCCTGATCGCTGCGCGGTGCCGCCGCATTTCCCTTCGACACGCAACCACCACAATCGCACACTTTACTGCATCAAAGTTGCACTTTCATCACTGCTAACATGTCCAACTGACAAAACTACAGCTGCAGAGCTCTCAAAGTCGCTAAAATGGTCGGCACCTACATCATCAACATAGCCACAGCTCCCCGTGACCTGTGGCTCCTCAGGCAGCCGGCCTCCCCCAGTCCTCTGCCACTGGCATGCACCCGCGATCCCAGATCTCACGCCCTTTTTTGTCTGGGCAGTTCTTCCTCTCCTCCTACACTTTTCTCTCCGTTGTTGGTATTCTCTGACCATACAGTCTTGCAACCCTCATTGTCCTCTTCACTGCCTCTGCCATCCTCGCACACTCCACCATAACCAAGTCTCTTCCTTAGGCATCCACATCCACACCAGAGCATGTACACATTGCTACTATTTACAGTGCTGCTCACTGTTCTACTCCCGCCAGCGGCAGCTTCAGGCCCAATCATGGATCTAACACCACCTATCAGTCCATTGGACTTGACATACCCAGTAGATGGGCTCTTCGTATGCCACTTTTGCGCCAGCATGCAGTTGGAGTTCTGCCAGTGCATTATGGCCCTAGTAAGACTTCCACCCGTCTGTGTATAACTCCTTCCTAACGATACTAGCCGCAGATGCCTTACAATTACGTAGCAGCGCCCGAACACCACGCTCCCATGTCCATGCCGCCGCCGGATACACACGAGACGGAAGTGAACTTGACACCAGTTTGGGACTACGTCACCGGCGACCGTAGGCCAGTTCTGAACGAGTACATCCAGCGCATTGATGCGAACGAGACAACTGTGCAGCCTATTACTGTGCAGGCGTACATCGACGATATATACACTCCCGGCGACCGTTCGTCGCCGCGCCAGACCAAGTCTGGGAAGCGCTCAAGCAGGCGGCAACCTCCTCGCGAAGGTGGTTTTGTCTGCAACGAGCCGGGATGCACTGAAGTATTCAATCGTCAGTGCGACCTCAAGTGAGTCTAGTCTCGAGAGTATGCAAGTCAGCGTAACTGACCGTCGTCACTAGCCGTCACCAAAAGACATCCCACCGCAATGAGCGGCCTCACGTGTGCCCGACTTGCGGCAAGGGCTTCATGTACCCGAAGGACCTTCGCAGACACAAGCCTCAACACAGAGACCCTTTGTCCATCATGGACACCTTTCGCTGTGAACATCCCGACTGCACCAACCTCGATGGCTTCTCGCGCAAGGACAACCTCCAGAGGCACAAAAGAAGGCAGCACCCACAGCAATAGCTGCTGCGTGACGCACAATTGACATCTCTTTCATAGTCATCGGTTCCTGTTGCTTTGTTCCCTATCTCCTATTTCCTATCTCTTATTTCCTATCTCCTATCTCCTATCTCCTACCATCCTGGCGATTGATACTGCTTCTCTTTCTTTCTCATGGTAACGTCTAACTATCTCGTTGATGTTGATCTTTGACGGCATTGGTATTGAAGGCGCTGCATTATGTTTGTGTTCTTTGGATAATACCCTTCACTGACGGTTGTAGCAAGTGCTGCTTATAACTTGGATGGCCTGGCGCCATGTTGTTTCTTTCTGTTGTGCCAAAAGAATTTCCTTTTTTCTTTTGCCTTGTGTCCTGGCGTAATATGTAGGCAAAACGGACTATGCGATCATGTTTCGTCACGTAACTTCTTAGAAGAAAATATGGTCCGCTAGAGCAGCGGCGCCAGAAAGAAAGCACACTCAGCGTGGTGATCAAAAACGTTAGTTGTTGTTTGCTGTGTTTCTTGTTCGCATTGCCAATGAATTTGTGTTTAGTGATTTCTCGATGCTCAGATGACGTCAGTGACCCTTGATGTTTGACACTAATTTTAGAACAACACATCGTTTCCTTTAACTATGCTTTTGACAGCCATTGACATTTTCACAGCATGGTTTCTCTGCTCTAAAAAGCTAGGTACATGTAACTGTTGGACAGTTTCGTCTCACATCATTCATTCATTTCCCTCGCGTGTCAGATTCGAGTGTCGACTCTGGTATCGCGATGACTCTTCTCTCTTTACGAGAACTTCTCATTGAAAAAAGATTTGATGCGATCCCAAACAGGCAAGTCCTGGCTCTTCGGCCCGTTCAGCTTGTGGTATCCCGGCTGCAGCGTCTGGAAAACGCCCTCGGGGTCGTACTTGCGCGCAATATCCTTTAGCTTCTTCGCGCTCTCGCCATAACTCGTAATCACGTCCTGGAATTGGCTCGCGTAGTTCATGTACAGGTAGTCGTGATCTACGCCCAGGTCCTTGCTCACCTTTTTGATTTGTGCAACCATGTCCGCGGCAGTCTTGAGCACGAGCTCGTCGTCCTCGGAGTTGACCCACGCGAACGACTGGAGGAGCAGGAGAAAAGGGCCGTCGGAGACGGAGAGACCAAGGGCGTTGCCGCCGTTTTTCTCCATGTTCTTGAGCTGTGGCTCGGTGACGACTTGGAAGGTTTGTGCGGGCCCGATACCCGGTACGTGTGCGAGCTTGTCGAAAACGTCAAAGGTGATGTCGACGAGGCGGTCGATGATTTCACGGTCTTTGAGTTTCACAGACGCGGTCCAGTAGGATTGTCGCATACCACTTGGGCTGGGTGCCGCCAGAGCCAAGCTTAAGTTAACCAGGCTGTCGATTTTGGTGTTGTCGACAATCGCAGGGACTTTGTTCCACGTGTCGAAAATGGGTGCGTCCGCCTTTGGGTCTGCGTATTGGAGATCGGCAACTGCAAGTCGCATGTTGTTCCTTGTGTCGAGGGCAAAGGACAGGAACTGCGTGGCCTTGGGGTCTTTCTCTACATTCTTGGCTAGGTCGACAAAGGCATCGATGGCGGCTGAGAAACTTTCGTTGATGAATACTCGGTTTCCACCATACATGAGGGGGCCGTGAGCAAAAGTCTCGAGATTGAATTGGGTCACGATGCCAACGTTGTTGCCACCGCCGCGCAATGCCCAGAAGAGATCGGAGTATTCTGAATCAGGTGTGGCAGTCACAATGCGTCCGTCTGCAAGGACGACTTCATACGACGCAACGTTGTCGCATGCCCACCCATACTGGTTGGAAAAGTAGGAAATGCCACCGCCTGTCATAAGTCCTCCAATACCAACGTCAGCGACACGGCCACCCACGACCGCGAGGTTGTGTTCAGCCAGGTTGGTGTAAATGTCCATCCAGAGGGCCCCGGGTCCAATTGAAGCAATCTTTTTGTCTTCAGACAACGTAATGCCTGCCATGCGTTCAAAAAGTACAGTTATGCCTCCATCTGCGTTGGATGCACCTGCAAATTGGGCATGGCCTCCACTCCGAAATGCAAACCGACACTTGTTCGCCTGGGACACACGCACTACATTCGCAACTTCTTGCGCCGTCTCGGGCCGGAATATGCAGCGTGGTACGGGCTCTCGCTGCTGCTGGGACCAGAAGCCGTCAATCGCGGCTTTATAGTCCGGGTCTTCGCTGCCCGCAACTTTAGCAGCGCCGAATTCTCCCAGGAGCGAAGCGCACTAGCAATTGAAGGAAGAAGATTAGTACGCTGTATAGATTCCAGTATCATACTGAATATCTGTAAAAGATTTTAGGGTAGATGAGAGGAAAGCTTACTGCTGCTTGGCAAGAGTCGGTGGAATTTGCTTGGATCGACTGCAATAACTTTGCTGCATCGTCTCCTTCTATACCATCGGAAACTATGGCTTGGGAGCTATTTGAACCGGAAGGATCAGGCGTCGTTTCTGCAAGCGCTGTGAGCGCAATAGCTGAGAAGAGCGAGACGGCGGGAAACCGCATGGTGGATGCTTGTCTGTATTAACTTGTAAGTACTATAGCAAACATGCTCAAGCAAATGTTCGAGCCTACCTCGGACACGCGCGTGTCCAATCGGATGTGAAACTGTGCGACGGTGACTGCAGCTACTTGAGTAACGACTACTACCAGGTATCTGACCAGCACATGAATCTACAATTGCTACAGGCACAATCAAAACTTTATACTTTTGCACCGGTGGTACCTTGTCTTAGAATCATGCGGCTAGGCGCCAGTTGCTTACCCCCACCTTCTTTAGGCCCTGCATAGCCTGATTTTGCAGAAGCCGGGCAAGAAAGTTCCGAAAGCCTACTTGTGTTAATCCCTGAAGAAGATCGGTCGATAGCTTTATCTCGAAAGACGCCATGCGGCCGAGCTAGATTGCGTTTTCGATATGGCCATGTTGACAGGGCTCTCGACACGAGAAAGCCCTGAGCCCTTGCGGTCCCTGCATTGCCGTGTGCTGATCACAATACACGTCACGTTTGATTGTTCGGTGCTATAGGTGGTGAGGTGGATGCAGTTGGTAGAATGTGTCTAAAATAAGAGGGGAAGGTAGGGGTAGTACTAGTGTACCCCGCGTCACTCTTCACGTGTCGGAGCCTAACTACGTGTCAGAGCACTGTCTGGACCGTTCCTAGCTCATCTAAGGGTCTACAAGCCTAGTTCATTCATGCCGGCGCTAGGATTTAGAGTAACGTAGTAAGTGATAAGGACGAGGCACCAGCCATGTACGCAGTGTCGCAACACCCACACTCTCGCCGCAGAGGCAACGCAGTACATTACTATCTAGCGAGGTCCAAGCACAAGGGCACAAACGTTGAAAGCTTTTTGCCGAAAAAAACAACAACAACAATAATAACAACAATGCACAGGCTAGAATACACACTGGAGAAAGACAAAGACAACATGGTATACGCTCATCATAACATTCGCAGGGTAGTCTAAGTGTACGCGGCAGGTGAAGGGGGTATCAAGAGCAAGACCAAACAACAAAAGCAGATGGGGCGCCATACGAAACAGTACAAAATCATAAAGCAACACTAAAATACAACGGGTAACGGAAATCAATGCTTCCGCCTCGAATCACTTCGGCTCAGCCCCGTGCGTGAAGCAAATCGAGGGGGATAATCCTCCATGCCATCGTCATCATCGTCGAATGCACTGATGTATTCGGGTGCACGTCGGACAGGACGGGTAGGGCCATGGATGATTGGATCACCACGCGGCTGCATACCGTGATTCTGGCGGCTATCCGAAGAGCGAGCAGATGGAAGCGCAGGCTCCATGTTGCGCAGGTCCCATGGGTCAGCCGCTGGCGACTTTACAGAGCTAGGCGAAAAAGGGTTGTCTGGCGTGAGGGAGGGACGGCGAGCTGATGGTGGGCGACCGTAGTCTTGGTTGAAGGTCTTTGGAAAGGAGACTGGGGGTGGTGCATGTGCTCTCGGGTTTGAGGATCGAGTCGAGAAGTCCGTAGGTGGTTGAGCGCTGACGGTGGGCGGGTTGGGTTGCGAGATGCTCGGGCGACGCTTACTAGAGGTCCTAGTAAGTCCGGAAGGACGCATTGTAGAGGCAACGCTATCACGACGCGGCTTGCTAGGGGCATTGGCGTTTGATAGGGACCGGTCACCGGCCCGAGGGTCATAGTATGTTGATGAGTCTTGTTGCTGTCGAGCAGCTGCCCTCCTTTCTTCACGCTCGCGAGCTTCTGCCGCTTGCTTTTCTGTATGCATGATGAGACTATCGGCTTCGACAAGACGCTTTTGCTCAGCTTGCTCTTGGGGAGTCATCAACGAAGACATCCTTCGCGTGTTGGTCGGCCGTGTGGGGTAATCGGTTGTCGGAGGCTTTGACCTTTCCTTCTTGCGTTCCTTTGCTCGCTTCTCTTCGAGCTCCTTCTTTTCAAGTTCCTTCTTTTCTTGTTCCAGACGCTCGAGCTTCTTGCGCTTGCGCTCTTCTTCCTTGAGTGCGGCACGCTCCCTCTCCTTCTCAGCCTGTGCTCTTGCGGCGCGGTCCCTTTCGCGAGCCTCTTCTCTGAGTGCGGCGCGGTCCCTCTCCTTCTCAGCCTTTGCTCTCTCAGCCCGCTCCTTTTCGCGAGCTTCGTAACGGTCAAGCTCGAAGCGAACGTGCTTGTCGTTCTCCAAGTCTTCCTTCTTCTTTTGGTCAACGTCTTCCTGATAGCGAAGATCCTCACTTGGTTTCTTTCGCCGTTGGCCACTGTTCTTGGTAGGCCGTGTGGTTTCAGCTATGCCAGAACTGGCACGAGAAGAGCCAGAATAATCAGCATACTGGTCGTAATCAAGCGGATTGATGCTGGTGGGTGTTTGAGCGACTTGGAGAGGATCCCTTGGTACGATGCTCTTGGTCTTGTAGGGCCCGGAAGAGAACCCATGCTGTGGCCGAGTAGGAGATGCAGGGGTGGGAGTTGAGTTGTGGATGACAGTGGCAGACGGGCGGGTGTTTCGCCGACCGGTGGATCGATCAAAGTCTGGCTCGGACAGCACAGTCAGCGATGGCGTCTGGCTGGAAGAGGCAGAAGGCGTCTGTCGGTGGTAATATCCATGAGATGCAAGGGGCGTGGGAAGGAAGGTGTTGGGTTGGTCGAAGGCAGCCGGAGGGGGTAAAGGGGCATCTGGAAAGCCAGTCCGCACAGCATAGGAAGCCTCCGATTCTCCTGAGTCGATGGCGGCGTCATTGGATCCGATGGAGCCGAAGGATTGTCGCTTGTGGCCTTTTGTTGAAATGGAGACTGACGGATACTTGCTTCCCTTTCCTTTCTTGGAGCCAATTTCGATGATGATCTCAGGGTTGAGGCGCTGTCCATCGCGAGTGGAAGGACGGCTACCACTGTTGGATGGGCGGCGACGCTGAGTGAAATAGGTACCAGAGCTTGTGGGAGTTGGTGGGTTTACCGGAGAAGGGGTGTCATCGCGTGAGGCGGAGCCTTTCTGGTGAGTGTAGGCAACAGGAACTCTCCGCAAGTCGCGGCAGGTTCTCCCACTGCGCGCTTGGTCGCACAAGTAGGTGCAGTCACCTTCGATCCGACACATGGTGGCGACAGGAAATGTAATACTACCAGGATAGGAGAGAGTGGCAAGTCCGGTTGGTGAGTGTGCGTCAAGTGTTGGATTGTGTTGCCAGGCCAAGGGACTCTAGTTAATAACTAGAGGGAATGCTTGACCAGGACAGACGCAGATGGCACCAAGGCCAGAGGGCGGACTGGCGCAGGTACAATAAGGAGGACAGCTATGAGTCAAACAAGTAGGTTGGTCTTGGTATTTGGATGGTGGTGGGCGGCGAGTGTATTTAAAGGGCGCAGATGATGGCCGGGCTGAGACAAGCGCCGGACAGGATGAGTGCAGGCAGGCAGGCAGGCAGTCCAAGGAGGCGTAGGCCCGAAAGCGCAGGAGTCAGAGAAGCAGATGGGTAATAATAAATGCGAGGAAATCAGTGCAGATGAGACGGAGTGGGTACCATGCAGCAGCTTGAGAGGAATTAAAGTGCCGGCCTGGTTGGCTTTAAGTGGAAGTGGTATTAGGCGGCTTTGATTGTAGCCTGAACAAGGGCAGTGTGAGTGGATGTGACATGGGATGAGCCTCAGCAACAAGTACCAGAGCCAGGCTGCAGCGACGGGCAGGATGGATGGTTGCATGAACATGATCCGGGCGCCCTGGGGCCATTTTTTGTTTCCTGTCGCTGCTGCTGCTGCGCAGCGGTGAATTGCACAGCCTGCGAGCAATCCTAGACTCGGCCCCCCATAGGTGTAGACCCTGGGCGCGGCCGGTGTCGAGTCGTGTGTCGCGCGGTGTCGCGTGTCTGAGGGAGGCCGGCGAGAGTAGGAAGGAAAAAAAGTGGTGAAGACGGTCGAGCGCGCGAACCGGAGAGAGAGGGTGTGGCCGGGATGGCGGAGTTTGTTGCGGGCTGGATGGGCATCAATGGCAAGCAGCAAGCGGCAGCATCAGCAGCAGCCGACGGTGCAGCGGCCTCTACCCCGGACGGGCGCACCGCTTTGGGCTCTGCTTGATTGGATTCACCCTGGGGCAGAATTGCACTTGGAAGGTCGAGTGTCCATGGCAACATGCGGATGGCGCGCCGTCAGCTGCAAAATTGGCGGATGCAGGTGGAGGCTATGCAGTCATTCCCGTATCGCCGGCCAGCATGGGCGCGACGCCAGGCACCAGAAGGCTGCCATTTGCTGCCGGCGAGCAATTTGCACTGGTCCAGTGGTGTTGATGACGCAGCTCGACGATTGCAGCACCCTCCTTGCCACGCTGCGCACGCGAGTGGATGACCATGGCAATGGTGTTGATGAGCGGTGGCCGTGTCCATGTTGGAGAGCTGAGAGGCAAATTGGCTGGCCATGTGAGTGTGAATGAGAGTGACAAACTGGACGCGCTCTGGTCAACCCTGCGTCGCTCTCGCCCTCGCCCTCGCGCTTTCGCGCACTGTGTTAGCAATATTGCAGCCATCCACAGCCTTCCACCCCCGACTTGCCTGGATCAGCATCACCACCCTGGTGGCGAGACCCTCCCGCTTCACGCTCTCTGATACGGCCGTCTCTCTAGCGCGTGAACCAAACCTGCTTGCAATCTACTGCGACACCGCTACTCCCGCTCCCACACACCAAATTTGCCATGGACGAGCTCCCAAGTTGAGTGCGCACCGCCACAATGCTAAGCAGCCACAGCGGTAAGCAGCACCAGCACCAGCACCAGCACCAGCACCAGCCATCCGTCTGCAGACCCTGACAAAATGCACATATGCGCTACAATCGGAAATAGCAGATGACGACGACGCTGATGATTGTCATGATGGCAATGCTCGACGCCGCGCTTAGACAACCCGTCAGCATATGGTGATAGAGACATGGTTTGCGCTTGTTTTTTTTTGCCATGTGTGTGTGTGTGTGCCCCTCCTCCTGCATTCGGGACGCACCTCCCTCCCTGCTCCCGCAGCCGGGGACGCACCTCCCCAAATGCGCACTTGCACACTACCCCACATGACCACAACACCACAAAAAAAATATTGGACATGCAAACACTAGCCCGTCGTCTTCTCCACCATGCTATCATCACATCCATCCCTCATCTCCGTCATCTTCACCAGCTTCTGTCCAGTTTTGCACACAACTCAGCCACAGCCTCTCTCAACAAATCACCCTGTAGCACATCTCAGGCGTGCCGTGCCGTGCCACTCCTCTTCCCGCACATGCTATACCCGTTACATTTGCTCCGCCCCGCGGCTGCCTGCCCAGATCAGAGTTCGCATCAAAAGACGGACGCTCGTTTTTTTCTTCCACCAAAACCATGTACTTAGACAGTGGTGCCAAGGCCGCTCGCCTACAATATCCATACGGTTGGGCATCACCAACCCTCGTCGACGTCAGGAAAACGGGCCATTTTGGCTCATGAACCAGTACTACCGCTGCAGGGTGCTAGTTTCAGCCTTTTGACACAATGAAAAAAAAAACGCACTTGCATCACTAACAATGCACCATCTCCCTGGCGTTCGGGAATGGTGTTCGCAGCGCTGCCGACGGTAAATGCACCCCATTCAGCATCTCAACCCGCATCCACGCGGCAAAGACTAGTAAGTAGTCACTCGAGGTGTGCTCAATCGCCCAGATACCACAATGCGCACATGTCGCTACCCAACCTGTGCTTGGGCGCGCGCCCTAGTCCAGCCCATTCTGCCGTCAGATGGAAGTATACCCAGCATTCCCGTTCTCTTCCGTCCTCGTCTCGCCTCTTCCAACTCGTAAGCAAAGTCAGCTTCCCGACCAGATATGGGCCCAACCGCCAGTGATATTGACCTACGACCTGAGGCAGGAGCAACAAGCTTTGCAACAGGGGCACCATTGTAGCTGAAATGTTTTACTTGATCAAGGGATTGGTTCTTGTTTGCCCAAAGTCGGCGTCGCAACCAACCTGTACTTCTACACTTGGTGTGTGTACTAATCGGTACGACTAGCATGGCTTCCCAAACAGCCACCTTCACAGTCGTCCGAGACATGGTTGCCTCGCGGGGCTTCCTCGGCCCAACAAGCCGCGTCTAAAATGTTACTTGGTGTGGTCGATTTACCCCACAAGCGTCTCATGGTTTATCTCTATACGAACCTACTAACAGTTTACCTGTCCCTTGGACCAGCGATCACCACGATACTGCCTCAGGTCAAGGCAAGCACACTTGTAGCCTTGTCACTACTGCTCACCATTCCTCACTGCAAGTGTCATTGCTCTTGGCCCCCCCCATCGGCCTCCGACCGTGGGCTGCATCCTTGCATCACGTTCTTGTTCAAAATGTCCTCAAACCAATAGTGATGCCTAGCAAATGTCTTAGATTGTAGGCAACACACTGCATGCAAACATTACTCATGGCATGCATGGTTTGATTGTCCAAGTCGTGGTTGGTGGCTTGATTTTGATCTGACTGGTCGCATGCGGGTTGTAAAGGTCATGTGTTGGTCGTCTGAAGACACCCGGCAGGAAATATTGGCCATGGTTCACGTGCCACCCCAGACTTTGCATGAGAAGGTGTGTGTGTATTCCCACCTGCTAGTAGATGCCGACATCAAAAATTCCACTGAGTGGGGAGCGAAAAGAATGGGAACCATGCACGGCCAGGCATGTACGAAATCCGGGCCGACAACCATTGGGTGATAACGATGACAAGAATGACAGGGAAAAAGGAACAAAGTCATGTCATGAATACAAGATACTGTTACAGATGATGTGTTTCCAGCAAACAAAAAAAAGACTCCAATTCACATGCATGCCCAAAAGGTGTCTTTTCTTAGTCGCTCCTCAGCGCATCTGCCACGCCCGGAAAACCCGGCGGGGGACTCGCCTTGCCCTGTGGTGTCATGCTCTCGAGAAATTGGCTGAACCTCTGCGCCTCGCCACTCTGCTCATCCAGCTCTTTAATTCCGCTCTTGCCCATGCCCGCTCCTAGGCTCCGCAGCGGATCCTCGTCAACATGGTCGCGCACTGGGGGGCGATCGTCGAGTTCGCCCCTCGCGACGGCGACTTCGGGCCCTATGGACCGCTTGAGCTTGATGTGGATTCGCCCATCGTTGGTGACGCTGCCAAAGAGGGGTTGCACGGGAATTTTACGGCCGCCAGGCGTATCAATGTCGATTGTTTCGACGTCCTTTGCGCCCATGATGTTGGCGCGTGACGCCGACATGGTCTCTGCGCTCTTGAACTGGTCGTTTGCTACGAAGCCGCCGACACCCAGGCGCGCGTACGTCTCATTCTTGGTTCCTGTGCGTCGGGCCTGCACGACGCGCGCAGGCACCGGTGCATGGCTGGCTTGCGGGCCGAGGATTGGGTGGTTGGCCATGTAGGATTTTGTGCGAAGGTAGCCGAGACCGGCGCTGGGATGCGTCGAGAGCGGTGCCGTCTCTTGATCAAACGAGTATTGGTCAATGTCACGGCTCGATGCGTCCGATGCCCACGCCTTGGGCTTGAACTTGATGGCCGGCAGCTTCAGGAAGGGGAGGATGAGCTTGCTGACCAGCTTGCTTCCCAACGGGTTGTTGGCCGTTTCTTTACGGAGAGTCTTGATGCCAGTGTCAATGTCGTTGCGTGTAATGTGACGCCAGGCTTTTTCTTGTCGCTCTTGCCATTGTTCGGCTTCCTTGATATCCATTGGGGGCTGTTCTTTCGACTTTGTGGCGGCGAGACGGCGGGACGTGTAGATTTCGTTCTTCACAAATTCAACCAGATAGCTGTTGAATTCTTTTTTGCGAGAAGTGATTTCCTTACTAATATAGGCGACAAAGTCGTCAGCTCCCATGCCTGGTAGCCACGGACCGTCATGCTTCCACCGCTTGGTATTGTGTACGATGGGGTCTACAGGAGGTGGAGTAAAGGGAATAAAGGGCCTGGATCCAGATTTTTCCGATCCCGCCAATTTTTGTCTAAGTGACTTCTTTGCCTTTTGTTGCTCTTGTTCAAATTCTGTGAACTCGTCCAGCCAGGGCATAGAAGCCGGGGCTTTGGCAGCAGCGAGAGAGGCCTTCTTCTTGTCCCATTTCTGTCGGAATTCGGCTTTGGCTGCACGAGTCTCCTCGACCAGAACCTTGGCCTCAGCTGCTCGCTCGGAGTCGGTGAGGCCGCGCGATTGCCATTCCGCCTTCTTTGCTGCCCACTTGGCACTCAGAGGCTCGCGGAAGGCCTTGAGTTCTGCTTCAAATGCCCGTTTTCGTGATGTTCGAGCCTGCTTCCTTGCCTTGTTTGCTTCTTGCTGGAAAGCCTCAAAGCTGGCAAGTTCGGTGTCCCAACCACGAGCCTTCCAGAGTGCTTGTTGCAGTTCCCACTTCTCTTCCCAGGCAGCATTGAAAGCTTCCCATTCGGCCTTTGCTCTCTCTGCGGGCATGCTCTTCTTGAGCGCCTTCAGATATAGACCCGCCTCATCCAATCCCATGTCAGTGTCGTAATTGGTAGTGTCATCGCGGACCTCAAAGGCTCCCGCAGGCGGCGCTACGCTCAAGTCATGGTCACGCATCTGCGTCATGCCCTTCATCATGGGAATTCCCATCTCTTCCCACTTTTGCCTTGTTCGCACATGGTCGGCCGCCGAGTCAAAGTCGGTGACATGCTCAATGGTATCCAGCTGCGTCACTCTCAGGACCGGGTCACTGACTTGGACAAGGTGACTCCGTGAGGGAATTGCTCGTTTCAGACCCCAATCACCGCGTGCAAGGGAGGCTTTTGTGGTAGCAATGGCCTGGTGTGTTGGATATGGTAGGGTTGCCGTGTCCGATGCCTTTGTGATGCCCGCGCCAAAGGTCTCGCTAACGGGTGGGCGTGGGAGAGGGTTGGGCAGGGAGAAGAGTCGGGAATTGCGCAGCAGATGGGAGGTTGGCGAGAGGGACTGGCGACTTAGAGCCATATTGGCGATGCGACAGCCACGGGTTGGCGTTCAATGGCGGCCGAAGTGGTGTCATTGGTGGTTGCGAGCAAATGTTGAGTTAGATTTGCGGTGATGCGGTCCGTGCGCACCTCCGCGGCTTCTGCTGGGTTTGTGTGCATTGCCGAACTGACAAAGGCTTCGCGTTCACTGCTCGCACAGATGAGAGTTATACGGTGTGCTATTTCTAACTATTATTATTTGGTGATTCTCAGATGAAAATCATCTACCATACTACTTGAATTTCTCCCCGATAAAGCCTTGTGCGACTTGTACTGCTAGCAAGGTCATGTTATAATTATATCGAAGTGACAAGCCTGTCGTTACCACGCAGTCTCTAAGATGTGGTGTGCTTCTAAGCAGCATGCAGATTCACAATTTTTACCGTCATGGGCAGTGATGAAATATAGATCCATGGTATGCTGTGTTGTGGGTCAATGGCTAGAGGCAAAGATCAAGCACGGGGCTGTAGCACTGGCATTGAAGCCTAGTACTAGTTTGTTTATGGCTGGGGGCGAGAAAAAAAACACCAGGCGATTAGGTCGTTCAATCATCCTGGTAGGTGCTTTTCCCAGTCCTGTGGGTCATCTTCATCTTCATCTTTATCGTCATCTTTGTCTTTTCTGTTGATGCGCGGAACGTGGCCTTCAATGGCCATGGTGTGGTCAGATGTCTGCGTGGGAAGCGAGGGCGGTTGTGGGGGCGCATTGTTCAGAGGCCGCTCGAGGATCTGGTCTTGGACGAGGTCGCTGTTCGCCTTGGTAACCTGGCCCGGCTTTTCTCCTCGCTCGAGAGCCAGGTCGGCCATGGCATTTTCACGGGCGGCCCAGGCTGCATCCACGTCGTCGGCTTCATCCTGATCCTTGGTGGAGGCGACTGGCTGCTTCGGCCGTAGGGGCAGGGCAACACGGTGCTCCTCTTCGTTTTCCACCATGAGTTCAATCTTGTCGCCGTACCCGCCGTGCCGCAGCCAGGCGGGCTCCTCGCTCAGCTGGACTTTGACATAGAGGGCCCGGCGCGCGCAGTCATCGGAGCACCACACCTCGAGCACCTTGCGGTCGACAATCTGCACGCCGTCCTCTGTGTCGACAAACTGCTTCTTGGCGGTTGAGCGAGCCTTGCTCTTGGGGCGGGGGCACAGGGCATAGCCGCACTTGTCGGCAATGTTGCGCTCCTCGATCAGGGCGTCGTAGTCGGCGGGCTGGAAGGAGATGACTGCCGTCTGGAAGAAGCGGGCGTCCGCGGGCGTGGGCCGCTTTGCATCGGCGTCTGGCGACGAGGGGAAATCCATCAGCGTCATGACGGCCTGCAGGACCTCTGCCTCGACGCGCTTGCGGTCCTCGAGCACGGAGGCATGGTGGCGGGCGACTGCGAGATGGCGCGGGTTGACTGTTTTGGCGGCGGCGGCGGTTGTGGGAGGGGCATTGGCAGCCACAGTCGGCGTCTTCTTGAGGATGGACTTGGGGGGCATGTCCAGTCCAGTCCACTCGGTGGTGATGGCAGAAGCAGAAGTAACAGCAGCAGTCAGAGCGGTGATGGTACGTAGGATCGGCGGGTGTTAGGAGATACATCAGTCCAAGTGGAGCGTCGCGGCCAACCGCCAAGCTGGGCGTCGGGCAGCGCGCGGGGCTGTTTTGAGCTTCGTCACCACACTGTCCGTCTGTCCCCACGAGGCTCTTGCCGGCCGCCGCCCCCATCGTTGCCCCCATTCATTGCCCCCCTCGCTCTCCCTCTCGCCTCTCGCCTCACTGCTGTATGGCTACCCACGCCGAATGGTACGCTGCCCTTGTTCTTCCGCGCCTCCCGCTGTCCTTCGCTGCCTGACACCGCGCCATTGTAGCTACACCAAGACGACCCGCCCCGTGCACTCGCCCTAGACCTCCTCCCTCCTGCTTCTGCTCCTCCTCCTCCCAATCCAGCTGAAGCTCTTTTTTTCTCGTCTCTCCCCGTGGCAGGGTCCGCAGCTATCACAGTAGCCTAGCGAGCCCTCCTACAACTGCCCGAGCTCTTCCATCAGCTGCTGCTGCTGCTCCACCACAGCTTGCCGCCATGTACAAGGTCAAGGCCGTGTACGACTACTCGTCTCCCCACGAGGACGACCTCGACTTCAAGGTCGGCCAGGTCATCACTGTTACCGAGGAGGAGGGCGCCGACTGGTATGTCGGCGAGTACACAGACAATGGCGGCACTAAGCACGATGGCCTCTTCCCTCGCAATTTCGTCGAGCGCTACGAGCCAGAGCCGCCGCCACGCCCCAACCGGGCCTCACGTTACAAGCCATTGGAGCCACCAGCCGCACAGGAAGCTCCCCGCATGCCCCAGCTGCCTCAGCAGGAGCCTGAGCCAGCTCAACCCGAGGAGCCTGAGCCTGAGCCGCCCAAGCCTCAGCTGCCTCCAGTAGAGGTCCCCGCTATCGCCAAAAACACTCCTCTGCCAATGTCGCCCATGTCGCCTCCCTCTGTATCCAGTGCAAAAGCTCCAGAGCTTCCTCAATCGCAGCCTGAAACGTCGAAACCTGCTGCTCCCGCCAAAAAGCCCCCGCCGCCCATTGCGGCAAAGTCCAATGCCTTCCGGGACCGCATCGCTGCCTTCAATGCTCCAGCTGCTGCCCCAATTCAGCCATTCAAGCCATCTGGCGGTGCACCCACCAACTTCATTAAGAAGCCTTTTGTCGCTCCTCCGCCGAGTCGTAATGCATATGTTCCTCCTGCTCGCGAAGCCCCGCCAATCAAGACGTACCGCCGTGAAGAAGATCCAGAAATCGCAGAGCGCCAGGCACGGGACCGCGAAGATGCCGAGCGTGCTGGGCTTGTTGGCCACAATGCTCCAAATTCAAACGAGGGTGAGGAAGAGCAACAGCCCAAGGTCAGCTTGAAGGAAAGGATTGCCCTTCTCCAGAAACAACAGCAAGAACAGGCGGAAAGGGCTGCTGCAATGCTCAAGGAGAAGCCTAAGCGGCCACCGGTCGCGAAGAGAACCGAGCCCCAAGAGTCCCAGGCTGATGATAGCGAAGACACTGGCTTGGAACGGGTCGGAAGCGGAACCTCTAAGCCTCGGGTCTCCGTAGACCAGGCCCGTCCTCGCACATCACAAGACGTCAAGTCGCCCGATGCACAGGCTCGCAATCGCGAGCTTGTCAGTGAGAATGACGCCGATCAATCAGGCGCTGGTGATACGGAGGATGCTGGGGCTGAGTCTACGAGTGTCGAAGACGACGAGGACCGACCGAAGAGCAGGCAAGCACCTCCACCAGCGCCCAGAGCTGCTGATGCGCCGGCGCAACAGCCCGATGTTGGCGACGAGCAAGACGCTATCGAAGAAGATGAGGAGGAAGAGGAAGATGAGTTGGATGCTGAAACAAGACGAAAGTTGGAGCTACGCCAGCGTATGGCCAAGATGAGTGGTGGCATGGGCATGCCCGGTATGTTTGGCGGTATGCCCATGGGAGCTCTTCCTCCAAAGCCCCCCAAACCTGCCAAAAAGAAGCCAATCATGGAAAAAAAGGCAGAGGAATCAGAGGGATACACGTCGCCCCAGCAGCCGGTGCCCATGTTCCGCATTCCCCCATTGCCACAGGGCCAGAGTAAGGAACAGGATGACCGCTCGCTTTCAGTAGAAAAGGAAGAAGAGGCTCCACAGACAGTCACGAGCTCTCATGCACCAGATGAGGTACCTGACGTCGAAGATGTCGTTTCCCAGCCCACACCTACAGGCGATCAACCCCCGCCTGTTCCATCAGACAGTAAGTTGTTGATTCCTCGCAAACCGATTCCGGCCTTCGTGCACCATAGCCAAGACTACCTTCAGCTGCCGTTTTCCGAGACACTGTCAAAGACGTATGTCACTTGTGACGGTTTTTCGGAATATGTCATGACTGTATGCGTGTCTAGTATGTGTGTACATTGAGCTCTGTATCTATACCAACCCCTCTGCTGCAAGTCTAACCCCCTGTAGAACGACCTGCTCCTCCGCCAGTTCCATCAGCATGTAAGCCATACCACTACCAAATCTAGACTCATTCTAACAATCTGTAGCCCGCCCTATCCCACCGCCGCCGCCACAGGTCATGTCCCCAGGACCTGGCTCTGAGTCTGGCGACGAGTTGACAGATGCAGCTAACACGCCATCTGCTTCTGTCCAGTCGCCATCTTCAAAGCGTGTCTCCTACTTTGCAACTGGCGAGCAGCAGAGCGATTCGTCCGAAAGGCGTGCACCGCCACTTCCTCCAACAGGCCCTCCGCCCTCAATAGCAAGCCGGCCACCGCCGCCACCGCCGCCAACTTCAGCGCCCCCCTCCCGCCATGGGGATCCCCTCCAAAGAAAGATCGATCGTACTGAGGGAGAGACAGACTATGAGGGAGATTACGATACAGACATGGCCCCCGAGGCAACGCACAAAGATGCTTTGAAGTCACATGCTAAAAGCTCAAGTGTCGAAGAGGACATTATATCAGATGAGCCTACACCAGGACGATCGCCATTAATACCTCAGGGTATGCCACCTGTACCTCCTGTCAATCGTACGGTGCCGCCCCCTCCGCCCCAACAGCCGCCTCGATCATCATTAGACGCGCCTCGCGCTCCCCTGCTACCACCTGGACCGCCGCCGAATCGTAACACCCAACCAGTGGAGGAGGAGGATGAATATGACCCCTTCAAGTACAACGGCCCTCCCTCACTCACTGCATCGCCTGCACCTAGAGGAGTTCCGCCGCCACCTCCACCAAGTCAACCATTCCCTCCACAGAGTCGTCCTCCACCACCCCTGCCGCCATCTGTTCCTCCTTCTATGCCTAATCAAACAGCTGAGTCTGAGGAAGAAGACGATCTGTACTCTTCACCTCAACCTCGAAAATCTCATGATCGGCCACCACCTCCACCACCCCATGCTCCACCGCACCAGCATGCTCCTCCACCTCTTCCCCAGCAACAAGCACCGCCTTTTCCGCCTCAAGAAAGAGCTGCCCCGCCCCCGCCGCCTCCTCAGCCAAAAGAGTTCCAATCTCCACAGATGGCGCCTATGGACGCACAGTCTCGACCATTACCAAATCGGAAGTCGTTTGACGCGAGTCATATGATGGCTACACGACAGTCTATGGATCAGCTTCGTTCGGGTCCAATGCAACATCAGGACTTTATCGCCGAAGAACTCGACCTTGGAGCTACTTCCCATTGGTGGACTCAACCTAACCTACTTCCTCCATCGCTACAGGGCCGTAAGGATGTAATGATAGATCGGAAAGAGTCGCAGTCTGGCAACACTGTGGAGAGGTTGATCAAGGTGCTTTACCTTGACTACTCACAAACAATCATCTCTGCCCGCTTCGAGGCCAACAACGTCTCTGACGTTGAACTCGAACAGCACAAGGAACCACCACCTCCCCGTCTGCGTCCGGATCAGTTGGAGAATGCTTACGAACAGTTTGGCCGACAGATTGCCAAGGCTATCGAATCCAAGCAAAACACAGTCGTCGGGAATGGTTCACCTTATGTTCTTGTTGAAGAACTGCTCAAGCCTTTTGGTGACGCCCTTCCACCCGTCTCGACCCGCTCATACGGTGCGCTGGTTTATGCCAACCTGGCTAATGCATCAACGCTATCGTTTGACGAGATACGCCCTGGTGATATTATCAGCTTCCGTAACGCTAAGTTCCAAGGCAAGGTTGGACCTATGCATGGCAAATACAGCATGGATGTTGGTAAGCCCGATCACGTGGGTGTGGTGTTGGAATGGGATGGCAGTAAGAAAAAGGTGCGAGCGTGGGAACAAGGACGTGAGCACAAGAAAGTCAAGCCTGAGAGCTTCAGGATGGGGGATTTGAGGTCTGGTGAGGTACGAGTTTGGCGTGTCATGAGTAAGAGTTGGATTGGGTGGAACTAAGTAGGAGTGTAGTGTGAGTTGGTGTTAGCTGCTTGATGGAATGTAATTAGTAGTCAACGAGTGCTTTAGAGTGCATCATGCAATAGTCTTGAACAGTCTATGGCAATGGTTTTAAAAAGCTGATGTATTCCATGTTTCTATGCAGGTCCTGAGACCTTGTAGCTACAGCCGCAAGCCCTAAGTAGAAAATGTAAAGATATATCCTTTCTGACAATGAAGCACGTGCATTTGAGATATCGATGATGACTACATATATCTCTTTTACCGTTTTCTGCAGGAAACAGCAAACTTCCTTTGTCGAAGACGCAAGAGGCTTGCTTCGTATCAATCTCCAGGACCAAGTTCTACAAGGTCAACAACAGGAGCATCATGCTACAATGTCATCGGTCGACGAACCTGTACTAATAAGCACTCTTTCAACATTACAGAAGACAAAGGCATGGGAAAGATGTTACACAACGGAGTTCTTGGGGATTTCTCGGAGTTGTAGCAGCTCTACTATACTTTCTTACGCTAATCAGCTGCAGGGGCGCCACGCGGATAAGACGATGACGTCCTTTGCATGCTTTGACCACATAAGGTAAACACCTTCAATGTTTAGTACTGCTTCGTCAAACGCCTATAGCTCTTAGTTCCGTTAATTTACGACAGGTGTAGTGCTGAATAATTGGCTCGGTAAAGCAAGGGAGCGAGGTCCGGCGTTTGGATGCAGGTCTGAGAGCGGTGGCAGGGATCGTCGTGGAAGAAGGGCGTAAGTCCACTCAAAGTCCGGGAATAACGAGATACATCAAACGACATGTGATGCGGCTATAAGTATCCTGGGCGGCTCATTACCGCTTCCAAAGCAGTGCAGTTGAACCTCCTTACGACGTCCTTGCTTCCTTCCCTTGCGATGGTTGATCACACCACGACTACGGAGCCTGTACCAGCGCCTGTGGCACCGCCTGGTCTGCTACTCGATAACAAAGAAATACCATCAGGGGACAGGGACTGGGAAAAGAGCCAAAATGACGCCTCTACAGACCCCGAGAAAGGACCAACAGACATTGCGCCCACGACATCAGAAAAGAAAGACCAGTTCTTCGTCGAGTTCGATGGTCCCAATGATCCCGACAATCCTAAAAACTGGACTCCGAAACGAAGATGGGCAATAACGATTGCAATGGGTCTCATGGTGTTTACAGTCACATTTGCCAGTTCAATCTTCAGCGTAAACCTGGGCGTTGTACAACAAAAATTCAACGTCAAGATCGTCACTGCTACGTTAGGTGTAGCGCTTTTCGTTCTTGTGTGTCCAACCATTTCACCTGCATTTACCCGTAGCTGATTTCATTCTAGGGATTTGTATTCGGGCCAATTGCATTCGGACCTATGTCTGAAGTCCTTGGGCGCAAGACTCCGCTCATGTTTGGCTTTGCGCTCTTCGCCATCTTCCAGATTCCTGTCGCTCTAGCACAAAATATCACGACGGTATGCGTTGGCCGCTTCCTCGGGGGTTTCTTTGCTTCGGCACCGCTGGCAGTCGTGGGTGGAGCGCTCGCCGACCTGTGGGATCCCATCCCACGCTCTTATGCCATTTGTGTTTTTGCTGCTGGCGGCTTTGCAGGACCCGTAGCAGGCCCTATAGCCGGAGGCTTCATTGCTGAATCGCATCTTGGTTGGAGATGGACATCTTGGATCACGCTTATCATGGCCGGCCTCTTTGGTCTCGTTGGCTTCTTTGTTATCCCTGAGACGTCAGCGGCCAGGATTCTACAGATACGTGCTGCGCGACTACGCGAAGAAACAGGCAACGAGCAATACCATGCTGCTGCAGACGCAAACAAGTTGACTCTCGATCGAGTCGTGAATGTTTACCTTTTACGACCTTTTATCATGTTCGCCCAAGAACCTATCTTGGCACTCGTTACAGCCTACATGAGTTTTCTCTACGGCATAGTCTACCTCCTCTTCGAAGCCGTAAGTCCCCATACCTGATACCCCATATTTTACATGAAACTCAAATTCCACCCACAGTTTCCCGTGTCCTTCTATGAAGAACGCGGCTGGTCCCTCGGCGTTTCTCAGCTGCCCTTCGGTGCCTTTATAGTCGGGATCCTCATGGGCGCAGCCTGCATCGCATACAGCTCCGCTACAAACTTCACTCGCGCATACCGCAAGCACGGCAAGATAATTCCCGAGGAGCGTCTCCCACCCATGATTATCGGAGCTATTGCTCTTCCTGCTGGTCTCTTCTGGTTCGCTTGGACGAGCAACCCCAACATTACATGGGTGCCGCAGGTCCTTTCTGTCGCTTTGCTCGGATTCGGCTGTATGGTCCCGTTTTGGCAGGGTATGAGTTACCTTATCGACTGCTATGGGTTCTACTCCAACAGCGCTATTGCGGTCAATACGTTTATCAGATCGTTTGCTGGTGCTTTCTTCCCCCTCTTCACACATGCCATGTATCATAACTTGGGCGTGCCCTGGGCGACCAGTCTCTTGGCTTTTATCTGTGTTGCGTTTATCCCTGTACCGATACTATTCTATGTTTACGGTGCGAGGATCAGAGCGAAGAGTAAGTGGGCACCGACGGCCTAGTGGAAATGAGGTTTTGGTGTGCTTTTGTATGGGTGGCGTTGAAGCATAGTAGCGAATAGACGTCCTTATTTTACTTGTCGCGTAGAAGCAAAAGAGATACTCCTCCCATAATCACAAACTGTAGATTGTATATAGCAAGAGATGATACCTAGCACAACCATAGTTTTATGCAGTCCACAACATCACCCTCGTTGGATTTCCTTACATTTTCACATCTTATATTATCGAGGTTGAACAAACACCATGCTTTCTGATGCATTTCCAACAGTGTGTAAAGTATCTAGGAGTTGTAGAGGTCAATACAGACCTTTTGTTTCGTGGGCATTGGAACGTTGAGTTACTCAAGTTGAAGCATTTTCCAATTATGCGATTGCCTCACCTCTAGTCAATTTTCAAACGATCCCCCTCTATACCCTGTTTCTCCCCTTTGTCTTTTTGACCATCCTTGAGAAACTGACCCTATCTGCAAAAAATGATGCAGAGTGCCTCCACGTAGGATAAAAACAAAAATGCATAGCTGGTGAACTATCATAATAACCCTGTGACTCTATAAGTGTTTCCCATAAGGTTCGCGACAAACCAACATCTGTATATTGCCCCCTTTTACTCATTCTGCGATCTCCTAGAAGTGGCATTTGAGTTTGATGATATTATCTTAGTGTCTTGCTAATTGAAAGTCGAATAATCTACTTAGTCCTTCTCTTGGTAATAAACATGATTGCAGTATCGAAAAGTCGTACGTGGGAAATTGATCAAATATCCAAGTCGGTGAAATCCAAAGGATTTTTGACAAAGCAGAATCAATAGCTACTCCATCTTCTATTGTCTGCAATCTTGCTGTGACAGTTGGTACTGACAGGATGTATCTGACGCAAAAGCGAGACATCATGTGAGCGCCAAACCATTCCAGCACAAGCACCAGCCTCAATATCTCCTGCCCACTGACGTAAAGTGGCTAGAAATATTGCCTTCATCGTTTCCGGTCTAAATGATATTCCTGCATGCATCGCTGCTGCAACTACCATCAAGTTGTAGGAGTATGACATGTTCACAAACAAACTATAAGCCAGGTCTCAGGCACTTGTTGACCATTTTCGTGGCCCTTGGTCATCAGAAGATCCATAATCTATCCCTTTGTGGTGTTTTTTTCTTGAATTTCTGATCAACAAAGCAATGTTAAACTCTCAGTTGCACAGTTCTGCACTTCCTTGTGAGCTGTTCATATCAATTCCCTGACGGGTCTACGAATCATCTTCCCAAGGTATTTCCGTTATGTTTCCCTGCTAAAAAGTTTGTTTAATTATGAAAAACACGGGTAAGCAAATATCAACATAGAGGCAGCCTTATTCGCCGTTTTCGAGGCAATACGGCTGTGGTGACAGTCATGGTTACTGGCCACTTGTAGAAAATCAGGGGCAAAAAGAGGACCAACTCCTTGCTTTCAGAAGAGTCGAAAGCAGTAGCCTCACTCTGTAAACAGCCATATACTAGAGCAAAAAGGTTCGGACCAGGGAGTCCTACGTCCTTTCCTATCTTTTCGTTAGCCATGTTCCTAGGAAATAGTGACGGTTTTTTAAACCTATATAGCAGCTAAAAGACCTTAGTCTCCGGTCTGAGGTGATGAGTGAGTGGCTGACAGGGCAACAGCAATGTACTAGAGATTGCAAACGGTAGAGCGGCATCCCCTGGCTTCACTTGAGTATGCACCAATGAATATCATTAATGGCGAGGACTATACTCTGCCTTATGCAAGCAACCAAGTTTGTTGTTTGGTGCCAGATGCTATCAACATCTTGGTAGGACTATTTCCGTCATCGTTTGAGTACGAAGCTTTCTATCCTAGAGAGATGCTTGCCATCTACCGGTATCATTGCATGTAGACGTGATGTAGGAGCAAATTTTCATCAACGCTAAGTTGTTGTGGTTCCGTAGTCTCAATTGCTGTACGCAGGTTGAGGTATCCTGCGGTGCAGGTGAAGATGTGTAGCTTATTGCAAAACAAACTCTCAATTCTGCAACGGAACGCTTCCTATTCTGGTGACATGAACAAATTCGATCTGCATATGGCCACTCTCCACGTATAATCTCTAGGCTTTGATGAAGTGCAGCCAAGAGGTGCTTGCGGGATATGTTTGCTCATCCTGTCGCTGAACCTTGAGCAACGATATTCTTTGTTACGCTCGACAAGCTGACCCCTTACTGGACTGCTGACAGGAAGCACGATACCGCACTCATGTTGACAGCCATAAAAAGCGGAATACCGTCTTCTCTGACCTTTGCATCATGCGTGTTCTGACGCTGATGGTTGTTGGTTATAGCGCCAGTACCCCGGCTTCACCTGAGTCTCGTCCGCGACTCCACCGCTATCCCACCAACATTTTCGGGGCGGTCAACCGATCGACAAAACAGAATGCAGAGGGCTCCCGGAGGTGTAGAAGGCCTCTATGGGCGACTGGGGTCCATCTCTTTTCCTTCGTAATCAGCATTGTAGGTGGCGGCTCCGATAGAGCCCCTCGGCGAGCAGGCTGGACAACAAACTATCTCTGTTCGACCCCGACATAGCCTTCACAGCGCCTCATCGAAGCATCTGGCATGGCATTTGGTAAGCCAAACTCTCTGGGCATAGAGCTCTTCGACCAGGTCTGTATCCACGAGAGTGGTTGGCAGAAACACCATTCAGTGGCCCGACTCCGATAGACTGTCCGACAGTAGCCATCGCCAACTGAGAGTCCTATCAGACTTCCAGAAGCTGAGGGAACCTTCTGCAGTTTAGCGACAGTAGCAGCTTCACGTCCTGAGAACATCAGCGCTTGTCGTGATCGCGTGCTTTTTCTCCGCAGGAGCCCCGCCAACGCACTCAATTCCCATAGCTTCAAAGCAACCGTAAAAACGACAGCGATTCGAGGTAACAAAGGTGCCGGAACACTTTTGACACCAATGAATGCACGGCAGAAGGTTCGTAGCGGATGATCAGGACACCCATAGCCATTTCTGGCTAGGAGCGCACGACTGACAACGTGTTTACACCCTCACGCGAACCTGCATTGGCGGCAACCCAACCGAGGAGTTCGAAGGAGCATGCAAATGCTATGTGAACCTGGCCGAATCGGAGAATGCTGCTGTGATCCACAGATGTGACAAAGCTCACTAGATAAGCCATGCGTAGACCTTCGCTCACATATCAGAGAAAGATTGACTGACACAAATCCATAGCAATCCCGATCGACCCTGTCGAACCCGAGCGGCATTTTATGCAACGTGGGAGACGGGTTCTAGTGCGGGCGCGGTATGGTTGCAGCAGACTACACGATTTCTTTCGAAATGCGAATGCCCAACATGATGAGTCCCAACACTCACAGAAATGTCTCCGCACAGAGACCGTCTGCCGAATGAATAGCATGAAAGGCAAGATCCTAAAATAAGACCATAGAACGGTACGGGCGACAGGTATGAAGGTGCGAGGCGACATAAAGACCAGACGCTGACGCGAGACGAGAACATAGCCGATATGCTTGCCATTGTCACACACAGAACCCTGCATTGTGCGCTGGCTCAGCATCAGCCGAGTTGCTTGCTTCCGACTGGACGCCATAAATGGAATGGAAAGAAAACCAGACAAAGAAGAGCCCGTAATCAGGTGATTCGGGCCAGCCGGCATGCTCAAACATCTGTTCTACGATCCCTGCGACAGAAGAGCGGAGGCGATGAGTGGTTGCACCTCCAATGTCATCTGAAGCAGTACGCCCAGGGAACACAGCATGGTATGCATATGGCTATTCTCAGCATGAGGTCAACCATGAGTCTACTCGTACCCCTGCGACGACAGTCAGAGCCGACATGAAACTCAAACCTCAGTAAAGCTTACGCGTATGGCCAGGTGTTCCCACAACAAACCGCTGATACCGTTCATGCCTCGCGATTGATGGATTCACTTTCGTATAGACACGTATCTAGTATGGTGGTATCTCCGTTCGGCTGTGAGGCGGAGTCATAATATCCAGACTGTGGAAAACCATTCTTCCAGCATCATCGACAAAGATATGGTTGCTTGCAAGACGAGGCGAAGACCAAACGTCAGCGAGACGCAGGGATATGTCAAGAGGTAGATGAAAAATTCCTTTTTACAAAAAGAAGGTGTTTGGGGATCTAATGACAATGCCGAACGTGGCATAATGGGTATGCAATCTCCATCTGTCGTAGCAAGCATTCCTGGCACCCTCTGGACAATTCGCCTATGATCTCATTGCCTGGCCTATTGACACGATCCTGAAACCAACAGCTGCATCTATATGCCGGAAGACCCATAGAACAGGCCACTGATCCGATGCCATGCAGTTTGTGAGGTTCAGTCTCCTATTCCGAGGTTCAGAGAATGGCCTTGGTGTCGACTTGTCGTCAAGAACAGCATACTCGGTTGCAGCAGGCCTCATTTCCTAGACCGCTATCTCGCTGGCATTGTGCGAGATGCCTCTACTTCAGCTTGCCTTTTTCTAACATTGGGAACAGAAGCCCAAGGTTGATTCCGATGTCGCCAGTAACCATGGAGTCGTCGAAATTGGGATACCCATGACTGAGCATTGTCGTCTCAAACGGCCAAAAAGCCGCAAACTCTTACTAGAGACATGCGTATGTCTTATGGGATTCCAATATTCCTTTTTCCTACTCTTTGATTCCCATATCCATGGCCAATCACAACGACATGCCACCCGACAGGAGCAGTAGACTCCAAGGCCATTCCGGTAGAGCAGTCGCTCAAGCAGACTAATGCAGCGATGTGATTCCTAGGTTAGCTGCTGAAAAAGACCCCCAAAAATCTAGTCAAGAGCAATGAAGTGGATGAATGTGGTTGTGAATACTCAAATACTGGCTAAACAATCCAAGGATCAACCTTCCATGGCTAATTGAGCCTTATTCGCCCAAGGATGTTCAGTGACAGTATCCATACCACAAGGCGCTCTCGACATATGCCTTAGCTCAGATCTCATAGACCGGAGAACCCAATAGCTTCTTTTGTTCTTAGTATTTTGATACTTGATAAATAACGCGTACAAGGGCTGCCTGAGATTGGGATTGAGTGTGCTTCTTTCGCAATGGCGAACCATGGAGCAGAGCCAGGAAACAAGGAAATTGGAGAAGATCGGACCGTCATGGCGAATAACCGCTTTTTCGCTCCTATTATTCAATTCGGCTCCCAGTGGTGGACATCAAAGAGGCATGAGAAGTGCAGCTGTTCCCAAAGTCGTGACTCTGTGGTACGATCATGCGATTCGTGGATGGTAGATGGGTGACGACCTGCGTATGACTTCGTCACTGTCAGCAACAAGAAACATCCCGAAGCGATACATGCAACTGTCCAGTCTATCGAAAGCTCGCCTTGCCAGCTTTGGGTTTTGGTAATTGGTCGGCGTGTCCCCCGGCATACGGATTCTCGCAATGGTGCGGCGAAGTGTACGCGCCTGATGTGTATGTGTCTTCCTGCAGCCGCCTGTCATCCCGATATTGAGAGAAAATGATACTGCTACCATCGCATCCACATATGCGCGTCTCCGTTCCCTATTCAGGTTGATAGGAAGAACGTCTCGACACATGGCCTGCAGATGGCTAAGATTGAGCGACGGAAGGAGATGAGACAGCGTACTGACGGATTGTGTCAAATTTGTAAGACAGAGTGCTCGTGTGGTGATTTTGAGAGACATAGAAAGTCATACTTGGCCACAATACTGATCTGCTTGTAGGTGAGTCGGATTACAGTGACCAAAGAGGAAGTCCCTTGGCAAACAGCTATGTGAGTTCATCAAGGACCCGATGACACCTAGATGCGAAGGATCGTGACCATCTGTCTATCAAGCATTCTCCAAGGGCCGAAAGCCGATGCCATGTTCCGGTTATTCTCTGGTTCTGTGGACAAGGTATGTTGTTATCCGGGTATGCTAACCACTATGCAGACAGCCCTTAGTGTGGTGGGGGTTCGCGGGTGATCGCTAATGCGAGATTATTAAGCTGCGTCAAAGCCTGCCTGCAATTAACTTTCCGGATGTGGGAAAGTCATTTACGGCTGCTCCAATAGATGAAGAATATGGGTGGCTTCTTGTGGTGTCTCTGGTGATCGCTGAGGGGAGAGTTTCTGTTGTTGACTCGGTGTCTTCGGCGCAGCTCTCGGTCCCTTTCCTTGTCAGCGGCGTGCATTAGTCTGAAGCAGATTCGTCTTCTGAAGGACGACAGCTACTCCCACAAGAGAAGTAAAAGACTTCGTCTAATGCCAATGTCGCTGGATTAGGTGAGCTGAGGGGGGTATGATCATGAGGGGCAGGCAAGATTGTGAGCAACCAACTCCACGCCGGTCCGTGCGCCAGATTCCCCTCGAGCAGCTCAACGACACGACCAGGCATTCGATAGTCTCTGCTCTGTTCAAGGGGCTGCATATCGTGTGTACGACTGAAATCCTCAGGCTCGACAGTTTAATTACAGGGAGAAAGACATTATCTTGGGATTGTGGTTGGGGTAACCTTTGCGGAGCGATCAAGGACCAGCGTCGACATTATTAGTAGCGTGGGGAGGACGCAGCAGACTCACAAGAAAACGTCAAACGCTTCTTTGTACTCGGAAGCATTGTTAATCCCTCTCGGGTGAAGCCTGGACTTGGTGCGATTGTGTGCATGCGGCTATTCGGGAGTGTGCGAGACACGTTGCTGCAATTGACTCTGATAGCCCGCGCTACACCAACTGTAGGAACAGGATACGACAGCTTTCACGAAGAATACGCGTGAACCATAGGACCGATTCTCTCAGGTGTTCAAGAGAGATGATCACATTAGGGGTAAAGATGGTTGCGGAGGTAACATTACAGATTCACGAACGCGATGTCAACAAAGAAAGTCTTTGTTCCTCCTAGACTTAGTCTTACTACGACCCTGAAATTGCTAAACCCCTTTTCCCCACACACACACATTCTTCGCGTCTTTCTCACGCGGCCTTTGACTTTCTTCGTACAGTCTCTGTCCGATCAATTTGACGTGAGAATTCAGGAGCAAGTATAATCTCAACGGTTCCTCTTACTGGTCCTGGACATGAGTAGCCGCTGCACAGTTCATGGACTGCTAAAACAAAAGAGTTCGATGAACAAACAATGCAGATTGACAGTTCAAGAGTCGAGAGTGCAAATGAGCTACAAAGCTTTCTAGCTGGGTTATGCACAGTGCGTATTCTACTTGAAACATATCATGACCACCAATTTCTCATACGAAATGATACGATGCGAGCACTCTACGGTTCCGCATCCCTACCCGAGATGACACCAGTCAACTGAATAGCGTCATCCACCAGGTTATTGAGCTGATCAAACTCTCCTTGTAGCCACCTATCCAGCACAATTTGGTCTTGGTTGACGAATGATGTGCGCTCAGCAGGCAGGACACCAGTGCATTCCTTGAGATCATTGATGTTGTTGACACCGAGCAACGACAGACGCGTGTAAGCTTTGGCATAGTCCTGATCCTTTTGTCAGTTTGAATTCTCGAACAGAATGATTGGAAATACTTGCCGCATTCCACCTTCCTTGTGCAGTAGCCCTGTCGCTGAACTGCGCCCAGGATGTACTTGTTCTCGAGTCCTTGCTCAAGTTGATATCGCTTTGGAACTTGAGGACACGAGGCGGTGCGTTGTTGGTTGTCTGGGGGTAGAAGGCCATATCCCATACACCGGGTGTCGAGTCTTGTGGGTCGCCGTCGCGACTGGTGTCGACAAAGTGCTGCTGCGACGTGGTGTGTGCGCCTACCAGGGCTACGAGGTCATGGGCATCGATGGTCTTATCTTGAAACATCTTGATGAGCTTATCTGCTGAGTCCTTCTCCCCAGGCAAAAGTCCAGTGGGGCCCGCTTTGCTGTTGTCTTTGCGGCCAACGAAGGTGCGGAGACGGGGGCCGAGCGGGCAAACGACAGTCGCGACATTGGCGCCGAACTGGATGATGTCTGCCATGCTCATTCCATACTGGTTGTATTTAGTGTACCACTTCTTTGTCTGGTCAGCGATGGCTGCAAGACCATTATTGTCTGTTCTCGTCATTTCATCACTAAGAAGAATACTGCCGTCTGCACCACCGTAGCCGCTGCTCTTCGACCAGACACCTGCATCGTGGAAGCCCAGACGCACAGCTTGACGGGCAAATTTGTTGCAACGGCCGGAGGTGCCGTTGAACTTGGCTGTCATCTCATATGCGAGCCACTTCCAGTGGCAACACAAATCAGCTTTGCAGGCTGCACTTCCGATGTTGCCAACTGGAATCGATTTGTCTATGACTGTTGACTCGGCAGACTTCTGGTCCAGGATAATGGCTTTGATGTCTTTGCCAATAGCTGTAAGCTTAGAATCTGCGAGGGTCTTGAGATCACCAATGAGTTCTTTAGAAGTCTGGCGCTTCTCGCGAGCGGCTAGGTAGCGCATTTCGGCCATTGTATCGCCCATGCCGGGGTGAGCTTCGGCCAGGGGGATGTATGCCAGAAGGGCATAACTGAGGTAGGAGAGAGCCTTCATTGTAGGTTGTGGTATTGAAACGAATGGATAAAAGGCGATGGCGACTCTGGATTGATACAGTGCTGTGATTACAGCAGCTTTTATATCAAGATCTTTTTCCATGCCAGGTTACAAGTCTAAAAGCAAAGTCAGCCTATGCATCCCAGAGTCGAAGATGATTTGCTAGACAGCCTAGATTGAAATTCGACTATCAAAGCCACCATGAGCTCTAGATACTCGGAATAGATGAATACGAAGACCCTCGGCTTTGGTCCTAGTCTGATGAATGCTGTAGGGCCCTCGTGGCGTTGATCTATCGATTTTGCCGCACTTTAGTTGCATGGTGTTCGACCACACGGTCGAGGAAGAAACATACTTTCCAGTCGCATGGTAGCTGACAGTGGAGCGGGATATACAGCCTAAATCATTGGTCAGATGAGCAAAGAGGAAGGTAACTTGTGCCTGGATGGCGGATCTCAGATACGGGAGGCGAAACTAGTTGCAAAAAGCTGCCGTAATACGTGAATTATATTACACATGCTTTTTGAGTCTAGTGTGTCATACAAATTTCCAGCGTAGTCTAAGTAATTGTTACATGGCGAACTTGATTTGCGCCCTTCTCGTCAGCTTTCCCATGCGCTAGGTAATTGAATTTGTGACACGCTCCATGCCAGCGCATACCACAACCAACTGTCCTCGAATTAACTGTGTGGAATTGACTTGTATTCCAGTGCAAACATAAGTCACCTGGCAAACATTGTCCCGACGGTCAAAAGGGCCGGTACCGCCTTTCAAGCAGATGCAGTGATATATTGAACGAGTACCTGGAACTCATACTTGGCGTGCATACAGCGAGACTATTCTTAGCCATTACTGGCTGAGTGGTTCCAGGTCCAAGGTTGCTAGATCGCGCAGATGCAATCTCGACCCGTCCATGGTGAGACGCTAGATACATTAGGATTTCAGCCTCACCATTGAAGTAGCTTTGGAGTCTTACCAAACCCTTTCCAAAAGTGTAGATGATATTGGTGATAGGTTAGACACAATTGATCTGAGCAAATCAACCAAGGATGCCAAACATGGAAATGTTCATAGGATCAAAGATCGGTGTCATTGCGAGGATACTAGGAACCAGCCGCTAAGCTGCATGGCAGGGGATGTGCAAATACAGCATACATTTAACCGGATAACGTACGTTCAGCTCTTGACTCCCAAGCCAATATCGCGGAACCAGATAAATGTTCCGCGTCTTGTGTCTGCGCTTAATACTCTCGGTTGCTCGAAAACCGACTACTTTGTGTTCCCGGGACCGAGGCAGAGGGGAATACTAAGTCAAAGCGAAGAGTATATATCACGTGACTCGTACTTTCGAGGGGAAGTTTGGTACTCCCAATTTGTGGATATGGATTGCAGTATGTTCGTGATCCAAGCGTTTTTTGACGCACAAGATGAATCAGCTAGATGGAAACTAAGAGAGGAGACGGGATATCGCATGAGCGTATAACTCTATACCGAAACACAAAAACAAAGAATATCCACCACCAGGGCTTATCAAAGCCAGATTCGCTAGCTATCCACGACTGAACGGGCAGGCTTGATACTTGTATGACGGAAGGCTTTGCTTGGCGGGCGGAACGAGAGTCAGACAATCAAAAATCCCAACACGACAGGACTGTTGCGAATGAGTTGACAATGGCATGCATTACTGTTAGCGTAGCAAGTAGGACTAACAAGCAAGGTGAGCGGAGATGGTGGGGCTGACAAAGGCCGCCATCTCAACTCAGCTTAGGCGGATTCTAATTCAGTCGCTCGCGGGATCCTTCTTCTCTCACAGCCACCGCCTCTCAACACTGACAACGCAACATAAGAGGAGATTTGCATCTAATTTCGGACACAGCAGGTTTGATGACAGTGGATGTTGTTATTGCTGTTGTGCGGTGTAGGCCTCTGCATTATGATGTGCGAGAAGATGCGGTAGGCTTCGGTGCTGCATTGTCAGCTTTCTAAGGCTCAGCCTTTCTCAGCTGCTGCGCATCAGACGGAGCTACGCAATCCTGTTCGTTTATGCGTAATAGACTAGTATAATTCCCGCTTTTCTCAGCTCTTCTCTTCCTTCTTGTTTGGCTCATACCCCTACACACCTTTCCACGATCCCCATCGCAGTTGCGATAGTCTCACCTTATTGGTTGGCCCTGGATTACGCAACAATCCACAACAAGACTGAGATGCAAATTTCCAAGATGCGGCGGCTGTCAGGCCTCTTCTCCGGACCCAAGACTTCATTCCAAGTTCTCTCGGATCTTCACCTGGACCACGAATCACAGTACCTCACCTTTCACATACCGGTAGCAGCGCCGTATTTAATTCTCGCCGGAAATATTGGTCGCCTGCTTGACTATGAACAATATCTCGCCTTTCTCATACGGCGATGTAACCTTTATGAAAAAGTCTACCTAGTTCTTGGAGCACTCGAATTCCATGGAGTTGGATGGATGGAAGGACTACAATTAGCGCACCAGCTGGAAAAAGAGCCAGCAACGCAAGGCAGACTGGAGATACTCTACGAGACGAGAAGTGATGTACCGGGAACGAACATTACACTGTTAGGATGCACCCTGTGGAGTCAGATACCAAAGTCGGACGCAAGCGCTGCTCTGCGCAAGATGCCAGAGTTTGACGAGGTAGATGGGATTCAGGACTGGAGCGTGGAGAAGCACAACGCGGAACATGAGCGAGACCTCCAGTGGTTAGTCGACGAACTAAAGAATCCAAGCGCAGGCGAGAGCAGCTTAGCCCCTGATACTTCTGCATCCAGGCAACAACGGCAGCTTATCGTCGTCACAGCGTTTGCAGCAGATCTTCGTGGATGCCTAGAGCCATGGCAAGTCGACGCTCCATGGGCCTCCTCATACGGAACAAACCTTCTGGACAACCCATCATTCAGTGCTGTCAAGATGTGGATCTCAGGAGCGACAGGTCGAACATGCGAGTTCAAGAAAGGGCAGACGACAGTTGTTAGCAACCAGCGTGGAAGAGTCGGCGAGCACGTTACTGGCGCGTTGAAAGATGGCCTGTCAGAAAAGCAGAAAGTCGGCTTGTTCGACGTCATGCGGGTTGTGAAGATGTAGCAATGCATACTGGGCTTGCAAAATCTTACCATAAAATGGCTGGTCACATATCTTTGTGTCTTTGTGCATGAATGCGAGGTACGAGACGCCAGTTTGTCAGCCCCGCAATGCTGACCAATATCTCTCAACCCTATGACGTTGTCCCGTATTCAAGAAAATACGATGGTGCCTGATTACAATCAAGCATAGCATTTACAATCTTCGATACCATGGCTTGCTACTCTATCTCCAACTTTATTCAGTTCCACAGTTCCAAACATCTTCACCGCCGACATGACCGACGATACAATCACCTTGACAGCATCCTGTCTTTGCAAGGCGCACGTTCATACCACCACTATCCCCAAGTTCAGCCTCCCTCTGAAAGCGCACATCTGCCACTGTGACACTTGTCGTCATGTGTCGGGCTCTCTATACAGTTCGCTAGCGTTTTGGCCCTCGCCACGCTCTACAGTTGACCTCTCAGGCTACAAGTTCTTCAACTTCAGCCCAGCATTCGACCTTTTGTTCTGCGCAACATGTTCTACCCCTATGATTGGCGCTTTCAAAGATGAGACGAAGCCACTGCTTATGGTGACGGGCGCACTAAACAACTTTGCGTGCGATGTGGAAGTGGTGAAATGGTCGCACATGGGATTCATAGGCGATACAAGAGATGGAGGCGCAAGCGTATGGATGAAGTATATCAATGCTTCCGGTCCACCTTTGAAGTGTTTCAAGACCGAAACCAGAGGCGACGGTGTGGAAGAACTGGCAGATGATTGGCAATTGCAGTTGGAATCACCAGACACAACTACAGAGCAACAAGACGCCATACCCATCCGGTGTAAATGCCGAGGCGTAGACCTCGTCCTGAACCGCGGCAACTACGATCATGTCGCCACTGAGCACTTGCCCTGGAACGTGGATCCAACTAGTAGAAAGTTGAAGGCCGAGCTCTGCAGCTGCGATAGCTGTCGATTGCATACTGGAAACGACGTCTTCTATTGGACATTTGCAGATCTGCGGCACATCTCTTTCCCCATCTCCTCGGATGAGAATGGGTTTCCATCAAACATGCAAGACTTGGCTGCTTTGGTTGATAGCAAGGATGCACGAATTGGTTCTCTGGTTTATTACGAATCTTCGCCTGGCGTGCATCGATATTTTTGCAATACGTGCTCTACGACCATCTTCTATACCGTGAGCACGCGACCGCGCTTCGTTGATGTAGCAGTGGGCACCCTTGAGGCAAAGGACGGAGCGAGGGCAGAGAGTATATTGGCATGGCAGTTTGACTACGGCGTCGGTCATAAGGAAGATGGAGCTGGAGGTTGGCGTGAAGGTTTATTTGAGAGGATAGAGAAGTCGTTGAAGGAGTATGGCCACACGAGGTCATCTTCTGGTTAACTAGGTCTGAGAGACATTTGAAGCAGGCTGCATGTAGCGGATACTTGGAGCAAACAGACTATAGACATTATGTTACGGACCCTAACTCATAACAATTGGTCAAATGTTCCCCATTCACCATCACTAGGGTCTCACCTCATTCCCTCTTCACCGCGCAAACCAACTTTACCATCACTGCAAATTGTATAATATGCAATTCTCTTCTCACTTATACCCCGCTTGCCAACTTCACAATCCTGACTCCACACCGTGAAGATTTCCAATACCACAAAAGTCATGTCGGAACCGACTCGTACCGTGGCGCGACCGCCAGGCGTCCTGTTTCGTGTGGTGAAGACTCTTTCAATAAGCTCTTCAAGTACAGCTGTATATCTCTGTCTTCCGCGCAATCTTCCTTCTTCTGAGCCCACAATGGACATTGACGAAGATCTTTCGAACCGATGCGCACCAATCTTAGTAGCGTTTGGGAAGATGACTGGGAACGCACGCCTACAGCAGCAACTTGGTCTGCTCGAGTTTAAGAGGCTAGGAGATGTATTATACCAAAATATGCAGGAAAACCGGACATCGTTACTGCGTCCAGGGCAGATCGAGATGCTGCCGCAGCTCGTAGTGGTCAAGATGTCTACGGAGAAAGAGAAGGTGCGGAGAGAAGTCGAGGTAGTGGAAGAGATTCATAGAATGGCTGGGGAAGTGACTACGCTGCATATAGGGTCATGTATACTGGGATCTCAGTACACAGAGGCGCCAGGGACGTCGTACATGGTTTTGCGCCCTATCTTTGGGCCCACGCTTGAGCAATTTAGTGAAAGGAGTAGCAGTGGTAGGAGCGGAAGCATTCCAGACTGGCTGATGGCGCACATATGTATCGGTCTGATCGAGGCAGTCGAGTTCTTGCATGAGCATGGTATGGTGCATAGCAAGATCGAGGCGTCCAATGTCATGTTGAGCTTGTACCCCGTGTACATGCATCATCGGTATCGTGGGTACCCGGATATGCAACTGATTGATTTTCCAGATTGTGCGTCAGCGGCGGCAAAAGATACGGCCCTGGATGTGAGAGGCGTGCTGACGGTCATGGAAGAAACTATGGTCAAGCAGAATGACGCAGCCCCTTCTGGGCGTTCCAAACGAGATGTTCGTGGTCGGACCCGAAAGAAACAGGGCGACCAAAACCCTCTTCTAGCTCAGATCAGGAGCATGACTGCGGCTGATTACGAAGGAGGCATGGACAGTCAGGGCTTGCGAATGTCACTGGTGGGCATAGCGCAAGATATGCGACATGTTGGTCCCGAAACGATACCGAGAGACATTGTGAGATTGTTCCATGCAGATTTGACGACAGCGGCAGAACTCGAGTGCGCAGTACGGAACCCTTTAGTTCTCAAAGTGAGGAGTAAGAAGCAAACGACAAAGGCCGTTGGGGAAGATAGGCCAGTTGCTATGGTTGGCGTGGAAAATGTGGAGACGAAGACTAGGGATTAGGCGCTTGCGAAAAAAAGCAAAGAGACAGTCAAAATCAAGGGGAAAGGAACGGATTGACAGAAGACTATTTTGTAGAGGCCATGGACACAGAGGGCTTCATATGTTCAATTTGTCTATTCAAAATGGATGACAAAAGGCTACAGCCATTCCTGGGGCACAGCTCTTTCTGACCATGTTCTTTCGCTTTCCCATGCCAGCCAATCTGACCGAGTCGTAGGCAGCAGACCCATTGCATTGACCTTCCAGATTCCGAGCGCTAACATGAGCAAATTGCAGGCAATGTAGACGAGTTTGACTCCGAGCAGACGGCCGGCGGTGCCGGGTGTTTGGTATGGGGCAAAGGTGCGTTGGAGACCAAGGACAGCGAGGACGGGCGTCTTGAAGAGGGTAAAGACCATGAAGACGGAGAAGATTTGGAGCGTGTTTCCGGTCATGTACATGCCTGGTTGCCTAGTTAGTGAAGGTGGAGGTGTGATGGAAGGCGGGAATAAGTACCAAAGGCATTCATGGGCAGCTGCTTAGCGGGGGCAATGGCAACCTCCCAGGCCTTTTTCATCTTGAGCGTGTCCATCTCGTCTGCGGTCGGAGACACGCGCTGGTTCTTGGAGGCCTGGGAACGCTCCTTCTTGGTCAGCGAGGCTGTGTAGCCAGGCGGGTCGATGAGCGCGGGATTCTTGGGCTTGGATGCGGGCGTCGAGTTGAGGTCGACGACCCATTGCGGAGGCGGAGGCGGGGCAGCAGCCATTTGTGATCGAGAGGTGGATGGCTGTTATGGGCGTAGATGTGTGCCTAGCTGTGGCTGTGGCTTCAAGACGCGGATGGTGGCGGTGGTGGTGATGGTGTTGCGGCTGCGGTGGTGCGGAGCGCGCCGTAGGTGGAGACGGAGTGCGGGAGTGCTTGGCAGGGATGCACGTCCCCTCCTCCGTGTTGACCGCCGCCGGGCGTGTCTCCATCCATAAAAGTCACCACTCGTCTGAACCCCCGTCTCCCAATCCCCCGGACGCCCGCCCCAATCCCTCTACCACCCTCCCTACGACATGCGCCACGCCATCCACGCCCGACACACGAGCGAATAAGCTACTCTTCCAAGACCCCGCATCGCCACCACCCGCACCCGCCAACAGAGAGGGGTGCCAGCTGGGCAAGGGTCCATTTGTTGATTGCGCGACGGCCAGGCAGATATCAGGACAACTAGCCCACCATGAGCCAGGGCGGCCAGGATGCGAAGCTCTTCGCGAGGGTACGTCTGCTGTCCATCCATCCACCATGTTTCTCCCCTACGCTCTCGACAGCCCACGCTTACACCCATCGCCCGCTCCACAGGGCAAGGTCGCCGAACTCCGCCTCGAGCTCAACAGCGGCGGCAAGAAGGACAAGAACTTCTCTGCAAAGAAGACGGCCCTCAAGAAGATTGTCGCAAACATGACCATGAGCAACAACGACATGGTCGCCCTCTTCCCGGACATTGTTGGCTGCATGCACATACCCAGCCTGGAGATCAAGAAGATGTGCGTAACCCTTTGATTTTGCTGCATGTGCCCTGCTGACGAAGACGCAGGTGCTTTCTGTACTTGGTCAATTATGCCAGGATAAAACCTGACATTGCCCTCAAGGCACTACCCATCATACAGGAGGACATGAACGACAATAATCCCCTCGTGCGCGCCCTTGCCCTACGTACAATGTCCTACGTGCATGTCCGCGAATTTGTCGAAGCCACTGTTCCCCACCTCAAGAATCTTCTCAAAGACGCCGACCCTTATGTGCGAAAAACCGCCGCCTTTTGCGTCGCTAAACTCTACGACCACGACCGACATCTGGTCGAACAGTCGGACCTCATCGATAGGCTCAATGGCATGCTAAGAGACGAGAACCCTACCGTAGTGTCCAGTGCACTCGCCAGCCTCATGGACATTTGGGAACGAAGCGAGAACATCAAGCTCACCATCGACTATGCCAGCGCCTCCAAGATTGTCTCCATTTTGCCAGACTGCTCCGAATGGGGCCAGACATATATTCTCGAAGCCATGATGAACTATGTTCCTCAAGACAACAGCGAAGCCGCTATCCTCGCCGAACGCATATCTCCTCGCCTTTCACATTCGAATTCCGCTGTCGTTCTTACCTGCATCCGCGTTATCCTTTACCTAATGAACTATATATCCGACCAAAAGGTCATCACTTCTTTATGTAACAAGCTTTCCCCACCGCTCGTCACCCTTCTTTCCAAAGGCCCCGAGATTCAGTACCTGGCCCTTCGCAATGCACTTCTTATCCTACAGCGCCGACCTGAGGTTTTGCGCAACGATATCCGCGTTTTCTTCTGTAAATACAATGACCCCATTTATGTCAAGGTCACCAAGCTCGAACTTATCTTCATGCTGGCCACTGAGCGCAATATCAAGGAGGTGCTGACTGAGCTGGCAGAGTGAGTTTACCCTTCAACTTTCCTTGACCCACTCAACTAACAACAAGTAGATATGCCACTGAGATTGACGTTGATTTTGTCCGAAAATCCGTCCGTGCCATTGGCAAGCTCGCCATCAAGATCGCTCCAGCAGCCCAGCTCTGCATCAGCACCCTTCTCTCACTTGTCAGTACAAAGGTATCTTATATTGTGCAAGAAGCGACAGTCGTCATCCGGAACATCTTCCGCAAATATCCCAACCAATATGAATCCATCATCTCGACACTATGCGAGAACCTCGACTCGCTTGATGAACCCGAAGCAAAAGCCGCCATGATCTGGGTGATTGGTGAGTATGCAGACCGAATAGAAGACTCTGATGTTCTTCTTGAGGATTTCTTGGACACATTCCAAGAAGAAACACACGAGGTGCAGTTGGCTCTTCTCACAGCCACAGTCAAGCTGTTCATCCAGAGACCTACTCGAGGGTCGGCCATCGTACCCAAGGTGCTCAAATGGGCAACGGAAGAAACTGACAATCCCGACTTACGGGATCGAGGCTACATGTATTGGCGTCTTCTTTCTTCGGCACCCGAAGAAGCGAAAAAGGTGGTCATGGGGGAGAAGCCTCCGATTACAGCTGAAGAGTCTGAGAAACTGGACCCCGGCACTTTGGAGGAAATGTGTCTTAATGTGGGTACACTGGCAACCGTCTACCTCAAGCCAGTCAACCAAGTGTTCCGCAGCGCACGGCCGCGAAAACTACAGGATTCGCCCGCTTTGCAAAAGGAAGAGCTGCCAACCTTCAAGGCAGCTCAACAAGCCCGGGAGCGCTCTGCGGCCGAGCGGACTAAGCTGGACGTGACGACGAATGGCAATAGCAGTCTCAGCCCCAGCAACGGCAACGGCATGGCGGGTGCTGTGAATGATGCTGACATGTATTTTGCAAGTGTGGGCCGACAGAGCTCATTTGGCGGAAGCCCAATCACTGCGGATCCAGTTGGGGGGATTGGAGGGGGATGGGTAGTTAATCAAAATGAGCCGCAGCATATGGTGATTAGTCCAGGGGTCAATGATGGAAATCAAGACTTGCTACTTTGAGCAATTTGCAGAGCGGAGTGTGTACATAAAGTAATAATACACCTACAAGTCAGACATGACTCACTATTTCCATCAGGTCCACGACGTACCAGAAGGGTATGCTTGAACTATAGGCTAGGTAAAACAACAAGCTATCAAAAGAACTGCACACTAATGTAGTATGACTCAAACCACCGCCTCAAACGTACACCTTATCTGAAAGGAAGCACACCCAAGGCTATCATTATCATGCTCAACAGCCATGAACCCCGCCTTTGTCTGCTCCTCAGTCATCAGCCAGTAGTGGTGCCCTCTCCCTATCCTCGCTGACCACGTGGCCGCGTGGGAAAGGATCACGACCCAGCAGACCCGGCACGCCGACAGCAAGACTGAGCACGAACAAGAGACCACCAATAGTAAAAGCAAAGATCCACTGCAATTGCAGAATATGTGGGCGAGTGAGAAACTGACCCACTCCCGTTGCTAGATTGGGACAATGTTAGCGGATAGTTCTTTTTTCTATGTGTTTTTATGCAGGACGAGGGAAGGAAAGAACGAAAAAAAAAACGTACAAAACGCCAGAAGCGATAGGGCAAATCCCATGGTGTAGTCCTTGTAGGCTACAAGGAAGAACAGGCCAAAGGCAAGCCAGCCCCAGATGAAGAGATTGCAAACAATGCGGAAAGCCTCATGATTTGTGTGCAGGGCAATGGCACCGCACCAGTCGAGGGCGACAAAGTTCCATGCAAGCGGGCCGCTGACGATGCCAATGTGGATGGCGCGGGGCGTGGTGCTGTGTCGAAAGTAGGCAAAGGCCAGATTGAAAAAATTGATGACGAGCAGCACCTCTGCGAGCCAGAAGTGGCTGCGGACAAAGAGATTGACAAATCCAAAGAGTAGCAGGTTGTTTGCAATAAAATGAGAGCCAATGTTTGCTGCTGCGGTCACGTACACCGTGTCGCTCATGTACAGGGCGTAAGCATACACGAGCTGCACGGCAAACAGAATCAGCCAGTATATTGACGTGAAGAGGCTACTCTGTGCAAATGGCGTGGGGATATTGTTCTGCCAGAAGCGGTGGGCGCCGTGGCCACTGGGGGCATGGAACGTGTAGTAGAAGGTTGTTATGACGAGGAGGAGGTAGCTGAGCGATGTAGTGATTTTGTAAAGGAGTATAGCCTGGGAGGAATGTTCATCGCGCTTTGCAAAGGGATTCAGGCTGCTGCGGCTTGAGCCATTGCTTGGGGGCGCGGATGACGCCATGACAGCTGATGGTGGGGGGGGATGTCGACGTTTATTGCAAATAAACGGAGACTCGAGGCAGACCTGACTGTGCTATATCACCAATGGCAGAGTGCGGAAGAGGAGGGGTGACACGAGGGGGGCGAAGAGGTAGGAGGAGGGGAAGAGAGGGGAGAAGAAATAGACAGCAGAAGTTAAGAAGAGCTAGTAGATAAAGACACGGAATGTACCTGCCTGGGACGAAACGCATAGGCACGTCTACGCCACGCTCGCTTGCTTCGTTCCTTCGAAACAAAAGAGTACCCGCTTTACCCTTTTGCCCTTGCCTTGCACCCAAAGCACGTCAGCCGTCAACCCACGGCAGCACGGCCAAGCAGGAAACAAAACGAAAATAACAAATCGACGAACTTCAGCAGTGATGGGAAAGTCGAGAGGGGGAAAAGAGAAAAAAGAAAGACGAACAAGCAGCGTTCCCCTCTCCCCCTCACGCCTTGTCTTCATCTCGTCTCGTGCACATGGTCACCATAGGCATGGGCATGGGAGACTAGTGGCCAAAACCCAAACGTACGTCACACACGTACGCTAACGGAGCCATGCAGGCCGCATGTCGCGCGTTGGTCTGCCCAAAAGGCCCCTCGGCCCAGGCGTACCGTACCATCCCTGTCTCTTAGAAGGGTAATTCGCAGCCATGATTGGCAGACGGGCCACCCACCCACATACAGCCCTTGCAACCTTTTGAATGCGGGGACTGCAGCCATTGCCGTCAGGTCACTCACTGCCCGCGTAATACGAATACTGCACGAGTACCGCATGAGTACGGAATGGGCACCTGGGCGCTTAGCCAAGATAGTCCGGAATGCTTTCCGACATACATACGAGCGTGTACCGCGGTAGGCCAATGCTACACACACATCGCCAATCATCAGTAGACGAGAGGACGGAAAATTCGTCTTGTGATCCAACACATTAATATAACTCGACCACATACACAGCCATGACATGAATAATAGAATGTTCCCATTGGACAAAATTGCACCATAGGCGCTGACCACTGCCCAATGGTCAGATCTGGGGGTATCTTCTACGTGCGCACAAGCCTGGGCAACCACGACAAACCACCACCAACTCTACACCTAAAATACTACTCTACTAAAATCCCACGCTAAGCAATCGCTACCCCGAGGCTTAAATCCAAAGAAGGCCCGACTCATCAGCCCTTGGACCCTCAGATCCACCTCACGGCTCTTGACCCGATTCGCTTGCGCATTACAGAAGGGAACAAAAAGGATCCCCCGCTATTCGCCAGCAAACACCCCAGCCAGACATTGTCAGACAGAAAAAAAAATATCTGACATGCGTAGCCAGGCAATAACCCCTCTAAATTACAATCGCTCTAATCTTCAACACAAATACATAACAAAACAAAGGCAACTCATCCATCAAATCGACAAGTGCTTTGGTGAATGCACCTATCTGACACCCTATCCATTCTTGGCCCCTGTGCCCGTAGCTGTTTGCCCTAGTACATCAGAGCTCGACGCAAAAGGTATTGCGCCATTCGCCGTGAAGACAGGAAGATCACTCCGCTTGCTCGGAGGTGACATGGGTGCTATCGCAGCCATGTCCGTAGTCTCGGCGTGTGTGTTGGCCACCCACTGCAAAGTTGCCGACGCTTGCGGGTCAGACACATTCGATGGCGCTGCAAAACTCGGCGCGGTACCAAAACTCTCAGTCGTGTAATTGACAAACTGAGGCATGCTCGTTGGCGGTGGAGGCGGTGGTGTGTCGGCGCGAGGAGGTGGGGAAGCGTTTGTCAATGGTTCCGTCACGGTAACAAACGATGGCATTGGCAGGTGCTCACGGATCTGCTCTGGGGTTATGGCCATGTCGTGTAGCTCTGTCGGTGGCTGCACGATTCCACCAGAAATCCGTCGGTCGACTCTCAAGCTCTCATCTGGAACTTCGGTTCCATCAGGAGACTGTAGGGTCCCATTTTGCACCAGTCCCGATGCATACTGAGATGAAACCGGCTGAGGCTGCCGCAGAGTCGCGGCAGCAGTAGCTTGCACGTAGGGATCCTCAGGTACAGGTGTAGGTGCCTTTGATTCCTGTGGAGAGGTAACCTTGGATGATTTTACTGCCCGTCCCGTGCCTTTTTTAGCAGTGCCCATCGCTTTCGCTGCGGGCTTGGCAGGAGCTGCGCGGGCCGCTGGCGTTTTTCGTGTCCCGCTCTTCTTCGGAGCTTCTGCAACTTTGAGCTTTTCTTCTCTCTCTTTTTCACGAGCGTCATGCTCCTCCTTTGAGGGCATTTTCAATGTAATGCGTTTCAGGCCAGAGGTCAGTGCTTCGACGTCATCGTTCTCCCTACCCTTGAGTGCGATATTCGTGCTGGAGTAGTTTGATTGCGCGCGTGGTGCAGAAGGACGCTGAGCAGCGCGAGCTGCAGCCGCTGCTGTCTGGCCCCGTACTTTCTTCAGGCCAACCTCATTGACAGGTGCTGCTGAGGAAGCCACAGCTCTTCTACTCGTTGCTACATTGGGCTCACGACTCGAACTTCTACGGTCTCCTATTGAAGACACACTTGAGGCAATACTCATGCGACGTGAGGCAGAAGGCACCGGCGGAACCTCGGAGCTGGCTGGAGCAAAGTCAGCAATGGTTTGCCTCCTACTGGCTCGAGACTCCTTGTGATGCGACTTCTCGTCTCCCGAGCTACGCTCAGCGTATGAAGGCACAGCTTTGCGGCCACGCAACTGCCGCCCTGACTTGTCCACATGTACAGACGTCAGTGCTGGCGGAGCCGGTTTCTCTTTCTTTGCTTTTACTTCCATCAGATCTTCTGGCTTGTGGCTACGCGTCTGTCGATCAGTAGGAATCAACAGACTGCTGAGAGCTTGGGCAGCAGTGGCCCAATCAACCTCTGGTGGAGGAGGTGTGGGCGCTCTCGAGGGGCTGGAGGCATATTTGGCAGAGAGGTTACGGGTAAGCTTGGAGGGATCAACGACTTTGGCAACGAATGACTGCGTAGGCGATGAGAAGTGAGCATTAGGTCCAGGGGGCGGCTTCTTTGGAGCAGTCAAGGGAGCAGGATTGACAAGATTTTCGAGTTCTGTTAGATGGGTCGAGTGCCACCAAAAAGGATCATACCCTAGAGGCGTAGCTTCCGTCTCTACAGACTGCGTCAAGACTTGCTGATCGTCGACACTGAGGGCACTAAGTCGATCGCGCACAGAGGACGCAAGGCCTGTTGCGAGCTTGGCATCGGTCCACACTTGGCCATCTACAAGACCACTGAGATGGCTCATGACTCCACTAGTGAGCGCTCGGTCGCTATAACCACCTTCAAGAACGGAGATGACGCGACCTTGGACAGATGTGCCCTCCTCCTCAGCCAGACGAATAACATCACGAGTGAAGCGGGCGTAGAATTCGGTAGGTACGTTGACAGAATGACGCTGCATACCTGCAGTCTCCCATTCGCTTGCGTCGAACCCGGCAGATAGGAAGATGGCAGCCTTGGGTGCCGGATGGTTCGGTGAAGTTCGCAGACGGTTGGTGTGATGCTTGAGATATTGCCGTGTCTTCTCGAGTAGTACCATGTACTTTTCTTCGTAGATGGCCCAGAATTGTTCCACAGTCTTCCAGGGCTGCAAATGCACATTCCAGATGGACTGGCCGTGCGCGTTGTCGATACACAAGCTGGCGGCCTGGACCTTGTCGTCATCACCGTCTTCGCAGGGATATGAGTTGATATCATGCAAGCTAAAGTAGCCAATCGATGTCTTCTTCCAGTTGGGTGTATTCTTGGACATGTTGTGTACCCTTTTGTTTCGGGCCCAGGTAATTGCCTGCGACCCGTCTCCATGGTGTAGGTCAAAGTCGATGATGGCGGCGTGGGTGAGGTTGTACGTCATGATGGCGTGCTCAATGCCGACATGTACATTGTTGATCCAGCAGAAACCAGAGGGGAAGTCGTCGGAGCAATGGTGACCTGGAGGACGAATACAGACAAAAGCCCGTGAAGGCCCCTCGCCTGAGCTTGTACCCTGGAAGACGGCATCAACGGCATCCAGGACACCCCCGAGCGCACCCTGAAAGGCATCCAAGGACTCGGGACATAGGTAAAGGTCTCCAGCATGCAGCTCCTTCGACGCCTGTCCTAAAACCGCAGGCGAATCCCGAGCTAGCTCCTTGCCTGTCGAGGCCAGCTTCCTCTCGGCGTCGTCGCACAAGGACTTGAGCTCATTCATCCACTTTGTACCGTGTACGTTGGTAACGACAGGCGATGTGATGTCGACAGCGCGTGAGGTCTTGCGGATCTTAAATGGGACGCGGTCCGGGGGGTTGTGGTGTGGATGGGGCGGGTGGCTGCCGTCTGCGTGTCGCTCTCCCAGCCGGACATAGGCTGTCGATATACCCAAGACACTGGCCAAGATCCTCTCTGGCCGCTCCATGATGAGGCTGAGGGTGCTCTTGGCCGTCTTGGGCCTGGAGAAGCGGTGGCCGTAGCATTGGTCGTGCACAATGACGACGGTGCCCGCGTTGACGGCGCCGGTGATGCCCTCGTGGCGGGCCAATTCCTTTTTGAAGAAGTCGAGGGCAACATCACAGGCGCGCAGCGGCGGCTTGTCTTGGTGACACGAGGTAGCCAGTGGGCTCTTTGGCATTGGCGACTGCATCATGGGGTTGAAGGACGCGCGGCGCGAGACAGAAGCCCGAGGGGCGTCGCCGCGTAGAGATGAAGTGGACGATTTTCGGGTGAGGCCCGGCGTCGAGGAGCGGAAGCTGGCTACGCTGGGGCTGCGTTGGATCGAGGGGGTAGCCTTGAAGTTGGGCGTCGAGGGCGCACGGCGGGGTGGGGTGGGGTTGAGGACGGCAGACGAGTGCGGCTGAGGCTGCGGCTGCGGCTGGGGGAGCGGCATGTTGGTGGTGGCTGTTTGCAGGGAGCGGCGCTTCAGCGGGTGTGAAAGGAGGTTCGTGTCATTATTTGTTGTCGTTTGCCTGGCTGGCCGCGGCGGGGATGGCGCTGCAGCGGGGCTTGACTGTCGTTGGCTCTGCATCCTGGCACTGGGAGGCCGTGTCGCAGGACCCGGATTGCCCCGTTGGCGTCGTCGAGGCCCGTCTCTCTGGCAAACGTCTGGTGGTGTGGAAGAAGCAACGGGCGCTATGACGGAAGAACAAGGTCGCGTCGCCCTCCCTGCAACCCAGGCCAGACCAAGTCCCGCCTGCGCCTAGTAAGCGAGCGAGCGAACCCCGAGCATCTGTTCCTGCATGGTCCCAGAGACACGCCATGACGTCTACGAGCCTGTATCAGGGGTTGGTGGAAATCATTCCAGTGTGTGGCCTTGAAGATGCCGGCTGCAATCCACCCGTCAACCTGCCTGCAAGCGATGGCGGGTGCGAACATGGGGCGGCAATGGTTTAACTCACTTTAAGCCAAGTATATGTGTAGACTTGGACATGGGATCCCTGGTGCTGCAATGCAGCATCCACAAGAAAGATGCTTAGTAGAATGACTTTGATCACAACAGCACTCAGTGTTCGCTCAAAGAAAGCAACGCGTTTCAAGCCCTGGCACAGGTAAAGCAGACGGCCAGTAAGCATCTAACTATGTACTTATGGCAGCATGTATCCACTACACCTCACGTATTGCACTGATGAGGAAGCCACGATCCAAGTGCATGTGCCCGTCGCGCCTGCACATTGAACAACAAGCCCAAAACTGCCCAAAACGGAAGTCACGGCCCTGCTATGCCTTTGTCACCTGCTCCAGTCGGTCTATCCTAACCCCTGTTTATTCCTCGTCACTATGCACAGCAGCAACTACTCGTTCTCAGCTTCGACAACCCTGGGGAGCAGGCCTGTGGAAGGAGGCCATCGGTTCCCCTCATTGAATCTTTGGCGACGTGGTGGCTTCACAAAGCTGATTTGCGTCGCCGGAGCAGACAAGGGAACGCGAGCAATACTAGTCCTGCTCTGCCCAAATTCCCCAAGCTTTGTTTCAAGATACTGAATGCGATCCTCTTTCTCTTGCATGTTGCGCATCTGCTCTTGATACCTTGTCGACATTTGCTCATACTCGTTGTAAATCCGATCGAACCGTACGTTTGCATCGTTGATCTTATTCAGTAGCCGCACATGTGCGCTGTAATGCTCGCTTTTCAGTCCAACCGTGTGGCGGCCAAAGGCTTCTGCAAGGTCCTCGAGCTGCTTCTTGTGAATGCTGCTAACGTCCTCGGACAGGAAGTCAGCCAGCGCTTTGCTTGTGGAAAACTGCGTGAACAACATTGCCACGACCGCCACAAACACCGCCATGACAAGCGTCATCTCGCGCCCACTGATGAGCTCAGACTGAGAGTGTCAGTGTGCAAACATAAAAGTCAACATGTTGTGAGTGACATGCCTTGGACCATACGGAAACGAGCAAGCCGAAAATGCTTGAGCAAAGAAACAAGGCAAAGAGGTCAAAGCCGGTGAGCTCCATGATTGCAGTCTACTTGCTTACGGACTCGGTGAGTGAGGGGCCGATCAACACATTATCATTCTGCGTCGAGCACCAACGACCCCTTGGCTTGGCAACCGAACTTGGTCAACGACTGGAGTAGGGCCAAACGATACGCCAAAAAGCACACATGATGCCTAGAGCTCGGTTGATGGGCACTAGGGCTGATCTTCTTAGTACACCTGGACCTTCTTGACTGGGTTCACGCTCTGCCATGGTTCGCGACATGGACATAGCAATCACAATTAGACCACCACGCTGCCATGCACTTATAACGAGGCCAAGCTGCTTAATAGATTTACATTACATAGCCATGAAAGGCGAAAATTCGGCTATTGTACATCAAAGTGGCTCAAGTCAAACCGGAGCTCGCATAATGCCACCGCTACGAATGCTCAACCGCCCTTCAACTACCAAACGCCATTTGAATATCCCTTTTGAAGAAGCTACAAACTACCAGGAAGACGCCATATCGATGCATTAAGACAGTCCAAGGAGAAGGGGTAGCGCCTCTATGCAATAGACACTGATGCATCTAAGAAAGATCCATGGGCTCTGCATTACTGCCACCAGGCGATGCAAAAGGCTGCTGCATCTTCATCGTGTTGGGTGCTGTCTGCGATAATCCATTGTAGGGTGGCGGGGCAGGAATATTGATGCCGGCGTTGGCGTGGTGTTGATAGGCGTGAGGAGCTGCCATGTAGCCGACTGGACTGTGAAGGTAGATGGGAGTGGTTGTAGGAGTGGAAGAAGTGCGCGCAGGCTTCCGGCCGCCAATTCGCTGAGCTCGAGGAGCTGGGAAGCAGGCATTCTTGACGCGTGTCTGGAATTCCTGAGCAAAATTGTCGTAGGGCTTCTTGTCCTCGCTTGTCCTCCATCCCATCTTGTTTTTCATACACTCGGCCTTACGATGACTGATGGTCGAGCCCTCAATACGGATGCCATTGGCCTCAAAACGGCGACAACAATCGGACCGCGAAAGGATGAGGAGCACTACCAGCAAACTGACATTATCGTTATCAAGGAGATGGGGACAAAAGTCGCACACGTTGCAAGCAAATCGTCGCATTTCCTCAAGATCCCTTGTGTCAGTGCAGTTGACAAAGCGCTCAGCCATCGAGTAGGGCCGCACCATGTCCCGACAAATATGGTTCTGGAGAACATTGGCGACCGAGGATACTGAGACAGGGTAGATGCTATTGCGATCAATCTTGCTTGTCGCTGATGATGAGACTGTGCCGGCAATATACACAATCTCAATGTCGTCAAACGGGCCACGGTCGAGCTTGAGATCTTTGACTATCTTTCCTTCTTTTTGCGCCTCCTTGAGAATATCGGCATTCTTGACACTGGCTTCACGTGCAGCCTTGACCGCCTCGCGTGGAGTGGTAAAGCCGTATCTCTTTGCAAGTGCAACCGAGTCCTCGTGCATCTCAAACTTGGAAAGCTTGCGCTCAACATCCGGAGCGCGTATCCAGTCTTCAGACCAGGGCTCTTCGGCTAATACCTTGTAGAAGACTTTGGTAAGAGCGCGAAGCTTAATGTCATTGTCGGACATTACGCGTTGGCCAAAGTAGAGCTCGTCAGTTTCGGAAAACGCAGTCTCGATGAAAGTCTTGCGATCCTTTTGGGTAAGTTGGCCACGAGAGGGGTCATTTTTCCATTCCTGAATAATGTTCATGAACTTGGCATGGAATATATCATCAAAGTGTTTGGAAGCAGGAATAGGTGTCGCTGTACATGGCGTTAGATCTTAATAGGACATATCTCGAATAGGCATTGACTCACAGTTGGGAGTGGGGTGCTGCTGTGGTGGCGACGAGGGCAAGGTACTAACAGTCTGGTCGATTGGAGCAGGTGACATGTTGATCCAAGCGCGACAGATGACCTGATATACCGAATGGGGTAACTTGAACACTTGCAAGTCAGTATGTAATTACAGAGAAGAAAGGTCCAGAAATGAGCCGGCCACGGTTGAGATAGACGTTCGTGGTTGAGGCCGAGTGCTGCGGGGTGGTTGGGGTTGTCAGAACAAGAGTGTAGGTGAAAACATTCACGCTCGCGTAGCTAGCGCTGCTAGGGGACTGCTTGGCAGAGCATTGGAGCTGCACGTGACGTGCCGTCACCCCAGCCAAATTGTGGTCCAAACGACATGGTTGTAAACGGCCTAGGGCAAAGTTTTGGCGCATGCACCACGACACGCCAGAAGGAGGTTTCCTCTCTTTAGTACCTTGTCAGGCTCAGTATCACAGACAACTTCATCGTATGCTTTGGTGTGTTTTCGCTGATGTCGTTTCACTTCACCAACCACCAAAACATGTTTTCACACAGAAAGTACTTGAATGGATGAGCCCGTGAGCAGTATCTTGGCCAGGTTCGCCTGACTTGATATACTTATCACACACGGCGATCGATATTCCATTTCTTTCATCAACTGTTCATACTGTTGCAACCATAGAGGCAAGACCACGACATTTGTTGGGATTCAAACACAGAATGACATAAAAGACAACTCTAGGTGTTTAGAACGTCCCGCATCCTGTGGCACGGATTTACGTCTTTCAGAAGTCTATATCAAAAGCAACTCACAAGATTCGTTTGTGAGCATCATATGATTAGAGCGTCTGATTTTTGACATTGGGATATGCTGTCTAGAACTCAAGATAGGGAAGATCCGGCACACTTTCAATTTACCTGCTACGATTACTTCCCGTTAATACAACGGTACGACACATAGAGCCGTTTACAGTAAGGACATCCAAGGAAACAGGGATGTAGCGGGTGACCAGCTGACTAAACGACTAGGTGGGCAGTGTTATTCGCCCAAGTCAGCCCCATGTCACTACTCAGCAAGTACATCCAATCAATCCTAGCTGTATATATCATTTCAGCTCATTCCTAATGTTTTACAATGATCTTCTATCCATTATAACTGTTTCAAACAACCTCATCACATTTACCGTGTACATCTATATACCGTTTAGCTTCCGTTTGCAAAACCAAACAAAAACGTGCGTTAACGGTAACCGCTTGATTGGGGGCAGAGTTTCTGAGGAACAAAGCTCCATTTACCGTAGAAACGGGTAATAGATAAGTTCTGCAGGATTGGTTCTTGAAGATTGGAGTGATATCATGCATTGTCAAGGGAAGTAATTGAAACAATATTGTCTCCATCTTCGAACCGAACCTACCTCAATATAAAGTAACATTTTTTGAAGGTGCCACTTGTGGACTTGTAATATTTCTCGGATGTGGCATTGGTGATGGGTTTACATCCTTTTTTGACATTGTCATACGAATCGGATGTCTGCGCCATATACTGCCTCCCGTCGGCTACAATGTCACACATGGCTTATCGTTTTTACCAGGACCACATTGAGTAAGCAGCCTATTCTCAAAAAACTTCTTGTTGATTCTGTGACACACCTTGTTGATGTGTAGAGTCAGTGGCTGTTTATGCTCAATTTCGCAACGATTTTGTTCCACCCTCATGTTCTTCCGACAAACCATTCTTTATGAATTCGATCGGTCATTTTGGAGCGATATGATTCTCTCAGTATCTGCCATAGCAGGAATCACGACCGCTGTCTTCACTGTCTTGATTGCCGGTCTCGGGACTGTTATATACATCAATCGTCGACGACATCAGATTCGCAACAAAATCAGCTTCCGTGCAAAGACTATTGCTCATTCTTCACCCAATACTTCACGCCTTCAGATGCTCAGTTCATCGGCATTCATTACTGACCCTACGAAGCGTACGCAAGACTATCATGGCCGATATCCGAGCTTGGAAAAAGGTCCCGGACCAACTGTAGTCAAGAAGGGTTGGAGTTCTATGCGGAGCGATTTCCAGAGCCTCAAGGACACAAGTAATCTGCCTGCTATCGGTTCGCTTGATACTTGTAACAATCTCACTATGCCTTCTGCCAGGGCTACTGTGGGTGCTGATGAAGGAGCACCTGTGCCAAACACGATGACAGAACCAGTGTCGACAGGTGCAACCACTTTGGCGGCCGCAAGGACCATGGAGATCAAGCGAGGACCAGAAGATGCGTTGAAGAGCAGGCCAAGTAGCTTACATCAGGCCGTGTTGGATGTTGGTTGAAGAGACATTCAAATTGGAGGTGGTGAGGAAGCAACTAAGTCAAATGAGCCGAGCGTCTCGATTATATCAGATGTGAACAAACAATCAGACTACTATACTGGTGCGTGGCCTTGACATGCCTCGGGCACTAGCCTCGGGTATGCAAATTGTGTTAGGAGTTGAGAAGGAATAGCGAGGTCTTCAAGAATTCTGTTTTTGAGAGCTATCTCATCGAGAGATGAGAATAGAGAGATGCCTGTTCTCGGAAAGAAAAACATTGAACGAGGGGAGAAAATCGATAGTAGTCAACAATGGATAGAATATAAGCCACATATGTCTCCAGGTTGACAGAACCGGGTTCGCACTCAAGAATGACACTTCCAGTCAGAAAGCTACGCACCTTGCCACAACATCACACTAGTATCACGTCAAGCATAAGGGCAAGGGGAGGGGAAATGGCAATCAAGCATCGTTCTCGTGCTGAAGAACACGAGAACTCAGCGACACCTAGTGGGGGGAGAACCTTTTTGTTTCATTGACTCCTGATCATCATGCCGCCGTATATAGCCGTAAAACCTTGCCATAATCGTGGCAGAAGAAACCCTTTCCCAGACACCATATTTTCAGAAAATCGAGAAGGGAGGAAGAAGGGAGACCGTGCGATCGTGGATTCGCATTCGCATCTACGAGCGGCCTGGACGGTCGTTGAAGCGACGGGGGCGCTCGACGACTTGTTGCTGAGAGACAGCGACGACGTTGGTGGGGATGCTGTCGAACTGTTCCTCAAGTTAGTGGATTGCCTAGAATTAAGACTAGCACAAGGTAAATGCTTACACCCATGCTCTTGAGCAGGTCCTTGGTCTCCTGGTCGACGTCGAGCGAGCCAGACTCGCTGTTCTGAGTGAAGTCGAGAGCGGAGATCTCGGGGACGTATTGATCCTTTCGCTCACGCTCCTCTTCTTGGAGCTTGAATGAGATACCACGGACAGGACCACGCTGGATACGCTTCATCCTACAACTTGTTAGCCTTTGTGACTGGATAGATAAAGTTGGTGATCGCGCTGTAGTGGGGGTTGTGGTGAGAGCCATTGGTTTTCGTGAGTCCTGAAAGGCTGCCATTCAACCGTCCGGCATCTCAATCACCAATTACTCCCAGCAAACCCTCAGCAGGGCAGTTGCACATACAAATGAGTGGTGTATCCGGCAATCTTGTTCCTGAGCCTCTTGGACGCGATAATGGCAATCTCATCGCAAATCCTCTTGTTGGTCTCGAAGTCCAGAGACAGCTTGGGGTAGTAACGCTCAATGATGACCTTGGCGGACTTCTTGACGGTCTTGGTTCGGACGCGACCCATTTTGGCGACTTTTTGTGTGAGCTGGGAAAAGAGGTTGTCGTGGGAAGGGGCGGTGGCTGTCGGGTTAGTGGGATTATCGCTGAAGAAAGAGTTAGGAGAATTGGGTCGATATTTCGGCAAGTGTGTGCGTGGTGGTCTGTGCGTGGCGATCTAGTGCGGATGTGGCATGACGACTGCGCTACCCTCCCCCACACCGACAGGTCTGTATCGCATCCCACAGTACAGTATGTACATAGCGAAGGCTTGTGGTTTGCTGTTCGTATTTCATGTGCATAATGGCAAAAATAATGACGATATCAGTTTTGTGTGCGCAAAGAAATAATTGATATAATTCGCTCGCTAAGTACGCTGTATGAAATAACAAAGTAGAGTGTACAAATGGAAAGAAAAGCTAGTTGCAAGGGAAGAGCACCAAAGATGCTTACTTCAAGAATCTAAACAACGTAGGCTTAGGCCTTCTGGACTCAACTCCGCAACCCCATGGCTATGTAATTCCCAAACCGAAGCAAATGTTGCGGCGGTCTGTATGCTTAAACCACTCAACAATGAAGGCTTAGTGGCCACCTTCAGCACCGCCTTCAGCCCCGCCTGCAGCACCATGGCCTGCTGAAGCACCATGACCGGCTGGATTTGGGAAGTAAAAAGCGCAAACAGCGATGATGATGTAGGTCATGACGCAAAGTACACCCTCGAGGTAGTTGGACTTGCCGTCACGAAGGAACGAACCGACAGTGAGTACTGCAAGCACTAGTGCAACGGCATCGAAGATGGAAAAGTTGTAGTCCATGCCAACACCAAGACCCCAGCCAACCAGGACAACTAGAGGGGCGTTGAGCAAAGCCGTTTGGATCGAGGCGCCGAGAACGTGAGCGAGGGCCATGTTGATCTGATTGTCATAGGCTTCGTCAATGGCAAGGAGATGCTCGGCAATCTTCTCAACAAGTGGAATCAGAATCAGGCCGACAAAAGCGTCGCTGACTCCGCGCTCTACAATGTATGGGATTTCCTGAACCAGGGCGATGGCGACGAGTGACACACAAGCCAAGGAGATGACAAGGGCTACCAAGACTTCGATCAAGGTGAGCTTGGGCTTCTTGAGCTCCTTGTGGCGGTCCTTGTCCTTTGCGTCGTCTTCTTCGTAGATCTCATGGAGCAGACCATCGTGGGAAACCGTCTGGAATACAATGTAGATAAGGTAGCCGACGATGGAGATGATGGCTACGCCACGGGAGATGAGGCGGGTATTGTATGCAATGTCGACATTACTTTCGTAGTCGGGATTTTGGTTGAGGTAAGAGTAGAAGACAGCAGGGAGGACAAGAGCCACTATGGGGTATTAGCATATCTGAGTATGCGGTAGGATGCAGATATGAGCTTACTGGCAGCAACGAGCATGAGGCCAGAACCGTTTTCAGAAATGGCCTCGTGGAACTCCTGCTGGTTGTGTTTGAGCCCACCTGCAATGAAGCTAGATTTTGACATTAGATGACAGCGGAAACAAGGACAGGGGCACTGGAGGCGTACCATGAACCCAAGCAGAGCAACAGATTGGCGAGAATGGAGCCCAGGATGGCAGCCTTGATGACCTGAACATTGGAGTCGCCCTTTGAGGTTCGGAGCAAAACCATGAAGAGGATGATCTCGACAATGGAGCCAAAGGTCGTCTCGAGCACAACGGCAAACGATTTGTTTGGCATCTTGCGGGAGAATTCCTGACCGGCGAAGCCCAGCATGTTGGCAGCAGGCAGCATGGCGATGTAGTTTGTGATGAAGACGGCAAGGTGCCATTCCGGCTTTACAAAGTGCTACGAGAGGGGTCAGCATAGTGTGTGGGTTGGGTGCAATGGTTTGTGTATGCAATGAGGCTCACTGACCAGGGCAATGGCGATGGGGACAATGGGCCATAGCAAGTTGACAAGCATGGACGGGGTACTGCTGCTCTTGCCGCTGATGACGAGGAACTTGATGGGGTGGAAGCCACTCCTACCACTCTCGCCCTCGGGGTGGATACCCTTTGAGACTTTGTGGCCATTGTGGTTGTACTGCGGCAGCGACTCGCGCCGTCTGCCACGATGGTCTTCTGAGGGCCGTCGACTACGAGGCTTGTCGGTACTGTATGCCCGGTCGCGCGAGGAGCGATGGCCATGGCCGTGGGTGTGGGCGTGGGGGTAGTCGCGCGAGGGACGGGAGCTGTGGGCCATGACTATGACGATGGCGATTGGCTGGGGCCGATTGTGTAGTGTAGTCGATTGCAGCGCTCGGGGCCACTGACGCCGTCAGGTTCAGGATGAGCGGGCGTGCGAGGTGTTTGGCATGCGAGGGCGGCAATAGGAGTAGGAGTAGGAGTAGACGAGATAAAAAGGAACGAAACACCAAGCACATGATGGGGAGCTGGTGCATGTAAAGGGCGCCGGCGTCATCTCGGGCGGCCATGGCTGTGGTGTTTCCCTGTTTGCCCGTTGCGGGCCGTCGCAACATGGCTCCATGGGCTGGGGCACAGCCTCGATGCTTGGTCCGCCAGCCAGACTTTGCTGCACCACATATACACCGAAACTCTGCAACCTGCAACGTCGCGCCCGCATCCGCGCCCGGCTATTGGCTCTGGCCAGCCCGTTCTCACTGCCCGTCTGGCCTTGATTGCTGCAGACACGTCACCAAGCATCGCCCGCTGTGTCCTGGCGATGCTTGACACGCCTTAGCCTACCAGCCTACCAGCCACCGTCGCAAGGGGCGCCGGACTTGTCCCTGTTTCTCGCCGTCTCATGGAATATGTCCTACCACTATTGTGCAGGAAGGAGTAAATACCGCACGGTTTTCCTTCATGGACTAAGTACTCTACCTGGTGCTGACGCCGAAACCACGCCCCTCGGAATGTTTGCATGGGCATCCTCGTGGCCGCTATGCTATGCTTTGCAGCGGGCTGCGACGGGCTGCCTCCATGGCCACCATATCTTCGCTTACATTCCCCCCCCCCCAGCAAAGACGATCATCTCCCGCCGTAACTAGTAAGTACACTACAGAGAACGCTTTGCCTCTAGCTCCGATGCTCCAGTAAATGTGGACATGGGCAACCATCATACAAGTAGCTGTCCCGTTGCAACCGATCATGTTAGCACATACGTAGCTCAGAGACATGCAATTACATACTTCCTTGAATACGTACTACTTACGGACTTATTTGCTTACATTATCGACATGCCCTGGACCTCGGGGGCTAGCGCTCACTGTGTGCATGGCGAACAAACTACATCCTCAAACATGTGTTTGAAATTAGGGTGATGGCGTGTATTTAGACACTTGCTTACGTCTAGCTCAGCCTCCTCCAACACGACACTCTCAATGCTCTGCAAAAGGAATCCTGCCTGTGCGACGTGACCTGGCCTGGTGCACGGGGACAGGCGTCATGGGCAGGCGCGTGTTAGCGTCACGGCAACAAGACGATCCGCCCGTCAAACAAACACCGTGATTGCAACTGTCATCCCTCGTCCTGTTACATCCATCGCTGCCCTTCTCCACTTGCACATCATGGTCTTCCTGTCCGGCTTTGCGCTGTGCGCGGCCGTAACCAGCGCCACTGCGCTTCAGATCCCACTGCTGTCGTCGAGCAACCAGGCGCTGCTCGGCCACCCCCAAGAGACTAAGCCGCTAGTCAACTCGACAGAGCTTCAGGAGCTCATCAGTGGCGATAGATTGATGACGCGCGCGAAGAAGCTGTATGAAATTGCCAAACTTGGTGAAGCCGAGTACAACCATCCGACCAGAGTCATTGGTAGCGCTGGTACGCGTCTTCACGTGGTGTGTGTGTCCATGTCAAGACGATGAGACTGACCCCCCTGTAGGCCATCTCGGCACCCTATCATATATCTACGAGACTCTGCTCGAGCTTGGAGACTATTACACCATCTCCAACCAGTCCTTCCCTGCCGTGTCTGGCAACGTCTTCGAGTCGCGCTTGGTCATTGGCGATGGCGTGCCCAAATCAGCAGCACCCATGGGTCTGACCCCAGCAACCAGGGACAAGGAGCCCGTACACGGTGATATCATCCTCGTTAACAACCAAGGCTGCGAGGCATCCGATTTCCCCGACTCCGTGGCGGGCAACATTGCCTTTATCCAGCGCGGAGTATGCCCATTTGGCACAAAGTCCGAGCACGCTGGTCGCAAAGGCGCTGTGGCGGCTGTCGTATACAACTATGAAAAGGATCCTGTTTCGGGCACTTTGGGAACACCATCGCCCAACCATATTGCTACCTTTGGTCTCTCTGGAGAGGAAGCAGAGCCAGTCTTGAAGAAGCTCAAACAGGGAAAGCACGTTGATGGCATCGCTTATATTGATGCCGAGGTCAATGAAATCCAAACTGTCAACATTGTCGCTCAGACCACTGAAGGCGATTCCGACAATTGCGTCATGCTCGGCGCCCACAGCGATAGTGTGACTGAGGGTCCCGGTATCAACGATGATGGCTCGGGTACAATATCTCTCCTCGAGGTCGCTTCCCAGCTCACCAAGTTCAATGTCTCCAACTGTGTCCGATTTGCGTGGTGGGCCGGCGAAGAAGAAGGTTTGCTCGGTTCTGATTACTATGTTGCCTCGCTCTCCGACCAGGAGAATCAAAAGATCCGTCTGTTCATGGATTACGATATGATGGCCAGTCCTAACTTTGCTTACCAAATCTACAATGCCACCAATGCCGTGAACCCGAGAGGATCGGAGGAGCTTCGCGATCTGTACATTAGGTGGTATGAGGATCAGGGCCTGAACTATACCTTTATTCCATTTGATGGTCGCAGTGACTATGACGGATTTATTCGCAACGGCATTCCAGGCGGTGGTATTGCGACTGGCGCTGAAGGTATCAAGACGAAGGAAGAGGTTGGCATGTTTGGCGGCAAGGCAGGGGACTGGTATGACCCATGTTACCACCAGCTTTGTGACGATGTCGGCAATGTCAACATCACAGCCTGGGTCATCAACACAAAAGTAAGTTCTTTCCATCTCCCACGGTGACCACGAACAAGCGATTTACTTACACGCCGTAGCTCATTGCTCATTCGGTCGCGACCTATGCCCAGTCTTTCAAGGACTTTCCTAAGCGCGAGCTTGAGGTTGCTGCCAAGTCAACCGTGTACAGAGATAACGTCAAGTACCACGGGGACCATATGTTTATCTAGCTATTTAATGTTTTCAATACTGGCGTTGACGAATGAAGAACACTTCTCTAGCAATTTGTAGCCAGGCCCAGCCCTTGATTACTTATGCATTCATACAGCATTCCAATGGTTTCCTATTGCCCCTTCTCTAGCCCAGTCTCAGGACACAGTTCGTACTACAGCCTTGCGCAAACGGCCTTGTTGATAACGTTCACTGCAACATCTCTCTGCGCAACAGGTATGACGAGCTTGGTGCGCTCATGTCGCACAGGACTGAAAAATCCTTATGAAAAGGCGTCTTTCATACGCCCTGCCACAGATATCTTGAAGGATTGCCGAGACGATAGATGGTTATATTCACCGATGGTACATGTGTAACTCGATCATCAGGCAAACTCAGGCGCAGAAGCGTCGGCCAGATTTCGCCAGCACCCCAGTTCCTCTCCCCACTGGCGTGCTCCAATTCGGCAACAACCGTGCTCGGTGCCTGTCCATGCCCCGACACCCCGATGCTGGGCTACGGACTTCCGCAACAGGCGTCCCAACGACACTGTGACAGGCGCGGTGCTGCTTAACAACCAAGCAAAACTACTCAGAGTGCCCATCCAACCCTGCTGCCAATATATCGTGCCCACTAAATACTGCGTATGGTACCCTTAGCTGACGTCATTCCAACCCAGTAGATTAGCTTCCGGCCATCGATCTGGTTGAAAATGATTCAAGACATCCGTAGTAGGGAATACCTGATCTTTGTCCCTGAAATCAATTTTGCTGTTTCGTGCGGAGATAAAGTGATTTATGTCCCGAGAGAGAGTCTATGGGATAGCGTGTGCAACCATTTGCTCGTGACCAAGGGTTTCGATAGCCTTAAATTGCTCAGCTGAATCCTCTCTGCCTTCTTTGTCAACACTTTCGACCCCAATTCAATTATTCAGCCATTTAACCCTTTTTCAGACTACTGGTTCCTCCGCAGAAATGCCTACATCATCCGCCATCTCTCTCAACGTTTTGATATCTGGTTCTGGTATTGCAGGCCCATGTTTTGCTTACTGGCTAAACCGCCTCCTTCCATCCTCACAAATTACCATCATTGAACGTAGCCCCGAACCACGCTTAGGTGGCCAGGCAGTCGACCTTCGCTCATCATGTCTGCCTATTGTAAAGAAAATGGGCCTATTAGACAAGGTCAAAGAATACAATACAACCGAGGTCGGAATGCAGTTTGTATACCGTGATGGAAAAACGAGAGCGACTTTTGAGGCAACAGGAGAAGAAGAGCGCCAGAGTGGTACGTCATGAGTCCAAATCTCCATGAAAGCCTTGTCATGTTAATAAATGAGACGAATCACTGATAGGGGAAAGTGGTAAATGTATGCTAACTGAATGCAGCAACGAGCGAGTACGAGATACTCCGTGGAGACATGGCGCGTATCGTTTACGACGCTGTGAAAGACAACCCCCAAATAACCTTCATTTTTGACGAAATGGTCACAGCGATTGAGGAGAAAGAGGAAGGAAAAGTCGACGTCACTTTCAAGAATAAGACTGCTCCTACAAGATATGATCTGGTTGTAGGTGCAGATGGTCAGATGTCACGTACCCGACGCCTCGTCTTCGGTCACGGTCCCAACAACGACGATTACTTGTACCGCCTAGGGCAATACTCCGCCTTGTTCACTATGCCGCGCGATCCAACTGACACCCAGTATGCACAATGGTATAACGCACCGCGCGGCCGCCTATTTCTCCTACGACCGGACCAGTACGGTACGACGAAAGCATACCTTGCTGTGACCGATGCTAATCTCTCCCGTTTTGACGAGATTGATCGCCTGCTGAAGAAAGGATCAAGAGAAGAACAGCAAGCGTGGTTTGAAAAAGAGTTTTCAGACGCTGGATTCCAGGCAGAACGCTGTATCCGAGAGATGAAGAAAGCAGATGATTTCTACATGCAGCAGATTGCGCAGGTTAAGATGGATACGTGGGTGAAGGGACACGTCACTTTGGTAGGAGATGCAGCGTATTGTCCGAGTCCAATCTCTGGTGTGGTATGTGACTTGTCTCCTTCTCCTGCCCATAGGCTCGATCGTCCTATTCTCGAACCAAACATGCTGACAGTTCCATAGGGTACAGGTGCGGGAATAGTGGGCGCCTATGTTCTTGCAGGCGAATTATCAAAGACGCCCAACGATATTCCCACTGCTCTGGCCAGTTATGAACGTATCACTAGGCAATATGTCGACAAGGCCCAAAGACTTATAATGGGTGCTCCTCAGATC